TGAAACATCTATGGAAGCAGCTTGCTATAGTTATATATAAGAAGCAATAAAGTTTAGAAAGTTTTAGTCGAGTGTCATACTAATATGGAAAATGGGCGAATGGATTGACATTGTTCTTTTTTCAAAAAATAAATTAGACAAAGATTTAATTTTATACAGCCTAAAGTTAGTGAAGACTATTTGATTTGGCGGCTGAATACAATATGCATATATCAATGACTCACTTTGACAGTAATTTCGTTCACCTGCGGTAATTACTTTTTTATTATTTACAACAATAAATATTAATACTATTCCTTACATAAAATAGCCTTAACATCACATTATTCAGGTGTGACGATAAAATCTTTATAATCATTTCAGATAAATAGGATGAAAAATATAAAATAATTTATTTTTTATATGTACCGAATATTGTACAGATAAAATATCTTAAACCATTACGAATTTAGTGAAAAAAGTTTACTTTAATATTGAAAACATATATTATATAGATTTCCAAGACCATAAAAAGGGAATAGATTAGTGCTATATATCCCAAGAAAAGGGAGTTTTTTTTTAGAGAATGTGTTCATTTTAATATTACGTATAAACTTGTGTAACAGGAAATTAAGGGTTCTTGATCATAAAACCCAAGTACGAAACTGAAATTAATATGACATATTTCTTTCTCAAAATATAAATAAACATATTACTGGACATAGGTAATTAAATAATTTTATTATGATAGCGCACGTAGCATTGAACTGAGTTTAGTTCAGTACCTTTCACAAGATCATATCTTGATTTTAATTACTTCTGTATAAGGTTATTTAGTTGTTATATCTATCCTGTCATTAAACATAATTTCGGTGTTTGAGTGTCCTTAATAGTATTATAATTGCTGACGTGTATACTTTGATACTGAACACGTAATGGCGCGAAATTCCGTTGTCAATAGCAAAAACACTTAATTTTTTTTATGAATCTTGGATATACGAAAATAAAATTTCGTTTCGATACAAGGAATGTGAATCTGAATTGAAAACGTTTCTTATTCAATAACCTTATCTTTATTTAAACCAATGATTTAAATATTTGCAAACTGATCGTATAATCGTATTACGTTACGTAAAGAAATTCATACTAAGAAACTACTCATGTAAAAGATAAACGTTAAGTAGGAACCAAAAAAAACTTGAATGTCTTTATAGATATGGTATTTTTTAATTTTATGAGCTATTTAATTTAATATACATATAGGTATACCAGAAACGTATAGCTGACCGGGCGAACTCTATTCCTCCTTAAAGGCAGTTAGGTAATAAGATTTTGCATTTTATTAATTTTTTTTGATTCCTTGAAAAGTATCTTATGCCCTTTCCCTGGTTCTAAGCTATCTCTCCACACATTTTCAGCAATACCCGTAAAGCCGCTCTTGAGTTTGAGAACGATTTAAAATACGTGTTTGTCGCCAAAGTCCAACATATTGAATTTCTTTTAAAGAATTAGTGCAGTTCACACACGGCGAAAGCATATACGTATAAAATATATACATGTACATGTATACAGGGTGACTGGTGAATTACTATCAATATTTAAGGAGCATACTTGGTACATGATTCTCATTTCAATTATGTAAAAAAATAGGTACTTAAATTTTGACCAAATTTCCGTATAAATAAATAAAGTGTGTACACGTTTCAAGTGTTCCAAGTGTGGACGCGTGCGGCGGCGTGCTGATACAACAACACGCCGCCGCGCGCGCGCGTGTGTGTGTGTGTGTATACCTAATCTGTAGGGTGTTCATACGATGCGTAATTAATTACATAACTTTTGGTTAACTTTACTTAGAAGTTTATTTTAATATTTATGTTATATTAATTTTTATTGTGTCATATATGATCGTCAAATATCACGTCCTCAAATATTGATAGTAATTCACCAGTCACCCTGTATATTCTTATATAGCTTCAAATATTTACTAAGAAACAAGCTATTTAATTAAGCGTTATTATTCTATCGATCTAGTCTTAATTGCGGTTGGTAAGGTACTATTAAAAGCTAGACCTAAAGGTATCAAATTCGGTCCAAGGTTCCAATCGTTATAACTTCAAGGTAAATTGTATTGAAACTAAATTCCTATTTAACTTTGTTATCTTTGTTCTTAGTCCAAGTTTATATCGTTACACTAAATACGGAACGTTTCCCGTTTCTTACCTACTTTAATATTATAATTTACGAAGATTTGTGAATGAAAAATATGTTAGCGCTATATACAGAGCGTGATGCTACTACGTGTATAGTGTGATGACGAAAACTTGGGATAAACATACTGTTTTTAATATTCACAAATAAATATGACGTGCTCAAAAAGAATATAATATTGAAAAATGTTCAAGCATAATCAGGCTATATTCATAATAATTAATAATATGTATTTAAATACATATTGTTCATTAAAAAGAAAATCCATAGACAGCAAATTCGAGCTTTTAAATTGAAATATGGCGTGTCAGTCGATTCAACAAGAAATTATGAATTGCTTGTTGTACAATTATTTTTTTTTTTTGCAAAATAATTTTTAAGCAGATTCAGTTATTTTATTAATAGATCTCAAAACCTCAAGCAACCATGAATATTTCACTTCTTTTATTAGTAACTAATTTATTTATCTGTTTTTAGTACGCATTTACGATTTTTATTCATGTGTCATAATATAAATAGATGTATGTAGATTTAGTAATAATAAACAAATGACATATGATAAAAAAAGTCTATAGTTACAAAAATATCTTCATATAACTCTCAAATATCTTCATAAAATGGAATAATTAATATTCTAAAAAGGCTTTATTTATTCACAAGTACGCGTAGACAAGTTTCCATTGTCACACTACGTACGGAGAGTTAACAGTTTTTCATTTATAAATCTTCGCGTGTGTATTATATAGTAACGGAAAACCATTGGTATGTAGTGCCAATGCTAGCTTGTAGTAAGCATACAGGTAAGTATAACTGTATCATGACTTAATAAAGAAAAAGTTTTTATGGAAATCAAAATTAAAATATCGTTTAATGTCATACGTGCAAGAAATGTTTATGTAACAATTATTGTATAACACAAGAATGTCATTTTAATATAATATGGTTTTTAAATATAACATGAACCGGTTAAAATGTTACATATTATACTTACTCATTATTGTGACGTAATTGCACCGCAGTTGGTTAAAAACAAAATTGATTATTTAATTTAAAAATTATTAATTAGTTCTTTATTACACAATAAAATGTAGATATATATCTATAGAACCTTTAGTAAATATATCTTTAACTTAAATACTGACAGTTATAATGTATTCATTACGTAATCGTCGGCGGAACAAATTATTCAATTGTTTTAATTGATGTACCTATGTAGGTACATGTATGTATCTTCTTCTTCTACCTGGCAATTTCCCAGCTTTGGCCAGGGTCTGCCTTACATGTTGTGAATAGTGTTAGCTAATTGTTTTTACGATCGGCCGCCTGCCTGACATCAACCCTCTTTGGGAATGCGTTAATCAGTGATGTCTAAATACTCTTAGAAAGTACATATGACTCGGAAAAATCACATTGGTACTTGGCAGGATCGAACTCGCGCCTTCATGCATGAGAGGCGGGCTTTTTAACCACTAGGCTACCACTGACTTATGAATAAAAAATTAGAAATGCTATGTATGTCTGTATGTCTTCAAACTTTGGGTAAAGAGACAGAACTATTAACATAAATACAGAAAAGTTTATAATACATATGTACATGTGTATATGTATATATTGACGACACTAAAATGGAATAAGTATACTGTTTGAGAGTTGATGGTTGACACATGTTATTAAACAAGACTAGAGTTGAAACAATATTTGATCGGAAGTATGTAACAGTTTGTGCAAAGTCAAAGGTTGAAAGGATAGTCATTAACATGTCGTAAAACAAACGATTAAATATTAGTAGAAGAAAATAATTAAATATTAGTTTTTATCTTAGACCATTGGATTTGAAAATGTAGATTTTTTTGGCCTTAATTTTCGTATTTTTGATGAGCAATATTTTAATGTACGTACATACGTGTACTCATATTTGTTGGGTCACCACTTACCGCTTTAAATGTAAAATCATTTAAATATTAGTCAAACATTGTCTTCGGATACATTAGGTAATCAATGTTTTCGTAAATTACCTAAACATTGTCTTCTTGTAATAGTCCTTGATCCTAAAAAACTTCTTTTTGTTTGGTGTTCTGAATTTCTATCTACTCAATAACTTAAGATGATAGTTTATTTTAACTGTATAAACTTTAATTCCTTTTTTTCATATAAGTATATATTTCATATGAGTTTTTGAGTTACAACATTGAACCGTTTATCCCAGACGTTAAGTAATTATTATTAAGTGGACATAATGTAGTTCGTAATAAGCAGTTCTTTTGATATTTCGTCAGAGATCGACACTCGCCTACTTAGCGGTGCATTTTAGATGACCTTCGCAACTCAGTCCGTTAGAAAGTGTGCATAAGATTTAATTTGACTAATACCCATCAATGTTGTGCTATTTTTACAAATTAAAATGTTAAGAAATATAAAAAGAATTACCAATTATATTCTCAAAAATAGATTGCGATATTATACTAACATATCGTTTTGTTTTATATAAAATAATATAAATATCCATTCAATACCTATGGATAAATAACACGATATTCGTGAGCTATCTCTCCACATATTTTATAACACAATGAGGTATGAATGAGTAATTTTTCGGTTTTCGTTACTAAGTTGAGATTGCAACTAGTACTAATTACATTTGAATTTTAGTTCCTTATACAGCCAAAACACTTTTACTACAAGTCTAAATAAAGTTATCACCATGAACTGAATACGACATAAAAAACGTACCAATTATTTTTAGCAATTTTTGATTGGCTTAATTAAAGATTAAGTTTAATAAAATAATACTTTATTGGTATAAAAATGATAATCTACTCCATGAACCAATAAGCACGGCCGCCGTAGCGAGCGGGAGTCCGTGGGTGGTCGTCTGGGAGCGACGGTGTTGCGTCAGGATATTTAGGCTTGCAGGGACACGGTTCGGGCGGGGGCGAAGCGCTAGTGCTGCTATGGACCCTCGTGCGACAGAAATAACCGAAATCAGGACGCTCCATATCTAATTTCTCTTGCATGCAGCAATCGAATATGCGCTGAGTGTTGCGACATTTTGATAGACTAAAATCTCCCGAACTCTTGTCGATACAGTTCGCGTATTGAACGAACTCCTCGAGGCAGTTCTTCTTTATGTTCTGAAACAGCGACAGAGTGCAGCTTGTTACTTTCTTGCCGAGGTCCACACAAGTACGAGGGTCATTCGACTCAAAGCGGCAAAGCATGAACTCGTTGTTAACACACTCGCATTGTTTCCCGATGTACGACGAAGCGGCCATCAATATGGACGTGGGAAGATTTACCTCTTGGACCTCTAACTCTGCAAATTCAGGGAGTTTCACGTCATTAGTTATAACCATCGTGGCTAAAAAGGCTATAAAACTCTTCGTTTGTCCTTTTTATGAAATCACTGAAACAAAATCACTGTTTGAGGCGTCAGGAATTGCAAAATGAATTGTCACTTCCATTGGGATGTCTTGTGACAACAGAAAATTAATAAATTTTCAAACATCAATTTAATTTTAAAAATATAAGATATAAAAACTATTTTATAAAGTAATATTTTACTAATACTAGTTTCAGGTAGTCTTTTATTATTATTAAAATATTTACGAACTCTATAATGGTGATTATTTGCTTTTATCATAAGGTTAAAGGGTTCAGGTTTAGGCCCGCTACAGATTTTACAAGTGTTACATAATAATAATAAAACTTCTGAAACAGAAGTTAACACAATTACACATAGTTGAGTTAGTAGACGTGATAAATAAAACAATATGCATTTTCAAGTTTTTTTTATCTAACATTAGCGGGATCTCTATATGGCCAAAATTTAAACTAGTTATATTCAGAACAACTACATACATGCTTGATTTATTTTTAGATAAAAAACAGATTTCAGTATTTTATATAACGGCGTGACAGTAATGGCAGCCATTTTTGTTGTCAAATAAATGTATTTTTACATTGATTTAAGTTTTAAGATAAAGAAAATTACTCCAAACTATGTCAAAATGCTTTATTATAAGTGTGACGTCGATTTCTTTGTGTATCTGTGGGTGTGCAAATATTAAGTGCTTTATTCGTGCCAGCATATTTTAAAAATTAATAAAATTATCAATTATGCATAATATAACTTATTAAATATATGTAATTCAGGTGATTGTCAGTCGCTACAGTGTCCGAAGGTACGTACAACAAGCGGATGGCTGGACCTCTTTCCTATTCCGTGCCAGAAGAACAAAGACTGTAGCGTCATGGGCGCTCAACATGTTTGCTGCAAAGGTTTCTGCACCAAGGGGATAAAAGCGGCTTCGCAATTACGGTAATTACCAAATAATTAGATTTGCGACATCGTTTTAATTGCTTCTTTTTGTATGCTTTTTAATTATTATTTTGTTATATTGCCTTTCATAGTGATTGAAAACAATTTCTACCATACATTGTAATTTTTTGCACTAGCAACATTTATGTTTCTTTTTTTATGTTGAAGTTTGTAATGCTTTCCGTAGATATTTAAAAAATATGACATGTAGCTTAAATATTGTTGGTCGAATTTCATAAATTTGTAATATAATGGAATTAAAATAATATTATATTCTATAAAAGAATAAATTAATTTAGAATGTAGGCTAGAAATCACGAGTTCACGGCCGCGAGTCGTAATAACAATATAATATTTCGTTTTTAATAATATTGATTTAAGAAGTGAACGGATAAAACACAGTTGAAGGTTGTGTTACCGTTTCTACATAATATCTAACGTTGTTACAAATTATGCAAATATTTTGAAGTCTCGACAGCAATTGTGTTCGTGCTTTATGTAACACGTGCCATCAAGTTATTACTATTGTTGAAAAAATTTAAAAATGTAATCGTAAAACGGTTTTTTTTACGATTTTTGCGAGTACACACTTTACTTTTGCCTTTTTTGTACTTATTAAATATTGTAATATTAAGAGTTTGAAAGTTAAAAAACAATCAAGAAAAGTCTTATTATAATAAACGTTTTTCCTATTGGTTACTTAGTAATAAGGTAATGTTGCCAAGTCATAAAATATTACTATTTATTAGCTATGTGGGTATACTTGCATAATTTTGTTCCGCATTTCTTTTTACATAATGTAAGCTAGATTTGTTTTGAATAAATTCATAAAAATAAAGTTTTATTCTCATTATTATAAATTGAATAGAGTAGGTATTACTAGATACTAATTAATATTTTTTTCTAATTAGCCTTTACTGTTACAAGTATATTTGAAAAATTCGATGTATTTTTTTGTAAACTATGACAGCTTTATACTCTAGTGAAACAACCATAATATCATTTAAAATTTTATCATATAATATCATTATATATTTAAACGTGCAGTATCAGCGTAGTATTAAAAAAAAAAGCATTTGTTCATATCACGCTTAAGCTTTTGTGATTAACATAATTTAGTTAGTATTATTAATATAATATTCTAGAGTGGCGAGTATTGTTACCGAGGCAAGCACAAGCACAAGTTCAAGCACAGCCCCAAGCACAAGCACAAGCACTAGTACCACAACAAGCACGACCACAACCACAACCACGACCACAACGACAACTACAACCCCGAGTACCACCAGCACGACCACGACCACCACGACCACGCCGCCGCCGACCACAACCACGACCACGGAACCGCCGCGACCATTCCTGCAATTACTACCAATACAAACAACTCCGAAGAACGCTCCAGTCAAATCAGGTAAGACCGCTATAGTTAAAATATATTAAAAACTAGTTTTTGCCCGCGACTTCGTCCGCGTTAGTTTCGTCATTAGTAAATAAGTATAGCTGAACGGGCGAACTCTATTCCGTCTTAGAGGCCATAAATAATCAGGTTTTTCCTGTTTCAATCGAACAGAATGATTGACATATTAGTTAGTTGTCATATCTAATGTCAAAGAAAACGTTTGTGTGGGAAATAGAAAAGGGCTGTTTTTAGGGTTTTACCGGAAATTATTCATTTTTTTATCGGCTTTTATACCTTCCCTGAAGTTCCACGAACATTTCAAGACTAAGATAAGATAAATCCGTTCAGCCGTTCTCGAGTTTTAGTGAGACTAACGAACAGCAATTCATTTTTATTTATACATATACAGGGTGACTGGTGAATTACTATCAATATTTAAGGAGAATACTCGGTACATGATTCTCGCTCGAATTATGTAAAAAAAATAGGTACTTAATTTTTGACCAAATTTCCGTATAAATAAATAAAGTGTGTACACGTTCCAAGTGTTCCAAGTGTGGACGCGTGCGACGGCGTGCTGATACAACACCACGCCGCCGCCGCGTCTGTGTGAGTGTGTGTGTATACCTAATCTGTAGGGTGTTCATACGATGCGTAATTAATTACATAACTTTCGGTTAACTTTACTTAGAAGTTTATTAATATTTATGTTATATTAATTTTTATTTTGTCATATATGATCGTCAAATATCACGTCCTCAAATATCGATAGTAATTCACCAGTCACCCTGTATATATACAGATATAGATAATAACACTATTATTACGCAATAGTGCTTCTTATTAAATGTTACGCATTCACGATTGTAATAATATTTATAATTAAAATTACGACTGTGTAACGAGCTGAATAAAAATAAAATAAAGCATCTATTCTGTTCAGCAGCAAACGAAATAATGTATCGCGTGAACATTTATTTGAATTAAAATATAAGTAGTAATACATAATGAGATCTAAGATTTCGCGAGTATTCATTTAAATGAAACTATTATTTTACTACGGGCAAAAAAAATGTGAGGTGCCCGTGATCACGGTTGCTTTAAAGTAACCGAAACGTCGGGAGTATGTAGTTTATAGTCGAAAATAAAAAATCCTGTAGTAAATCCAAAAATAATAGTTTCATTTATAAGTAGTATACATATGTATTATGTACCTACTTATAGACATTTTTTTCATATCGTCTGTCCGTCATAAAAGTTGCTGCAAAGTAACAGAATCGTCGGGAATAAGCAATTTATAATAATAAACTCCGATATCCGAAAATGTAAGTTTGATTTCAATTAATAATCGCGTAAGTCTTAGATCTCATTATAATATAGCTTTTTCTCTAACATAGAATAATATATGAACCAATATTTTTGGTTGCACCAAAACCGATTAAGTGAGGTCTATTTCAAACTTAGAAACATTCTTATCAATTTATAAGTATTATGTAAAAAAAAAACTTGCTCGGCAATGATGGTAATTAGTCGACATGATTTTTTGTAGGATTTTCTTTTAAACAGACAAAGAAGTTTTTATAGCATAAAAGAATGCAAACTTGAATTATTTTTTTTTGTAATTTAAAAATCGTAGCTATCATACATAAATTACATATTATTCAATGTAAATACAAAATTATATTAATGTTACCGGCATTTCATACTAACTTCCAGTTCATATTAGAATTGTTCAACTATTCATTTATTATATGAATAGTATCTTATGTAACATTGTAATAATTTTTTTTTCTTTAAAACCTATTGCTAAAGATCGGACAAGACATTGCAATTCTGAATACTCAGACTGGATTTAATATGTTGTTTCACAGACGGATCTTGTGTAACACGAGGAAAATTATAGAAATTTAGACGAGATCATTAAAAACAATAATTATTAGCGAAAGTTACAACGTAATCACTCCCGCGCCCGTTTAGAAAATATGACATCTACATACAATTACAATATACTAGTACGAAACATCTGTCAAATAAAAAAAAACAAAACGAAACGTCAAATCTATAAAATCGATCTTAAATACGTCAAAAACATATTAAAACTTTTTGGAATGTTAATAATTTTTTTCACAGGGAAGACACAGAAGCTGGTTTGTCCAAAACAATTGGCGCCAGTGAATTTATTTTCTATACCGTGCGAAAAGAACTCGCAGTGCCGTGCTACTAGCGGCCCGGGGCAGGTTTGCTGTCAAGGCCAATGCGTGAAGGGAGTGCCAGCCCCAATTTCTGAACAGACACACCAACGTATGTATTACATAATATAATTGATATAAGCTATTTGAAATGTGCGCAATAGAGTGGAAAGCACAGATTATATAAGCACTAAGGATAGTTGAGTATTGTTCTTATTTATCTTTTCAAATTGATCAAATTTTAAAAAACAAATTTTTTTTTTAATATTATGTTTCTTACTTGATTTAGTGAATTTGGGCTAACCTTTTATTTATAAAAGTACAAAGTAATTATTGCAGTACTTTGTAATGACTCATAACACAAATTATTTTTATTTTTTATATCAATAACTAGGAAATGATAATGATCATAAAAATTGTAACGATGGAAATGTCGGAGACGTGAATAAATTTCCACGTTGCTATATCCATAAAGTGAACGTACACGATTTCACTTTACAAATCTTTAATAAATTATATGGCAACATCATCACTGACAAGAAACCTTTGCTTTTCCTGCACTTAAAGATCGGTTATGTTGCGAAAAAGTTATGCAAATGCTGGCATGTTAAACTGACTACACACATATAGCTTTAAAAAAAACATACAAAATAGACCTTAACTTCTTCCTTACTGTTTTCCATATTACAAACATAAATTAAAAATTAACTCGTAAATTATAAAAGTTATTAACATTAAATTCTTAAATAATTCTTAAGTAATGAAGACTTCGACTTAATCATCATAAATTAATACCTATGTCTAAAGTAATTTAGGAAACGTTCACTTTTGAACTTATCAGTTTGGATATGATAATCAATTTTATTTATTTGACGTGGGTTTTAAATGTCTGATATTTTGAAATATATTTACTACATATTTTAATATTAGCTGTAATACTTAGACTTTAATAGTATTTTTTCTCATACCTATGCCACAAACATTCACATTTTTAAATTATTTTACGGTGTCAAATGTTGGGAAAACATTAATTAACAAAGGGATTATTTTAACATGCATAAGTTTAATTCGATTCACACTTGGTCACATGTTTATTATTTTGATGATTATTTTATATTAATTTTTAATTTAATATTTAACCAAAAATTGTTCAGTTTCATATCCGGTTAATTATGTAGGTATTTATCTTAAACATGTAAGATATTTATGAAAATACCGAAACTATTTTTTACTCACACAAAGCAACAATAATTTGAATAAATTTTGAAATAGCATTCAAATTAACCGTTATACTCCATAGACAAAGATGCTTGAAACATAATAATAATACTATTATTATTACATTACATATTATTTCAAATTACATATTAACGAACAATTAAGTGACGCGTCATTGTAACAGGTTCTTCTAATTGAACTCACAATAATAATATATTAGACTAGCTTTCTGGCCGCAGCTTCGTCCGCGTGGAGTTCGGTTATATCGCGTTTCCAAGAGAAAGTCTTGAATAAAAACTATCCTATGTTATTTCTCAAGGTTAACTCTATACGTACCAAATTTCATTAAAATGGCTGGTTTGGTTCATGGTTTAGGCGTGAAATAGTAACAGACAGACAGAGTTACTTTCGCATTTATAATATTAGTAGGGATAACGTTAGAAAATAATAGTTTTTTGACTTATCATCTCAAATTTTAATTCCAAAGCTATCCTCGGTGTGATTCCTCGCGAGTGTCCGACTGCGCCTCTCGGTGAACTTCTATTTGAGGTCCAGACCTGCAAACGTGATTCTGACTGCTGGCCCCGTGTGTGTTGTCCCGATGGAGCCCGCTCGTACTGTAGAACAGCTAGAGCTCGTCTTGACCTTGTTCCAGTCGCTAATAGGATTGAAGCGCGTAAGTAGATATGCTTTTAAGAAATGTGGATTTTTTTTAATGTTATAAGGTTCTTTAGCCCAATATCCTTTACAACCAAATAGTATGTATAGTGTACGATTTTGTTTCATCTAATAATTTTTATAGAGTCTTACCTTTAAACTATTATATTATAATATTTTGTAAATAATTTTTATTTCTTCTTACCTTAAAAATGCTTTATTACTCTATGAAATTAACATAAATAATAGATTACCAATCATATGTCCTGAAAAATTTATCAAAATATCTATAGACTATACATACAGTGAATGATTAGGATTAAAATAAAATGCCTAAATACTGTTTAGAGTTGCAAAATTCATGTCAGGGTTTTACTTAGCAGCCTTGTTTAATTGCCGACCTTCTTTACTATTGTCTAAATAAAAGTGACAAAAAATATTGTTAGTAAATTTAATAGTTCATTTAAGATTAATAAACAAAAAAAAAATAACTGATTTAAACAGGGACAGGTTCGTAATTGTATACTTTTATAATAGGGGGATAAAATTTTATATTTTGATCTTAATTTTTCTTGTTAATTTTTATTGCGTTCGTTTGTTCATTCTGTATAATTTTTCCAAAACACAAATTCGTAAACATGACTTAAAAACGACGTAGTTTCACTTAAAGACTTCACATCTTTTCTCTAATTGACATTGTTATATGCTATTTGGGAATAGACAATGAAGACTTGTTTAAATCTAAACGATTTAAGTGAATAATTATACATATAAATACAATGTGTTAATACTAATTCTTTCTTTAATCACAGCTGTACGTATGCTAGAGTCGTACTTGCAATGTACAGCGCCACCAGCCCGTGAATTGTTCCCACAGCGTTGTACCTCGAGCGTCGATTGTTTCCCTAACCTTTGTTGCGCGGAAGGCGGAGTTAAGAACTGCCGCCCTCCAGCCAGAAGCCTATTTGCACTACTTGCGGGAGTCGCCCAGGTACATAGTATAGCAACACTGAATAATACACTGCTACTTGCTAGCATCGACTTTTACTAATGGACATGCCTTAGAGATTAGAATTTGGCACTCCGAAAGAAAGAGAGGAAACGAAGTTTCGGTCTATCTTTATCTCTCTTAAATTTATATGCCGTGCTTGTAATGAAAACTGAACGCCAATCATCTATGAGGAAAGAGATAGTGCTAGACCGAAAGTATAGGCCATCTCTCTCACTCTTTTCAAACCAAAAAATTACAGCAGATTATACGCGTACGGCATTAGTATAAGTCGATGAATGCTAGTGTACACGGGAGGATTTGTTTTATTTAATCGTCATTTTAATTTTTTGTTTCTTTTATGTGTGTTACACTTATTTAAAAACCTTTATACACTTATTCAATATGTATTTATAATATTTTTTTCTTGTTTCCAGCGATTGGGCTAATATATGAAAAACGTCAAGGAATAACATTGCAGTGATAGTAGATATACTTAAAATGTAAATAGATTAAATAAATTATATGTAGTAGTATTTTTTTAATCTCAATTTGTATTAAATTTATTTAAATAAAATATATTTGTTTCATTTTCATACAAATCTTTATTGTTTGGACATATAAATATACCGACAAACTTCAACTAATGTAGACTTAGCACAATTCCTTATATATCAATTTTTATTATGTAAAGTCGCTTCGACTTTTTGCTTATAAGTCACAAGAAATCGTCAGCAACTAAACAGATTTAAATTTCTGCTTTCTATGCTGTGATAAACAGAAATATCTATACCTACTAATATTATAAAGCTTTGAGTCATAAAGAGTTTGTTTAAAAGCGCTAATCTCAGGAGCTCGTGGTTTGAATTGAAAGATTCTTTGTTTTGAATTTATCGAGGAAGGCTTTAGGCTAAATAACATCACGCTGCGACTAATGGGCGATAAGAAACAATGGAAAATGTGGAAAAAACGATAGCAATCATTCATCTTTGAGGGCTTCCGTTACATGCGCTGCGAAAACGATTTTATGGTAATCAAATTTGATCGAACCTAATGCGTTATTACCAATTAGGGAGCGTTCAAGTATTACGTAACGCAATTTTGGGGGGGGGGGGTCGCGTAAAACTTTACGATGCGTTACAGGGCGGGAGGGGGCGTCTCTTACAAAACATTACGTAGCATTGTTTGTAAAAAAAAATATTAATAAAAACCACCAAACTAGCAACTCTTTTCATAAGCGTTACATTATTTTGACCAGATTGTATTAGTCTGGTCGATATTTTTATTTATTATTCCAAGTTTGCAAACCTATTAATTGATATTTTACGGGGAATACCTAGATTGCATTGTAAGTCATTTAATGTTGCTTCCGTGGTCAGTATTCGATATTGTTCATCCGTGATTTCATAGTGTTCATACTAAAATTTCTTCAGAAGAGGGAGATTTGTATCAATGATCTTTTTTCATTTAATAGATTAAAACTATACCAAACTATTACAAATTGTTTTACGACTTTAGGATGAAATTGATCACTTGAGTGTTACGTAACGTTTTGAGAAGGGGGGGGGGGGCTACAGGAAAACGTTACTGTGCGTTACGAGGGGGGAAGGGGCGTCAAAAATCTTCAAAAATTGCGTTTCGTAATACTTGAACGCTCCCTTATTTGTTAGAGTTGTATCAACATAATAATATTAATCTTTACCCAAATAAATGTTTTTGATTAAGAGTATTTAATTGTAAACAAAATTATCTTTGACATCATTTAATTTCAATGAACATCTTAGAAGATATTGCAATTTTAAAATAACTCCAATATAAAATTCATACGCGCCGCATGATGTGTATCTAAAACATGACGCTGCGTTTGGCCGGTCGCGGCGAGCGAGGAGAGGCGTTGCTTGCGGCCGACACAAGAGTTAAGTTAAATTGTCTAAAATAATAACAGAAATTGACGCGGACAAAGTCGTGGGCAATAGCTATAATTTATAAAAGTGAGGAGGTTGTTTGCAAAAATAAATATGATCCCCAAAATGACTATTCCATGCGGACGAAGTCGCAGGCACAGCTAGTTACTTATAAAAATATACTTGATCTACATAAATTTAGTTTATATCACTTAATCAACTTTACTTAATGATCTGTTCAGCATGTCAAAACTAGCTTTTAAAAAAGCTATAATTAAAGAAAATAAAAATTCATAATAACACACACAATCCTGCAAATACACACCTATTAGATTCCCACCCGTAAACAGTTTTACCTTTAGCCTTTAGGGCTATTACTTTTATACTATAAGTTTACCTTTATGCTACCGTCTTCTAGTTATTAACATGTTTAAGTTACTGTGTAATCCTATTTTGGTTTTTATTTTATGTTATACTAGTTTTTGCCCGCGACTTCGTCCGCGTTAGTTTCGTCATTAGTAATATATGTATAGCTGACCGGGCGAACTCTATTCCGTTTTAGAGGCCATTAATAATCAGGTTTCTCCTGTTTCAATCAAACAGAATGATTGACATATTAGTTAGTTGTCAAATCTAATGTCAAAGAAAACGTTTGTATGGGAAATAGAAAAGGGCTGTTTTTATGGTTCTCCTGGAAATGAATCAATTTTTTTTCAGCTTTCAAACCTTCCCTGAATCTCCACGAACATTTCAAGACTAAGATAAGGTAAATCCGTTCAGCTGTTCTCGAGTTTTAGCGAGACTAAGGAACAGCAATCCATTTTTATATATATAGAAGATAATAATTAATATAGAAACTTATGTATAAAAACTGTTGGATTACCAAATAAATAAATAAATACTGTTTGTCTGGTTTTCTTTTATTTTATGGCTAAGTTTATACAATATAATAGACTTTAGAGTTGAATGTTTTAAGAAAATTAATAAGCCTCCGAAATCCGACCATATACGAAAAATACATACAAGGAAGACCTCAATTGGCTAATAATTCATTGAAAAGCTATACCTATATGTATGATATTTCTGTGAATAATAGTAGTTAGACCAGTGCCGAAAGCTTTTAAAACATAATTAGATTATAGTAGAATGAAACTCATTAGAAAGGAGGGGAATATTATAAAAATTAAAGGAAAAATAATTTACGGGCGATCTGAGGTCGGGAAGGGGATGGGGATAGTTTTAGCAACTTTATTTCAAATTTCTGTAAATTACCTAAAAGAGAGACTATCTGGAGATCTTCCAGATTACACAACTATTAAAAATAAATTAGAAAGAGCATTTTCAAAACGATTTCGAGTGTCATTTCATTAAAAGAGACATGATTATTTTATCCAAAAATGATATTGTAAGTAAGAAACTTATATTTTTTTCTTCAGATTCAAAATTTTTTGAAAAAAACTGATATTTTGACGGGTAATTTTTCGATTGAAAATGAGGCTGACTTATCGATATTTACTCAAAATTAGCTGAAAAAATAAATATTTCTAATCAAATAAATTACAGTGTATTTGGGACACTAAAAGGTAAGTTTTCAGCAAATTTCGTGACAAAATATTGTCTTTTGTAAGAGATAAAAATAAAAAACCAAAAACTTGGTTTTTCGAATTTTTTACATAAAATTTGAGGTTATGTGAAAAAAATGTTAGTAAAAAAGTTTTAGATCTTTTTATTACCTACAATTTTGCTATATAACTTTTTTCCGTAAGACTTAGTTTTGTCGGAAATCGAGAAAACCCATTTTTTACCCTTAAATACCCATCCCCTTCCCGACCTTAGATCGCCCGTAATTTATTTTTCCTTTATTTTTTACTAGTTTTTGCCCGCGACTTCGTCCGCGTTAGGGTGGTCAAGAGTAATATATGTAGGTATAGCTGACCAGGCGAACTCTTTTCCGTCTTAGAGGCCATAAATAATCAGGTTTTTCCTGTTTCAATCAAACAGAATGATTGACATATTAGTTAGTTGTCAAATCTAATGTCAAAAAAAACGTTTGTATAGGAAATAGAAAAGAGCTGTTTTTAGGGTTTTCCCGGCAATTATTCCAATTTTTCTCACCTTTAAACCTTCCCTGGACTTCCAGGAGTATTTCAAGATTAAAATTAGCCAAATCGGTTCAGTCGTTCTCGAGTTTTAGCGAGACTAAGGAACAGCAATCCATTTTTATATATATAGAAGATAGAAGATAATATTCCTCTCCCTTTCTAATGAGTTTCATTCTACTATAATTTATTTTCACTTTTCATTAATTTTAGAGGCACTGACCTAAGTCTCCTTTGTTAGTTAATACCTACGTACTCCACTCTGTTGTTCAAATAATAGAGTATAATATAGATCTCATAATAATAGGTAGTTTACTACATTAACCTAATTGAATTTAGTAAATAACTGAATTCAGTATACAATGATATGTAGAGTTTTTAAATAGGGGGAGGGGGGGTAGACAGAACTTATTTTATTTAATTAAATGCAAATAGAGCACAGTACATCTCAATGTTTTTAATTTAACTTAATTCGTTAACTAAGTCATATTGCCTGGAAGGCGTCGCTAGTATCGGTCAGGCGAAAATGTTACCGTTTAATTTCGGTAGATGGAACTTTGACCAAATATTAAATCGAACAAAACAATAATTATTATATGCGAGATGGGAACCGTACACTGATGTGTGATTGAATCATTTCTTATTTCACGTATTGAATGCGTGGCAGTAAACTATGTAACTCAAACTATAACACGGAAGAATTATGACCTATATTAGAAGACGCAAATTCGAGTAAGAAGGAAGCAGTAGAAAATTTTTAATATGTATCGTAATCTACTGTGTTAAAATTTGGTATTTCATCTTCTCACAATTCGAAATCGTTCACACTCCATACGGAGCTTTCACAATTTTTATTCATAAATCTTCGCACATTATTATAGGAGTCTGCTTCGAAGGCAGCCCTAGTAGAGAGAGCTTTTACGGTGGGCCGTGGAGGAGAGCGGTTAACGCCAGTTAGATAATACCGCTTACACCTACATCTGGGTCTTAAATCTCCGGCTCTGTTGAAACTCCTCACCCTGCAACGCGATGGACCCGGCGGCCGGCACCTTTAGGTGGAATCCATGGAATGCTAAATTGTTTCGTCTGTTAACGTACTTTATAGGTAAAAACCTGCAGCGCGTCGTATATACTGTGACGATGTAAACTCGTGCTAAACAAACTGATATTTTAATTTAATTATGACCAAATTTACAAACAAAGAAGATAAGTTCAGAAAAATATAGGTTTCTATTTCTTTATAAAATAGCCTGGATATTGTAATTTAATTTCTTGAACATCTAATTATTAATTAATCTTTATTTCCAGGTTAATCTTTATTTGATAAACAATTTTTTATAAAACTTTTTGAGGTTGGTGCCATGTACATGGTTACAGATTTTTTTGAACTTGATCGCACTAAAAGTAGTCATATACAGTAAGCTAAACATCATAAGATTGTATTTTTTTTATCTATTTTTATAACTTATGTACCAAGCAACATTTATAGGTTATCATATACATAATTTTGTAACATAAACTTACTTATAAAGAAAACATAACTAGGTACTATAAGATGTAAAATTCTTCTATACATTATAAATTCTTTAAGTTTAAAAAAATAATTTCATCAATAACAGTATTGAAAACTTTTTCATAAAATGAATAAGGATTAACTCCCATTAAATTCATAGAGATGTGTTTGTAGCCTTTTTCTTTTCTCAAAAGGTAAAAGGAATAAAACAAATGAAATGGGCTTAAATGTTTATTAACCTAGAACTCAACATACTCCTTAGTCCAGCTGAAACAAAAGAATATATATTATTAATTTTCATAAAATATACTTCATTTTTTAAAACAATTAAGCCTATTGACTAGAAAGTATATTTTGACGTAAATTACTATGTTGTTGTTCTAAGAACATTCTTATGTGTCCAGTAGGGTGAAAACGCTTTGTTCATGTATTCATGTATATATTAGCAATAATTAAAATATAAACAAATCAAAGATAAAATTGCCCAATAAATAGCATAGATATAACAGGATATCTGTCAATTTAAAGAGCCAATCTAAATAGATCAGAAACTATTACAGACCTTTTTACCGTGACTATCTTAACTGTGTTTCAGAAAATTCATGAGAACAATTTAAATTTTAGGTCCAAAATAAAAAGTTAATTTTCTATCTCTATGAAATAATATTTAATGTTAGTTCGACATATTATAGGGACACTTGGAAATTATTGTATAGGATAATAATTTTAGAGAACTGGTATGTAAATTGACTTATAAATAATCACATTTAATATATCCAGTAATTCAGAAGAAAGAAAACTCAAAAATAAGTATTATAATTATGTACTACTGATTTCAACTTTTATCCACATTTAGTTACGTAAAGTTTTAATGAAGTTTTTGTGATAATTTTCATAGAATATCAATAAATTAGTACTAAATATTACACGATATATATTTATATGGAAAACATGATACGTTGATCAAAACTTCATACGATATATAAAATTATTTTAAGAGGTTAGTATGTTTACCTTCTTGAATCCAATGTCATTGGCATATTCTCTGAAGCACTGACGGCAAATGTTCAGACCATATTTGCGGATAAGCCCGTGTCTGTTTGAGCAGGCTCGGCTGTAGAAAATAAAATATGTTGAGGAACACGTGTTCAAGCTTCACCATATTAAAACCATTTTTACTATTTATTTCAAGTTCAAAATACATACCATGAGCGAGATCCCTGTCCGTAACGACGTGGGTGAGAAAACCAAATGTTTGCGTGGCCCATTTTAATGAAATTATTCACCAAATGTTCGGAACTACGTCCAAAATGGCGCGTGAACGAATTGAAAAGAAATTTCAAGCAGGCGAGATAAGTGACATATGTCAAGTTAATATGACAATTCACAATTGTATAATTTTGATCGACTATGGCTTCGTGGTTTTATCAAATCTTATCTTGTATAATTACCTAATAATTATAAATTTATTCTTTAAAGGTAGACAAATAAAAATAGAATTACTTAATTTATAATATTTTTAAGATTTCCCATAAACAGTGTACTATATAGTATACAATACTTTTGTATTATAAATATACAGTATTCGCTATCATTCTCAGCTTTCTCTTAAATTCTAGAAGAGTTGATTTTATCGTTTCTTTGTTAAAATTGATTTCTACTGTAGAGCTATCTGAAATCCAGGTTTTCAACTTTAAAATTGGAGTGAAGCTTTTCATGTTTCTCAATAAAAAAAAAATGTTGTTGAACAAACTGTTGGCGAGTATAATATAGACTGGTGGAATTTAACTGCTTAGATTTAGAATCACTGACACTTGTTTACTACTGGCCTTAGGTTTCCAATTTTAAGAATACGGCTGTTATATTTTTGTTTAAAAATTTATAAAAAATAATAGGTCTCCTGCTGATGTTACCTTTTTTGAAAGCTTCGGTTGGAAGGGTTTTCATCAACCTAAATAATATTAAAACACAGCACTGTAGGAAAACCCCTTTTCAAATAGTATTGATGATAAAGTTTGAGATATTTTTTTGATTTTTTATATGGTATAGTTTATAATAAATTAGTAGTATACAAATTTTTATTATTAATAGTAGTATACTAATTTTTGAATATAATAATGGTTTTATTCCAAAGTATAATTTCGGGGAATAAGTAGGGAATTAATAAAAACAAACAAAGAATTGACAACACTGACGCGGGGAATCCAGATATTTTAATTGGCAGCACTGATAATGACAGATCACTTACAGTTAAATGAAGTAGTTTTTTTTTGTTCTAAGTTCAATGTTCATTAATACTTGAACTTTCATTGGAGCGTCACTATGGGGCTTATCATTGGAATGTTTAAGCTTATATTACGAATAATATTAGTGTTATCGGCCTTAGCAGCCTTTATCCTTCTCATACCTAATCTACCGCCTTATACAAAGTTTACAAGCATAAAGTAAGTTATTAATTCAAGACAACTTCAATGTTACCGTTATGTGAAAGTATAGTGAAATTACCTTTATTTACTCTAGGGTAGAGCCAACACTAGAGAGGAGTGGAAGTTTAGCGTATAACAACATTTTAAATCAACCAGCACAATTATACAAGGATAAGTTATTAGGACCAGAATGTTTCCAAGTATGGAACGACGAGCTTTACACAAGTCTCGCGACCGGCGAAATAGTCAAGCTATCACGTGGACGCCACGTAACATTTGTTACCAAAATTGGACAGCCTTGCAGTAAGTTACAAACTAGTACCATAATTCATTAATCACGTTGCCACAATAATATTTGTAACATAAATTTTTAAGCTGGACTCACCCAAGAGCACATTTGTGGACGACCGCTCGGTTTTGTGATTGACGAAAAGAAAAAAAATTTGATTGTTGCCGATGCATATTATGGGATATGGAAGGTCAGTTTGGAATCGGACAAGAAACAACTATTGGTGTCACCAAATGTGGCTATAGATGGAACAGTTCCAATGTTATTTAACTCAGTTGCTTTGGCCAGCAACGGTGACATATACTGGACCCACTCAAGCTCAGATTTTCATCTAAAAGATGGAGTGTTTGCGATATTCTCCGATCCATCGGGAAGGTAATCATTATACTTATTTATGAGAAATCTTTTTCTATTGTTTATATCTCCTTACATACTTATAACATTTTTCATATCATTACCAGGTTACTGCATTACAATCCCGCTAAAAACGAGAGCAAAGTCCTGTTAGATGATTTGTGGTTTGCCAATGGTCTAGCTATATCGCCAGATAACCAATTTGTTGTTGTAGCAGAAACAAGTAGATACAAACTAACTAAATACTACATTAGTGGACCAAAGAAAGGGAAATCTGAAGTGTTCGTTTCTGGTTTACCAGGTGAGATAAAACTTATATACCTATGTATATTTATTATGTTTAAAATTATTACAATGGTATATATTTACCAAGCTATTTACCATTCTCTGTAATTTCCACCAAATTTAATTAATTTTTATACACATATTTATTTTTGTTAGTCTTTTAAACCTCAACATAAATTAACTTTTCAAGCACAATGCCTGAAAGACTAGTTCTAAATATTATAGCTATCATTAAAATCAAGCCGTTTCCAAAGATTTAAATAAGCTTCAGCAATCCTTAAACTGTAAATTTCATTTAATAGAATGCTCTAAGTATATTTAAATCAGAAATTATAAGTTCATTCTTACAAATATTTTGTTTATTTATATAATGACATTATATACTTTAAGTAACTTGTTTTGCAGTAATTTTAGGACGGAATTTATATACACGTATGAAAAGCAATATAAAATCCCCGAGGATATTTGTGCGTCGGCCTCCAGACCGGATATATTTTTGTTTTCGCGAATTTTAAAGCGCGTAGTGATGATAGAGCTTACGGTCCCTTGGGAAACCAACATCCCCAAAGACCATACCATCAAGGTCAACAAATATTACGAGCTCACAAACGAACTCACTCGAAATAGGTTCGTAGTAGATTTGTACGCGGTAGAGGTGGGAGCGAGAGGTATAACAGCGAAATCTCTCTACAACCTACTAAAGGACTTGGGCTTGTCCAGAACTCACATTAATGCATTCTTGGAACGTATACCGAAGGCAGCCCTAGTAGGTTCTTTTCAAATTTGGTTAGGTAGGGAGAGGAGCTTGGACAGTGGAGGTGAGCGTATAACGCGCGTTAGTTAAGGGGCCCCTTAAACCTACACTTGGGTCGCAAGTCCCAGGCACTGTTGAAGCTCCTCCCCCTGCAACGCGATGGACCCGGCACCCGCACGGTGAATCCATGGAATGCTTAGTAGTTTCGTCTCTGTCATAAATATATGAAGGTTTCTATTGTAAATTTTTCATAAAAATCTAAACTAATTAATATGTAGATGCAAGTTAAAATGAAACACAAAATCATGTACATATTCATAGTGCAGTCTGCATTTATCTTAAATAAACATAATGTATCTCAAAGTAAGTATTGGTTTAACATAGTTTATCAATATGACTCACATATTTATAAAACTAAACTCTTATCTGCAACCATCTTTATGTAATTTTTTAATGTTGTCATGTAAACATTTTGCAATTTTAATTGCGATTTGCAATTTTGATATTATAGTACATATTTAATTTCGTACTTACTATCAACAACGATTGTATGCAAATGATTAATGAAGGTCACATTTAAGTATTATATATCTTGTGCTATGACTTTCATTTAATTATTTTGATATACAAATAATTTAATTTTGATAAATTATAAGTGAAATAGTATTATAAGTATCAATATTTGTAAACATTAATGTTTCAAAGACTATTGGGTTAATTAAGCTATGACTGTAGAGATTTGAATGGAACTTTTGCAATAAATTCACTCACACATTAGAAAAGCACTTAGAGTTTACTATATAAATAGTGTGTAAATAGTAAAAAATAATGAACACTCACACAAATTTAGGGAAAAATAAACTTTATAATTCAAATGTGTGTATTGGGTCGGTCAAATAACTTCTTTATCATATAAACCTGCAAGAATCCAACACTTGACATGAGAGTTATTTGTAAACCAGACCAGCAATCAACTATGAAGGTGTCTTCTAAAGCCAAGTAACTGTCTCGAGACTTGCTAGCACTGTACATGTCTAACATATGTCGAGCTTTGACTACGTGGCTTAACGTGCGTATTAGAGCTTCATTTATTTTGGACACCTCGATGGTATAGTTTGAGCCGTCTTTGTCTTGTCCCAGCCACTCCACAATTTCTTCCTCATCATCATCATTAACAACAGCTACGTCAGTCTCACCATCTTTCCTGTCTTCAACAACAACGTACACGAAAACTAACTTTGAATTCATGATACTGTAGGTATTATCGAGACAGAAAACGTAATCTCCGTCGTGTTCCAAATCCATTATTATTGAGTTTTCAGATTTCTTGTAATCCGACACCAGTTTATTTCCTTCGGGGTCAATGACCTCCACTGATATATCCAAAGTACCGTGTTGCCCGTCTATGACCTGATAGAAGAATTCCATTATCTGCCCAGCCTTGCCCTTCTCGAAGAAGCAAGTCCTAGTACCCGCTTCTACTCTGAAGTTCACATCGGTTTCATAGATTTCTTGGAATGTTCCCGAAGTTAGGAAAATAGTAAAAATACATAATGAAGTTAAGGAATACATTACGATTATCTGATAGCTAAATGAATGTAGACTGTACGGTCTCTTCGCTTAACCTATTGACTTGAATGTACTGTTTGCACAGATGTGAGTGTATGTAACAGAAATGTACCAATAAACTGGTGTAACTAGAACCAATGAAATCATACATTTATTTGCTAAACGATACGTAATAATCGAATTTTGATTAAATATCTACGTTTCTTTGTTATAAAAATAGTTTACAGTCCAATTGTCTACAAGTAGTCTTGTGAATATAGCTTCATTTTTATATTTGAATTTAAATATGAAATTTAGGAAAACAGAACAAAGAAATAATCCAACAATAAAAAAACTTCAATAGCTACCTCATAGTCATTTTCTTTATATTGGTTACTAACAATAGGAATTAAATGAGGTCCTATCAAATTTTCAATCTATTATGTTTTCAACAAAAATAACGTTTTACAGGTCTACCAGACACAGTACGTCCATTGCCCGATGGTTCAGGGATACTCGTCTCCTTATACAACGTGTTCGATGATGAAAATCCTTTGATCATCAAATCTATGTCCGAGACTCCGCTTGTGAGGAAATTTATAGCTCGTCTGCTCCGACTAATAGAAATACCTTTCGAATATCTACAAACTCATTTCGACAACCACGTGTTTGAGAGCATCGTACATTACGTGAGTACTTTTTAAAACCATTCAATCTCACTATATTTTAACATTGAATTAAACTTCTATTTAAATGTCAGTTATTCTGAGCATTCTGAGACGGAAATTAATCAATTTTTTGTTGCAGATCGGCCATTTCAGTAGCGCATCGGCGTTTAGTACCGGATTATCGGGTCTAGTTCAAATAGATTGGAATGGTAACATCGTTGCGTCGTATTACAACACAGACGGCGGTGTGAGCCACATTAGTGATGCTATTGTTTTTAACGATCAGTTATTAACTGGAAGTCCTCATCATCAAGATTTTGTTGCCGCCGTCCCAGCTCCTCCATTGCTGAAAAAAGCTTTTGCCAAACCGATCAAAGAAGAAAAGGCTAAAGTAAAAACAGAACAAAATATAAAACCCAAAGTCAATGAACCCGAACAAGCTCCCAGAACTACGCCAAAACCAGTAGAAAAACCTAAAGCTCAGGTCAATGAACCTAAAGAAGTTCCAAAAACTACACCAAGACCAGTAGAAAAAGAGAAACCTAAGGTCAATGAACCCAAACAAGCTACAAAAGCTGTACCAAAACCAGCAGAGAAACCAGTTGAAAAAGTTAAACCCAAGGTTGTTGAACCCAAAGAAGCTCCTAAAACCGCACCAAAACCGGTAGAAAAACCGCTACCAGCAAAAGAAGCTAGACCAGTTGAAGCTAAACAAGCGTCACAAACTAAACCAACACCAGCTAAAACACAACAAGTCAAACAGGATAAAGTAATTGAACCCAAAGCAGAAGCTAAAGTCGTCAAACAGGAAAAAGACTCAAAAGCTGACGTCAAACCAAAAGTGTCCAAAGACGCTAAGGTAGAGACACCAAAACCAAAGGTAGAACCGAAAGCGGCTGACCCGAAACCGAAAATTCAACCCAAAAAGGAAGCAGTTACACCGAAACCTACAGAGAAACCGAAAGTCGTCCAAAAGGAACCAGAAGTTAAACCGACACCAGCACCGAAAGTCGAAACGAAACCAGTCGTGAAAGAAGCAAAAAAAGTTGAACCGAAAGCACCTAATGTGAATGACAAGGAAAAGAAATCTGCCAAAAAGACTGACGAACCTAAACCCAAACCTTCAGAAGCGAAGCCACAAGCAAAACCAAAACAAAAAGAACAAGACATTAAACCGATTGAAGAAGAAATACCATCAGATACTATAAAGCCAAGCAAAGAAAAACTTAAAGTTATAAAGAAAAATGGACCACAGGAAATACCAAATCCGAATTTGTAAGACATATACTATATACTAATGAAGAAACAAAGTAGGTTATAATGGGTTGTCAACTTGGTTAGTGGTTATATATTTTGTTATTGTCAAATTTAAGTCTCTTTAATAATTATCATTCCTTAACATATCTATGCATTCCTTAGAGATCTAGTAATATCATTTTTTTTTTCAAATTTTAAATAAGCTTATTTATTTTTCATACATTTGAAGATCTCTCGTAGAAGTAAAGTTGTTACCAACGCGTGCAATTCCACAACATAAATCTCATATAGGATATAATTATTTTTGTAATCGTATTGTTTTTATCTCAAAATTACACAAAAAGTATATTTTTACACTTTAACATGATAATTTTATTATATAAGACATGAGTCTTTAAACTAGCAATAATGTAAAAGTTAATAAAAGTTTTCTATTTATTTATTCAATTTTTTTATTTAACATTACCAGTAAGGCACATTATTTTAATGTAATCTATGTGATATTAAAATAAGAGCGAAAACAGAGATTAAAAAGAATTATAGTAAAAACCATTTTCATAAAATAATTTAATAAAATACGACACAAAATATATTATGATTGTATAAATCAACAAAGATGCTATGTATGAAATATAAAGGTGTTATCTAGATTCTAACATAAGATAAGTTGGAATTGGGTGAAATTCAGCAAAACAGCGCATATAAAAATTACCTACATTTAAAAATATTAAAGATTATATCACCATGATATCTATCGTTTATGTATATCTATACATCTACATAATTTTTCTTTTAATAAAATAAATTCATTACCCTACAACATAACGTCATTTTACAGTATCAATTAAAACCGGTAATTTTACATAATTACTAAAAATCGATTAATGCCGTGACTGATAACAGCACTAGCATCACTAATCGATAAATAACCTAGGAATAAATATTAGCTGTGGATCGAGGTATAAAATAAAACAAATTTTGTTAGGTAAGATTTATTTTTAAACAATTACAGCTTAATATTCCTAAAGTATTTTATTTATTTGGAATGTAATTGTTGGTAAAGATATTTACCACCAATTTCATGATGATTTTGGCGCTTTTAAAAACGTTTTTCACACGCTTTAGTTCAACCAATAGATACAATCATACAATGGAAGTATAATATTATTGTTAGGCAAAAAAGATATTGTTATAATAAAAAATATGGATAAGCTAACAGCATGATTTTTTCTACTACATATAACATGAAATTTTCCTAACTAGTGATGTGACACAAAAATATTTACAAAAGGGATGGGAATTATTTTAAATGTTAGGTTCTAACAATGCAAACTTGAGTCAAAGCATCTCTAACGGCTTAAAATTAATATTAATTGTATTATGATTATTTATTTCTAGATTTCCTAAATCTTTTGTTTCTTTTCCAATGCAGTCTACCATTTTTGTTAAGTTGGCATTGTTATTTTCGCTTAATACTAAAAATCAGTCATAGTGAGTGTCGAAATTTACTTAAACTTTTATGTTGAATAAAAAACGCTATAATAATTAGTATTATATTTAGTTCGTAAAGAAAATACTAACGGAAGTTTTTAACTAGCGGGTTATGTTTAACAGAGAGTATTTTTGTATAAAATTAATTACGTTTTATTTAGTGGCAAGCTAAATGAAAACTTGATCCGCGGCGAGCGCGTCCGCGAAAGGTTTTGCTATGGATCGGGTCGCGAAATAAAATATAAGCCCGAAAGTTATTGATATCGGCAGAGCTGGCAACGCCTTCTTGAATATAGCCAGCAACAATAATGTGAGACATAATCCCTGAAAAAAAAAACAAGCATATAACTAAGCATTTTTGTATACTGTGGCTGAATTCGTGGAATATTTGCCATAAACGCAGAATTCTACACGTCAAAGTTTTTTTGATAATTTGACAGCTCATATGTTGACCATACAAGAGTCAAATAACAAAGATTATAGTAATTATTTTCACTAAATATAATCCCTACTAACTAATATTATAAATGCGAAAGTAACTCTGTCTGTCTGTCTGTTACGCTTTCACGCCTAAACCACTATAAAACTGATTTTAATGAAATTTGGTAGACATAGAGTTGACCTTGAGAAAGAACATAGGATAGTTTTTATCCCAGTCTTTTAAAAGATTTTTTTGGAAACGCGATATAACCGAACTCCACGCGTGCGAAGCTGCGGGCGGAAAGCTAGTATATTATATAGAGTAAATTATATATAAATATTAAGTTACAATACGTACAATAAGTATGGCCATGAAACATGCGAGTGTTGTGTTCCAGTCGCCGTATGAACTAGCCTTACCGACCAGAACGCTGTAGAAGATGAAATCACCCAAACCCAATTTAACGCCCTCTGTAACAAAGTAACATTTTGAATAAAATTACTATATGATCCATAATTTTCCTAAACTAACCTTGAAACTTTATAATATAGTGTGAAATCGATAAAGTGTAAAACATTTATGTGCCATTAAAATGTTTATATATTACATTTATTATATAAAAATTAATTATATTATAAATATTTTTACATCTATAGTTTGAACCTATGTAATAAAAGCTTATTAAAAAGAGAATCTTAGATTTGTTAAGTGTGATTTCAGACTAGCGTATTTTTTTGCGTCTTTCCAACATACGCGCACTATATTACGAGCTTCAAAAAATCGGAAACGCCTAAAGGTCATATTTTAATTTCTTCGCTCGTACCGAGGATATCGTGTCAGTATCAACATGGAATCTGACGAAGAAATATTATTACATATTTGCGTTACTTATTCACCCTCGACTAAGACGAAGAAAAAAATGCTAGGTGTCATCAATAATTGTGTCAAGATTGCTAACCGGTCACTTAAATACTCTTTTCACAGAAGTATTAGGGCTTAGAAGCGCGTCAACGCTTGTACGAGTTGAGTTTAAACCAAAAGGCCCGTCTATACGTACCTACATGCGATTGCAAACACGAGCTACTAGCTATTAAACGCTAGTTTGAAACCGCCCTAAGGGAGCTTTCAAGTATTACGTAACGCAATTTTCGAAGATTTTAACCCCCCTTGTAATGCACCATAACGTTTTTATGTAAGATCGCCCCCCACCCCTTCACTACACGTTACGTTACACTCAAGTGATCAATTTCATAAAGTCGTAAAAAGTTATGTAATATTTTGCTATAGTTTAATCTACTAAATGAAACAAGATCACTGATACAAATCTCCCTATTATAAAAAAAATTACAGTATGAACAAACACTGACGAATACTGACCACGGAACCAGCATTAAATGACGTACAATGCAATCTAGGTATTCCCCATAAAATATAAATTAAGAAGTTTGCAAACTTGCGATAACAAATTAAAAATGTCGACCTGAAAATACAATCGAGGGATTGTAGTTAATTCTGGGGGATTGTATTGGTCTGGTCGACATAATGTAATGTATTTGAAAAGGGTTGCCAGTTTGAGGATTTTAATTCATTATTTTTTTAGAAACATTGCTACGTAACGTTTTGTAAGAAACACCCCCTCTCGCCTCTGTAACGTAATACTTGAACACTTCCTAACACAGTACCACTAAAAAGGCTATGGTATATATTGTTCAGCCAGAATTTTTTACTAATTTATTTACTTACTCTCATCATCAGCATCCTGCGATGTCTCCTCAACCCTGGTGACGTATCTCGCTGACGCTGTTCCCTCTACTCGTAAGTGTCTCGGGGCTCCGGCCGCGGCGCGCTCCCTCCAAGCGTTATCAAAACCTCCCTCACCATCACCATCGCCCCCGGAATTAACGTTACCCTCGGAGTTCGAAGATCCTAGGATGAATGCGTGTTGATTTATGACAGATAAAAAAGTTCTTCATTAAAAAAATATAAATTGGGCTGAATGTTAACTTGTGTCAAGTAATAAAATTAAAAAGAAATCCATATTAGTACACTATCAAATATCCTACGAATGATTAGTACTATATTAGTATGTTAATCATATAAAATCTGAACATGCATATATTTTAGTTTATATATATGGTGTATTAAAAAAGCTAGTGTGCCGATACACAGACTTTACTTTTTTATTAATTTATTAATATATTTTTTTTATCTGTATTTATATATAATCTGTGTAAAGCGTGTGCACGGACCGTGCGGCTGTAGGGGGCGCAGCTCGCGCTCACCTTCGACCGCTGCCAGCATGTACATCACCGTCGCTGGAATATAACAAAACTGATTATTGACATACACATACAACACTTATATAAAGCTATAACTATATATATGTATATTTTAAACAACTCTTCTAAGTAAAGGATCTATTATACATATATGTTACATTAAATATTAACAAAAATATATCATTAAGTAAGGTGTGAAAATTTTGCCATAAACATGTCATTAATTGACAACCACTATTGAAGTATGAGACAAGAGTCTTAACTTCTTATTATTCAATGGATTCACTATACGAGTGCCCAGTTCATCATTACAGGGAGAATTGCTTCAACAGTGACTGGGTCTTGCGACCCAGGTGTAGGTTTAAGGGAATATCTAACGCGCGTTAAACACTCACCTCCACCATCCAAGTTACTCTCATTACCTAACTAAATTTGAAGAGGTAGAATATAATGTTACATACATGAATAAATAAGTGCTGGGAATATTGGTTCATTTCTCTCCTGAGCGGTCTCAACGAGTATCCTAAGAGGTCCTTTTGGTGTCAGGACGGCTATCAAATCTGTTAACATATATAATGTAAATATATAATTAAGGAGACTGAATTGATGGTAATTTAAAATGTAAACAGGTGGTATGACAAATATTGATGTTTTTACACTAAAATATCAAAAATAGAGCAATTGTATATCTAAAATTTGAGAGAACTTTATAAATTTATTGATAAATAATAGAAAATATAAAATTAACATAAATATAGAACCAAAAAAAAAATTTGAACTTATCTACATATGTTCAACTTACCCCAAATTGATATAACAGCTAGAACAGCCCATGTTGTCCACTCCGGCAGATATTTTATAAATACTAGTGCCATCAATGCCGCTATAAATATAAGGTATGCCTGCTGCATTCGCAACGGACCCTTCCAGTGAATGGTAATCATTCCCATCACACCAAAATTCCACATCACGAAAAATATTGTTATATAATCCAATGGTATGTTATATGCTCGTAATGCTTCCCTGAAAAAAAAAAAACAAATTAATTTAATACATATTTCAAGAACCAAATCATTAATTTTAGAGGAAGGTCTAGATAGTTTGGTTGCCTAGATGAAAAATCTTTTGTTATATGTGACTCCATCTGTATAATATAGGATAATCCTTATAATTTTTTATGACTGATTATAAATTATCGTAATTTAAGTAACAACTTGTATATAGAAGCTATAAACACTGGCTTCATCATTATTAGGAGTAACAGTGAACATTAAAAATCAAATCTCTAAATGTACCTTGAACACTTTATCAATGACAAAACTTATTAAATACATACTCACTCTATATATAGATATGAGAACAAGAATAGTAGCATCAGCGAAGACAGTATCAACCAGCCATGGATGACCTTATAGCAGCGTTTCTTGTACAATACTATAAGCAACACCGTCATAAACGCTATCACACACAGCAGGATCATTGAATTGGCGAGAGCGTTCCACACTTTGGTCGCAGCATGAGGACTTTCTTCATGGAACGGAGTATAGGCCCTGGAATCATGTTAATAATAAATGTGATTTTAATATAAATTAATAATGAAAATGGTGAGATTAATTAAGTGTTAATAGTTCAAATTTATTTTTAGAATTATAATAGCAATAAACTTAATTTTGTTTTCTTTTTTTTATGCCAAATAAAAGATTTTGTTTTTATTGTATTTATTAATAGAATTAGGCAAGGCGATTAAATTATTTAACTTTCATATGATTAATAGTAAATCTTTATCAATGGTTAGATATTGAAAATTAATATTTTTTAAGTATCATTTAGGTGTTGTCATATATGTCATTTAGTAATCAATTATCAATACTAATGTAATTGTTTAGTTTGTCCCTTACAAATATAACATTTAATATCAATTATAACTTACAAGTACACATCTTTGACAGAGTAGAAAGTAATAGATGATATAGTGGCGACCACTACCATCATACACAAAGTGACCGGCACAAACAGTTTAATGACATGCCGAGCACCATATTTCAATTCCATTTCTTCACTCTGGTCTGCAGTCTCCTCTGAGGGATTCCGACGGGAGCCTCCTGCGCCTGCCTGCCTACTTTCTGACGCTTCCACTGTCTAAATAGTTTAATATATCATGAATTTTTGTCTTGACAATGTATAAGCTTAAATCAATAAAACTCGGGATAATCTTAGATCTCAATATATAAGCTTGATTATAAGGACTTTTGTTTAACATTTAGTTCAATTAGAGAAACAAAACACTCCACTTAAAGGAATAACGGTATATATATCAATATAGAGATACGTAAGATTCATTCCGATTAGTCATGTTTAGTTCCAATAGAATAAAGATATAATATGATTATTAAATTATATACTTACTCCATAGTTCCGGGTTGTGTCCGACTTTGTTTTACGTTTTCTCGCGATGCGTTCAGCAACTTCCCTGTCCGGGCGGGCCTCTGCTATATGTCCGTCCATGAGTGCAGTATGCTCTGTCGCTTCTATATCACTACCGGTGTCACTCATTCATATATTTTTTCCTATCAGGTAACATATTAAAACATATATAATCCTTTTGTATTGAATATTCTGTGAGAACGCAATAAAAGGTATATCCTAGAGTTATGACAAATATTAGGAAGCGACGACGATAATGTTTTAGTATTTGTCACTTTGAAGTTGAAAACGTCATAATATAAATAAATATGGTATTAAGATTGAGCGACTTAAGTTGGAATGAAGCCTTAGCGTAAATAAAGAAGTAGCTAAGACGTCTCGATTTCACTGTAATAAATCCTTTGTTGGAAAATATATTTTAATGAAAATAATTAATAATTTTTCTTTTTATGTTTTTAATATTTTTTAATTTACAGCTTCATTCTCTTCTTGAAACGATAATAACGAATGTACCATCTGAAATAGCGATTTCACTAGATCAGAAAATGGATATGCAACATTTTATGTTGCTTGAAATTCTTTTAAAAAAACATTTGATAATTAATCAAGTTACTGCTACAACTTTATTAGAATTTTTTAAATTATTTAATTAAACAAGAGGAACCTTTGTTCTTACTTAACATCTTAAAAGAAACAGTCATTGTTAAAACAGTTGAAAAATAATTTCAGATCATAAGCAAATTAGGAAAGAGAGAAATATCGTAAAACAGTTTACAACCGAAAACTATATTGTGGTCGGTTAAAAAAAAAGCAGCAGGAAGTACCTACTAAAAATGTTAATAATTTTTTAAAGCGGTTATATTATGATGTAACTCAGAAGTAAAAAAGTGATTTAAAACTGTATTAGAGAATTTTATTACAGAAATAATTCTATAAAATTGTAGTTTATACAATATCATTAATAAACAGGTACAAGCGATTCTTCAAAATAAAACATACGATAGGACTTACGTAATGGTAATAATAACGAATTATACGTTCCTCGATTGATGTTTATGATTAAAAATGCATATACCGATATTTAATATTGCCTTCATAGTTAAAATTATACTTTACTTATAATAATTTTCATCTTTCGCCGTTTTGTTCGTTCAGACTCGAGGGTAATTTTCTCAACAAAAATTTTATCCCAGTACCTCAAGTATTAATATGAAAAACCTATTTTCATTGTATATTTTTTATATACCTCAAATCAATGCCATATTTTTACAGCGAAACACATAAAAACAATCTACATTAATTTAATAATATGGCCTTATTTCCTTCATGTTCAATGTAATTTACAATTATGGAGGTAAATTTTAATTTCAGCAAACAATAAAACAAATGAGTGTACATTTTATGATTTATTGAAATTACATTGAATCTTTTAATAAAGAATTTAATATGTCTAGTTTCTTCTCTTCTTAGTACAAGACAATATTTAAAGGTACAATCCTTCTGGAGTGCCTTCCTTCTTGCGATATAGGACACTCTCTTTGGACTTCTTGAAATCTTCATTAGTAACTTTCATACGTCTTTCTCTGAGTGCCATTAAACCAGCCTCGGTACAAATGGCCTGAAAGGAAACAACAAAACTTATCAATATTATAAGAAAATAACAATAATATATTAAAATTCTTCTAGAGTTTGACATCTTAGCAATATTTAAAAAGTTTATACACAAGAATATCCAACTCTTTTTCATATAATGTATGAGTAATACATATAATAGTCAGTGGTGGCCTAGTGGTTAAAGGGCCCGCCTCTCGTTGCCGAGGGCGCGGGTTCAAACCTGGCAAGTACCAATGTGATTTTTTGGAGTCATATGTACTTTCTAAGAGTATTTAGACACCACTGACAGACGGTGAAGGAAAACATGGACTTATAATTTCATGATTATAAGTTTGAAACCACCAACCCGTCTTGAGTAAGCGTGGTGATTAATGCTCAAACCTTCTCCACGTGAGAAAGAGGCCTTTGCTCAGCAGTGGGCTCTGATAGGCTGATGACGACCACGTAATACATTAAAGATATACCTACTATAGTAGTGTGAGTGTGCATGTGTATACATGTGTATATTTTTAAGTATCCATGTAGGTATGTGTGCATATGCTTTTGTGTGTATCCCTGTGTGTGTGTGTGTTTATATATGTTTGGACACATGTGTATATGTGTGTGTGTGCCTGTTGTGTCTAATATCAAACCGTTACCTTCATATCTGCCCCGGACAGATCATCCTTGGACATAATAAGTTCTGACAAGTTAACGTCATCAGCCAGGGTCATTCTGGACGTGTGTATGGTGAAGATGCGTCTCTTGGTCTTTTCATCGGGCAGTGGGAACTCTATCTTACGATCGATACGACCTGGACGAATCAATGCCGGGTCTAGCGTCTCTATTCTGTTAGTCGCCATTATAACCTGAATTACAATGGATAGGTCAATTAATTCGAAAATTTTACGAATTATATGCTTATATGTGAAAAAAATTAATAAGCAATATTTAATATTTCTCATTGTGAATTTTTTTTGGTAGTTCTGCATTTATTTCTCTAAAAATTTATTACCTCTTGTACTTTTTACCTCTTTGTGTTGTAATTTGAACGTAATTTTTTTAGAAAAGTCTACGTATTATAAACTGTTATTTTTCTAAACACAGCTATTTACACATCAATAGAATTCTTAACCAGATAAATTCTTGTTACCAAAGTCTTCAAGTTGTACTGCAGTTCAAATTTTTGGTTATTAGAGGTGAATCACTAATAGCATACCTTAACATCTCCTCTTGAATCAAAACCATCCAACTGATTAAGGAGCTCCAACATAGTTCTTTGAATTTCCCTCTCTCCACCGGAGTTGGAATCATAACTAAACGAAATTATGATTAAAGTATTGTATATTTAATATATATGTCACAAAAAAATTCACATTGAACTACAACTGTATGGGTTATTTGTAATGAATTAAAAAATATACCAGCATATATGTATATAAAGAACAAAGTCAAAGTAAGATGTATATTTTATTTGATTTATAGGATTATTACATAATTAAATTCTTTTTACTTCATTGTCTTACCGTTTTGTCCCAACAGCATCTATTTCATCAATAAATACAATTGATGGAGCATGTTCTTCGGCTACTCTGAATAACTCACGAACTAATTTTGGACCATCACCCTGAATAAATGAAAATAATATTAGGATACATATAAAAAACTCGCATAACAATGAATTATATGATAAAAAAAAGTTGTTTTTTCTATAAATAGCAAATATTCTCTACTAAGAACAGTTGAATGTGTATTGTTAATATTAAAGTTATATTCACCAAATACTTCTGAATCAGTTCAGAGCCGACAACTCTCAAGAACGTGGCCGATGTCTGATTGGCCACAGCCTTAGCCAGTAAGGTCTTTCCTGTGCCGGGTGGCCCATACAAAATTACTCCCTTTGGCGGCTTAATGCCCATCTCTTCGTAATACTCTGGATGAGTTAGTGGAAGTTCCACTGATTCCTAATTAAGAGAACGTATATATACATAAAATTTATCTATTTTAACAAACATTAATAAAAAGTACCAAGTATTGTTTACAATAACAGGCTTTGGTTGGAAAAGTACGTTTTTTGAATCTTTTGTATGTATTGTAATAAAAAACTTATTTTAATTAAAAGGAGGGAACTTTTTTTAAGAATTCTACTATGCAAAACATATTAACTTTTTTATATATGTATAGTTTTAATATGTAATCAGTACATTGTAAATAAAGTATGACCCAGAAACAACAAAGAAAAGGGAATTGTATTAATACGCTTTATGTTAAAGGAAAAAAGTACTTTATCTAGTCCCAAAAATGTAGGAAATCATGTTCTTACCTTTATTTCCTGTATCTGAGTGTCAAGACCACCGATATCCGCATATGTCTCTTGAGGAGCTTTTTCGAGCTTCATGACGGACACCATTGGATCAGTGTCATCACCGAGAACACCCACTACAGCATGAACCTACAATGTTACATAACATCTTCAAGTTCGGCAACTTCAATAAAATTGTAGATATTTATATTTGAAAAGAAAATCACACTTTACATATGAAATATTATTCTTATATTTATTTAACAATTCTTGCAAGTTGGGTAAAGTGCAAATCTGTGCAACTACCATTGGATAATTAATGACTTTAAGGGGAATTTTTTTACATTAGTAATTATTTAGTGTATAATATTTTACTAAATGTGAAAAAGTTACCTGAAAAGTCGTTAATTTAGAAAATATTTTAGCTCAAACTTCCTACTGATAATCTGATTCCAATGTAGATATGCAAAATTAACAGAATGGTAGTTACGTGGATTTGTACTATCCCTGAAGATATATCCTTTGTGACATATAGTACTTGCAAAAAACTTAGTTATTATGGTTTAGTTTACCTTATGGTTAAGTAAAACTGAGCAACCTGGCTCGAGCTGGTCTTTGTCAACAAAAGATAGTATGCTGACATAGTGTTCACTGCCGACGGAGGTGGAGACTATAGCATGATTGTCATCAATAATTTCTTCGAGAGTACCAACCGACATTGGTGTGCCACGGAGATCATCTACCTGTTATGTGAATGATTTAAATGAGAATGAAAACTTGCTTGCATATAATTATAATCAATAGCTTGAAATATTGTAATGAATTGTTTGAAATAAAATTCGAACATATATCATAACAAAACAATCAAATTGCACGACTTTAGTCGTAGTTTATGCACGAATTTATTCGTAATTTATTTAAGACACTGATTTGTCACGTACTATTAAATACATATATGTATATGCATTTATTTGCTACAAATATACTTTCAAGTCGTATTTTTAACAATACCTTTGATCTTTCCTCTTCAATTTTTTCTTCTTGTGGCTTCAGTCTTTCTTGGTTGCGGATGAATTCCTCCTCCATAAGTAAATAATCCTTAATTCTCTCCAGCTTAAGTAGTTTCAACCTACATCGCGTATGTGGCGTCACTTGAGGCAGCTTTAAAGCTGCATCTGGCCCCTTAGCCTTGCGCTTCTTCTTTCCAACCCTCGTGGGAATCGGTGGTTCGTATTTCTTCTTCTTATCCTTGTCATCCTTTTTGTCTCCGCCGCTGCCACCACCAGATTGATTTTGACCCTAATAACATATATACAACTCGAATTTCAGTATATGAATAAACATCAATTTAAATAGCACGTTTTCAACTTACCATTATTGTACACTTGACTGAAAAAGTTTAAGAAATAATTCGCTTTCTTATTATATTAACAAACCCACTACTCAGTGGATTTGGAATTGACGATTACAATGCGAAATTTGTTTTTCATCATCTGTGAAGTATAGTGTTGTATCTTGTATTCATACAACGGTATTTTAAACTTTATATCGATTTTTAAGTTATACTAATATAGTTGAACACAATCTTAATATGGAGACAAAAATATGTTATGTTTAATACAATTATAAAAATAAATATAATTTATATTTAGTGAATAACATATTCTGCAGTAAATGAATCGTCATCGAATTTGACGTTTTACGTGTCGATGATTGGAATTGTCGAAAAATTTAGTATATGTCGTGGTGCGGATTATTTTGTGAATTTATAAATTAACTTAAAGCACTTTGATGGTTTAAAGACAAATCTTGTTTAATAATGTTAGCGTTCGTTAAGTTGTTTTGAAAAATGTCACAAAACTGTTATATGAGAAATAATTGTAACAGAGAATACGTCTACTGAAAACAACAGCTGACTTAATTTTTAAGTGTGGTGGTTATATAGTTATTCAAAATGGTTTTAGCAGATTTAGGTCGAAAAATAACAACAGCTCTACAGTCTCTCAGTAGAGCAACTATAATCAATGAAGAGGTAAACACAATGATAAGTTAATACAGGGTCAAAGTAAAAGTTAAAATCAGTTACGTTAGTGAGCTACATATGAAATATCGAATTACAGGTACTGAATTCTATGCTAAAGCAGATTTGTGCTGCTTTATTAGAGGCCGATGTAAATATTCGTTTAGTCAAAAATCTCAGAGAAAATGTCCGAGCAGTCATTGATTTTGACGAAATGGCGGGAGGGCTCAACAAAAGACGGATGATACAGTCTGCTGTATTCAAGGAACTAGTTAAGGTGAAGCATAAATAATCCTAGCTTTTTTAATTCTCTTACTTTAATAATATGTATTCACAAACTTCCATGAAGGCTACTTACCAATAAACTTCTATATTATTCTTAATAAATTTCAGCTGGTAGATCCAGGTGTAAAACCATACCAACCAGTTAAGGGAAAGCCAAATGTCATTATGTTTGTTGGTTTACAAGGTTCAGGTAAAACTACCACTTGTACCAAACTTGCCTACCACTATCTAAGGAAAAACTGGAAATCATGCTTAGTTTGTGCTGACACATTCAGAGCTGGTGCCTATGATCAGGTTAAACAGAATTGTACTAAGGCAAGGATACCGTTTTATGGAAGGTAAATATGATTTAATATAGATTCTCGGGGATTTTTCTTACTTTGTTATGCTAATTCTTCTAAAAGCCAACTCGTAATAATAAAGTTATTATTCTCAACAATTTTTAAAAGCTTACTTTAGTATATATTTCAAATATCTATTTCTAGTTACACTGAAGTAGATCCAGTAGTGATTGCTTCAACCGGAGTTGATATGTTCAAAAAGGAAGGTTTCGAAATGATCATCGTGGATACCAGTGGTCGGCACAAGCAGGAAGAATCTCTCTTCGAAGAGATGTTGGCAGTTGCTACGGCTATTGTTAGTGCTGTTTTAATAATAAAGAATATTTATAACATTTGTATGAATATTACAAAAGTATCTTCATAGTTTGTGATATAAAAAAAATAATATTATTCACTATATAACATGGATTTTAATAAAACTTATGTAAATTTATAGAAACCCGATAACATTATATTCGTGATGGACGCAACAATTGGTCAAGCTTGTGAGTCCCAAGCTCGTGCCTTCAAGGATAAAGTAGATATTGGTTCAGTCATCATCACCAAGTTAGATGGACATGCTAAGGGTGGTGGTGCATTATCAGCGTAAGTAATTTTTTTTTTACACAAAAATATGAATTCACACCTAAAATTTGGTAGTAGTATGTTTACTATTAGAAATCGTAACAAATAAACTATTAAAGTATTAGAAACCAGCTTTCCGCCCGCAGCTTCGCCCGCGTGGAGTTCGGTTATATCGCGTTTCCAAGAGAACTTTTCAAAAGTCTCGAATAAAAACTATCCTATGTTCTTTCCCAAGGTCAACTCTATCTATGTACCAAATTTCATTAAAATCAGTTCAGTTGTTTAGGCGTGAAAGCGTAACAGACAGACAGACAGAGTTACTTTTGCATTTATATTATAGGGATGGTAAATAGGAAAACGGTAAAATGGTAAACTATTAGAATAGCAGAAAATAAGCAAAAACATAAGTATATGTTAATATAACTAAAGTTATCTAACACCTTTTTTTTAATAATGTTATTCTTTCTAACTTCAGTGTAGCGGCAACACAAAGTCCTATTATATTCATTGGTACCGGAGAACATATTGACGATTTGGAACCATTCAAAACAAAGCCCTTCATCAATAAACTGCTTGGTATGGGAGACATTGAGGGTCTACTTGATAAAGTTCATGAATTAAAACTAGATGACAACGATGAACTCTTGGAGAAACTGAAACATGGTCAATTCACATTGAGGGCCATGTACGAACAGTTTCAGAACATCATGAAAATGGGACCGTTCTCTCAGATTATGGTAATGACCTTACACGGATAATATATTGATAACAATCGGTTATTTTTATTATCTATACAGCCTTGATTAGCAATGAGGTCTAAGATTTTACTGAGTATTCATTTAAATGAAACTAATATTTTCAGATTTACTACGCGATTTTTTAATTTTGATTCTAAACTACATACTCCCGACGTTTCGGTTACTTTGTATCAATCGTAATCACGGGCAGACGAGATGTGAGTGAAACTTGATTAGTTTTTTTTAATGTAAAGTTTTTATTTACAGGGCATGATCCCGGGATTCTCTCAAGACTTAATGTCGAAGGGAAGTGAACAGGAATCTATGGCGAAACTTAAACGGCTTATGACCATCATGGATTCTATGAATGAAGGTGAATTGGATCATCGTGATGGAGCTAAGTTGTTTTCGAAGCAGCCGACTCGAATAACAAGAGTCGCACAAGGCGCTGGCGTGACCGAGAGAGATGTTAAAGACCTAATCGCCCAGTACACTAAATTTGCAGCGGTTGTAAAGAAAATGGGTGGCATCAAAGGTTTATTCAAGGGCGGTGATATGGCTAAGAATGTTAACCAGACTCAAATGGCCAAACTTAATCAGCAAATGGCCAAGATGATGGACCCTAGGATTCTTCAGCAAATGGGAGGAATGTCAGGCTTGCACAACATGATGAGACAGTTACAACAAGGCTCAAGCGGTATGAACAGTTTAATGGGCGGCAAATGACCCAGGTAAATCTATTCCAAAATCCACCGAGCAGCAGTGTTTCAACATTTATATTAAATAAAGTTTGGTTAAATGCTATCTTTTTATTAAATTACTATACATACATAACACACTTTTGTTATATAACATAAAGTACTGTAGGTAATTTTAAAAGATAATTAAGTGGTCATACGATTTCATCTAATAAAAAACATTTTTGTGGTACCTATATGTAAGTATTAAATAAAATACATAATCAATTATTGAACTTTTATTTTGTCTTACATTCATCTATTATACTTGGTATTAATTTGATTAAATCCTCCGCCGAGTCCTTATATTCTTGTTCTATCCAGTATTCCTTCAGTTTATTTATAATTTGGCCGTACATCTTCCCAGGTGGCACGCCATTTTCTTTTAGAAGTTTCCCTGTCATCGGAAACCTTGGCACTTCCCATTTATTGAACATTTCAAGTAACTTTTCGTCTCCGCGGTATTTCAGTACTTCACGTACGTAATCGATTGCATCTTTCTGTTTAATTTTTGTATTCAAAACCAGTTTTTCATATGGCCTGAGAAGATAAAATTATATAATTAATAATACGAATATTTAAACAATTGACATTTGTTATCTAAAATCTAAGCCTCTTGACTGTCTTTTAGATTACAAAATTTACATACAAACACAATTTATATCAAGAAAATTTCTTTTTATATTCTTTTTATTACATAAAATAGACTCTTTAAATTATAAAATTCTTGTTAATATTATTTATAAGGATAAGATATACATACAGAAGCGGCCTAGAAGCTTCTTTATCTGGTCTATGTTCAACTATAAAATAAGCCATATCTCTTTCGTAACTGGAAAATTTGAGTCTAGTATGTAATATTGTTACATCATCTATAGTGTTTAATAACGCTGCCAGGTAGGTCATAGGATGCAAGTTGAGGTGTTCGCTTCTCTTTAATAAACTCTCAAATTCTTCCAAATTTGGTGCTGGTAAACCTGAAAATATATTACAGACAGATTGAAATATATGAATATATGGAAGATTTATACTATAATAATTATTCATAACTTTTTTAATATTACCTATATATTTGCCGATATCTAGATTAAGCATAGTTTTTAGTAAGTCCCCAGCAAAATTTCCCTGTAGTATTTTCTTTAATTCCATCCATATTCTCTCTCCAGATACACCTTGGAGTCCATCAGCGTTTTGCTTTATAACATCAAGTGTGTGCTGGTCGTGGTTATCAGGCTTTTCAGCTATCCTGCCATAGAAACGGAAGTACCGCATTATCCTTAGAAAATCTTCTTTTATCCTTACATCAGGATCACCGACGAATGCAACCTTTCTTTTCATCAAATCTTCGTACCCATAAAAGTAATCATAGACGGAACCATCAAATCCTAGAAGAAAACCCTTAAGTGATATAGCATATAGATATTTATTTAAAATATGTAGTTAAGTTTTAGTAATTTACGTCAATATATTAGTTATGTAAGAAATAAAGGATATTACAAGGGCTCCTATGTATAAGGGCCAATGTAAAGTGCCAATTTTTCAGTAGAGGCGTTTTAAGTTTGATTTCAATATATCTTTAACTGATGCTTTTGAAACTTTACATAGCAACTATGACATACATATGCGTCATTTAAGCTTGATAATCTTCTTCGTAATATATATTTTTTATAATGTACATTATATAAGCCCTTATATGTGAAAAAATGTGTTACCTATGCTTTTTACTGCAACTAAAACTAAGTCTTTCCACCAACAAATACACATTTTTTTAAATGGATGTTGTAGAATACAGTATTATGAAGTGTTTACAACAAAAACAATGAAAATGTTAAATTGTTACATTGGCCCTTATATATAGGACCCCTCAATGATGTAAAGTTAAATTAGCTGTATTACCTAAAAACATAGAATTTATTGTCAGATCTCGTCTATTAGCATCCAGTTTCCAGTCCTTAGTGAATTCAACCTCAGCGTGTCTACCGTCCGTGATCATATCAACTCTCAATGTGGTGACTTCAAAGTTCTCTTTATCATTTATCCTCGGAGTGATAGTTCCATGTTTTTCACCACTCATGTTAATCATTCTGACATTCTCAGTAATAAACATTTCTTTCATCTGTTGTGGTGTAGCCGTTGTTGCAAAATCAAGATCCTTTGCAGGCTGGCCGAGTAACAAGTCCCTATATAATTTTGTATCCTTTATACTATTTCAAACAAGTACAAATAGTTGACTGATTCACGTCAAGGCATGAAAAATTGTAAAAGAATTGAACAGAAACATTCCATAATATGTCGCTTCAAATACTAATGAGAAATGAGAATGATAAATGAGAAATTCTTCAAAAATATTATCTATTTGGATTTAAATTCAAGTGTTGGATCAAGATTGCTTTAATTTAAATGAAACTAATATTTGTCAGTGATACATACTAAGTGACTTTATTTTTGATAAAAACTGCATACCTCCGATATTTCGGCTACTTTTCAGCAACAGTGATCACTGGCAGATGAGATGTGAGTGTCTCTAATTTACCAATAGTATTATAGGAAACATGACTAGTGACAGTGAAGATGTATAATGATAATCAATAATTTCTTTTACCTCACAGCACCACCAGCTATTCTGATTTCATATTGATATTTCTCAAAAAGTTTTTTCAAGTCTAACACTTCTGGAGTAAATATGTTGTGGAACTCTGCTGTATCTAACTTTAAAACTATAGGATCTTCCCGCGTCTTGATCTCCATATCCCTCCTTGTTCTCACCCTTTTTAAATTAGATATATTGCTGTAATTCTAAAATATAACAGAACAATTATTATAACCAAAAAATAGAACAACAAATTTATAATTACTTTAAACATATGGTTTATTGACAAGATCTACTTACTCTAAATGATCTAACAACAAGATTCTTCAAGAAAACTAAATTCATACCTAGGTTTTTTCATTACTCAGAGATTTATCAGTAAAAAATATTTTACAGCATATCAAAAAATATTAAATAAATAAATTTGGTATAAGACGTAAGAAGCTTAATTGTAGTGTATATCAAAACAGTTAATTATAGGTAATTTACTAACTTCACCATAAGACTTCTTTTTATAAATAATTATAAAATAAGTGCTATAAAATCAAACATTAAAATACTTGACAGTTGACACAAGTCACATTCGCATGTTCATATACAATTGAACGATCAACTAAGTGATATAAAATTTAAGCTATGTACCTATATGTCTAATACAATATGAAACATAGGTTTCTATATATAAATAAATTTAATTCTCTATTTTAAGGACATAAATAAAAATACGTTTTAAATCCAGCTTTTATATATAGTTTATTTAATATATTTGACTTATAGGATTAAAAGTTAAATACGTCCTATGAGTAATGACATAAGTCACAAACTTTTGTATCATAATAATAAATATGTGTGTTATTTTACTTTAAAAGCACAATTTATTAATTATTTCTTGTTTGTATTATGATAACCGAAAATCAGTTTATATCATATAAATAAATATTTCTTATAATTTATCATGTCCTGCAATTCGTGTTCAAAGTCGTTTTCTCTTCTTCGACAAGAAGTAATTATGTTCCTAAACTTTATGTAGTAAAAATAATATTATTTAATTCATAAATTGTTTATTATATTTCAGAAAGGTTGTCCCGGTTGTGGATTTAGTTATTGTTCGAAATGCTTGAACAACAAAATATTTTTAGAAAAACTAAACTCTGAAGCCAAGGTAAAAATATAATTTATAAATTTTTATAATAACTACGATTTTTCTTTAAATATATATGGTTTTAATTTTAGGTTTGCATCAAATGTAAAAATAAGAAAAATGGTAATGAATCCAATAAGATAGTTCCCCCAGATGCATACTATAAGTAAGATATAATTTTTAAGTTCTGGACAATTAATTGTTCAAGTTATGTATAAACCAAAATATATTACAGGAGAATAAGTGCCTTAGATGAAGCAACATCTAGCGGTGAACCCAAAAATAATATAGAACAAGAAATACATGAGAGGTTACAGAAATTAAAAGATAATAGAGATGTCCCAAAAGCCAGTAGTAATACAGAAATAATTGAGCGCTTGCAAAAACTAAAAGGAGATATACCAACAACAACAGATTCTGAATTGCAAGCTAAATTGGCTAACATCAAAGGAGTACCATTAAGTGCAGTTCAGAGTAAGGTAAAATAATAATTCGATTTAAGATCAAAACGAATTCATTATTTGAAAAGAGTAAATTGAAGGATAATAATGCAAACTTTTTCTGTAATTTGCTCAGTTTTTATAACTAGAATGACTTTATTCTTTTGCAAATCTCATTAATTTACCATACTTTTGATATGGCTTGCTTGAAACATAGAAGCACTTTGATATCTTATAATAGTTGTTATTAAGTTTTGCATAGTTGAGCAGAATTTACCCTAAAATTTCTTATTTACTTATACAAGGTACTTGTAATGGAAATATAATTCTAAATCTATCTTCAGCCTGTTTTACCAGTACAAGATACAAGAACAGAACAAGAGCAAGCTGATGATCTTCTTAAGCAATATATGGAAGAAACAAAAATTTATGAGAATTATAAAGACGAGTTTGATCATTTGGTTAGTGATATAGAAAGTAGACTGCAGAATCTAAAAGGTTCCGTGTGTACAATTAGTATGCCTGACCAATCTTCCAAAAGTATTGATGACTCGGAGGATGAAGAAGATACGGTTAAAAAGATCTTGGAAAAGGTAGAAATATATTGATTATATTTTAATTTGTACTTTTTTTGAATCAATCAATATTAATTATTTTGTAGGTAAAAGCTGAAACTGCTCTTGAAGGAAATGTAATTTCCGAACCAGTGCTCGATGAACTTCCGTTCTGTGAAATATGCAATGAGGATGCAACTCTGCGTTGTTTGGGTTGCAAGTATCTTTTCTGCAAACGATGTTATATGGAGCATAGAGATGATGATGATTGTAACAGATTTGAAGCTTACACAGCACCAAAAAATAGCACTTACTAATATTTATATTATAATGCAGTTACTTATTTCATATATAATGTTTATCAAATAAAATATTTAATTTTCATGTTTATTATTTTTATTAACAATATCTTAAAATATTAACCTAGGTGTTATCAAATTTCATTGATACCGTTTTCTGTTATTATAAATTTTGCTGTATCGGAAGGTGTTTCTGGACTTGTTACTAAAGTAAAGCTCCGGACATTTGTCTCCCTAGAATTATGTTTTAGCATTTCATTTGTTTTTGTAATTTTGATCCTGTATGATATCATGTTAGACCAGACAAGGCCCAATGATGGTACAACATCATCAGATTCATCAAAGGAAGAAGTGACTTGATTGATGCAAATGACTGCGAAATTGTATTTCTGGGCCAAATTAATCAATGAATCCCCTATATCTTTTAATTCCTCAGCTCTTTGTATATAATTCGTATATTCACATCGGAACGGTGCAGCGATTGAGTCAATAACGAGAAGGGATATTTTATTATTGTCTAATAGTTTTGGTAACCTTACTTTTACACAGGATATTAACTCTTGCGGGTGCGTTAAGAGCTCAATAAATACGTTTTCCCCATATGTCTTGTTTTTTAAATAATATTCGCATATCTGGTTATATCTCGTCACTGGAAACAAGTCCTCTGTACATATAAACACACTGCCAGTAGCATAACTTAAAGCTGCAGCTTGTATAGCTATTTGTGTTTTACCCGCGCCACTTTCGCCAAATATCTCTGTCAAAGTACCCCTACGAAAACCCCCATTCAGTAATTTATCTATGGATTTACAACCAGTCGGTATTCTTGGAGTTTCTTCTGGGATATCATTTCCATTCACAGGTGTTTGACTACAATTCTGACTAACTATATGTTTTAGTATCAGTATATCGTCTTTATTTAAATTTGTAAGTTTTTTGAGGTCCCAAACAGATAGAAGAATTATTTGTTTACTAGTTAATTCTACTCTATCAATAATTTCGTATAACCTAGATGGGAGTATTGATTTTAAATCCATCTTTGTTTACCTTCAAATGTAAAAAAAATAATATTATTGTATAAAAAATGTGTGACAGTAGATAACATGCAAAACATATCTTTCTGTATTAAATTTCTGATCTATAATAAAAAAAAAAACATTTTTTTGCTAGTAAATGTAAGTAAATTTAAAAAAAATTACTACTTTAAAAATAGATTTTGCATGTTTAAAAAATGTTCGAAACTCTAAAGTTATAAAGTGAGAAAAGTTTTAATGACAAGTTAAATGAGATTTTAATTATTATGTACATATTTGTGAATTATATAAAAACTTAATTATATTAGTATTTTACAATCTCATATCATTAATTGGTAAACACAAGGTACATTTTCATTTATAAATTCTTAAATGTTAATTCTGTATGTAGTCAATTGTGACTGTTGAATTCTTATTATGAACGCTTCTAAAAATCAAATATTTTAGCCTTTAGGTACCTACCTGTTTTGTATTAGCAAATAAAATTAAAATAAACATAAAGAAACGTCGTACTTAGGAACTTAAATGATATTAGCCATATATATTTTTTAAAATGTATCTTTTACTCGGTATTGGTTAACACTTTACAGGCTATGATGTATGAAGTAATTCTTATTTTGTCATAATTTTATCAATTATTAGCGTTATGTACAAGTAGTAAACCTCTTTTTTTTGGTCATAAAAGATCATATATAATTATTATTTTCTAAAAGTACATAAAAATGAAGTTTTAATGCTCCTAAGAATACTTTTAAAAACTTTTTATAAGCTAAAGAAATGCACCAATTAAATTTTTTAAAAAGTTTGACATATTTTACGTCATCCCTTTAAGTAAACAACAATTTATTAACACTAAAAAATAAATATTAGGTTTATCTTAGGAACATAATTTTGTCTGCATTCTGCAATTTGTTTTTTTTTCCGGACACTTTTTAATTACTAAGCAAAATGTTGACACATAGTAATATGGTTAGAGATATAGTAGAATTATACAATGTATAAACTATTTTAAAACGATATTACTTTCTATAATCTAAGTGATTGAATTGAGAATAATTTAAAATTAGTGTTATGTAAAATTTTGATAATGTTGCGAACAAGTCTGTACAACATCGGGAGTTTGATAGCGATACACTTTCACCCCGGCTCGGTGGTTCGTAGCTCGCGCGGTTCGATCAATGCCGCTACCAGTCACACAAGTCGTGTTGTCGGGTTTACTACCGTGGCCGCACCTCCGTCGAATAAAAGGAAAATGGTAAGTTATAAGTCATAATTCCCCAATAACAATATTCACGACTTGTTATATTGCAAATCTCCCTCATTGTATCTGTAAAAACTTCGATATATTTCAATCAATCGCACCCACCTGTTGCTTATTTTTTTCTCATTTAAGTTTTTATTTGAAGGCTGACAAACTAAGTCAACAAGAACGCGAGTCCTTGCTTCAACCATTATTAAACTCTGGCTGGAAGGTGCAAAGCAATAGGGATGCCATTGAAAAAGAGTTTCAATTTAAAAACTTCAATGAGGCATTTGGATTTATGACTAGGGTCGCTCTGTTAGCTGAGAAAATGGACCACCATCCCGAGTGGTTCAATGTTTACAACAAACTACAGGTAAAATGTTCTATACAAGATTATAAGTTTAATAAATAACAAAAGACAATCGGTAATATTCTTTTATTCCTAGGTGACACTCTCTTCACATGATTGCAACGGCTTAAGTAAAAGAGACATCAAGATGGCATCATTCATGGATGAAAATTTCAAATAATTCAAATATTTTTAATATATTGTAACAGTTATGTTTGTTAAATGTATATATGTGTTGTGGTGTTAATAAAAACTATTTAAACATTTATTTTGTTTGAATATGGCGAGTATTAACATTTTGTAGGTATATAGCAAGAGCAAGTGTTGTCACTATCAAAGGGTTCGGTTTCAAAAGCGCATTCATTTGGATATGTCTTTTCAATTATTCTTTTCAACTCCAGAGCATGGTCGAGTCCTCTTGTCTCACAGACAGCTTTCATCTGATGTAATAATGAAATATATTTATTAATTTCATAATAATGCAAATTTTCAATAAGATTACCTTACCCTACTAGCCTTGTGAACATTTTGTTAGTTATATTGCAATTTTTATAGATAAACCCACAACTCACAAGGAAAATTTTATAAAAAATTATGAGGTAAAATGAATCATATTCAAAATGTAATAAATTATGTAAAAACAGTAGACACTTTACTGTTTCTAAGAATTTAAATGTAATCTGTGTGAGAACTATAGAGCAAATAGGTTTTTTATTGCTTTATATTAAGTAATAATGTTTAAGTAATGTTAGTTTGTAAAATCTGGCTGAATGCCTTTAAGCATGCAACTAATAAGCATTCTGCATTTTACAGTAAATTTTTAAATAATTTACAAAATAAAGAATAAAATTTTGCAATCTAATCTTAGTCTGATTGAAATCTTTAACTTTGTATGCATGTTCAAACATCATAGAGCATTTAATTTTTTTATTAAATCCCTAAAGTAGAATTAAATTTATAGAATGTAGATAAAAGAATATGCATTGTTGAAAATTAATAATTGTTATAAACAAATCGTTGATTCAAAAATACCTCGCTTTTGCATAGCAAATTAAAAACTGCAAGTTCGAGCGAAAATACAGTTTGACTATATAAAACTACATACTAATTTGATACTTTTCTATAGATAGTAAAAATATCAGTTAAAAATGTATGAAGGTTTAGTAATCATAACTAAATAAGTTAATGATCATTACCTCGACTCGGTATATTTCGTTTTCCACCCAGATGCGATCTTGAAACTGTCTGACCAAATTATATCCGTTATCCGCTAGCAGTTTAGTAAATCGTGCATACTCTGTACCTAAATCTTTCACTAATACCTGTTGATATTGCACGAACAAAATTTGTCATTAACAATATTAATTTCCATCTCATTATAGTAATTGCTATGATAATTATGAGATAGTCTTTGTTCTTGTCTAATAGAAAGGAAAAGTAGAATAAAATTACTTTGAACTTTATAAGACGACCTTCTGCCGCCAGTCCTCTGTCTAAACAACGGCCTAGTAAAATGGCGTCTATGTTACCTCCACTCAGGATTATTGCGACACTGAAAATACAAAACAGTGGGAAATTGTAGTCAAGGTAACGTTATCATTAAGTTAATTGAAATAGGTACGTATAAAGTACGTGTGTTGACAAATATTTATATTCTGTTTAAAAATAAGGGTTGGAATTCAGTATTACTATTATTTCTTCCGATGAAAATTATATATTTTTGTCAACCAAGTATTCATTAATCTTCAGACTTTCTGATCTTAGCAAAGTTATTTTTAAAACCTTACTTTTTCGACTTCAGTTCAGGAACTTGGCTACATAGAACTGCTGCCAACGGACAAGCACCAGCGCCCTCTACAACTATCCGTTCTTTTTCGATTAAATGCAAAATAGACCGAGCTATCCAGTCTTCCGAAACTAATATCTATAAAGAAAATATTAATCGAAGTATAGATGATTGAAAGGAGTGAATAGAAATGAAGATACTAAGCAACTTACTAATTTGTCGAGCAAATTTTGTGCGTTTTTAAACGCATTCACTCCGACGTATGGCATCGCTATGCCCTCGGCTATTGATGGTTCGTACGGCAAAGTGAGAGGTTCTCCCGCTTCTAGGGACTTGTAAAATGTTGGCAGTCGTTCAGATTGAACTCCCTGATTATTTAAAGAGGCGATAATGTTTCATTCAAACTAATATAACGGCTTTTTTCTTGTTTGTACGAGCAAAATTGTATAGTGTTGGAAAATATTTAGTAACAAAATTAAGGATGATTGCAATAAATTATCGATGTTATTTACGTAAACAAGGCAGTTTGGATTGACGTGTTTGATGACCGTAGCCACTCCGGCCGCCAAGCCGCCGGTCCCAACGGGCAATAGAACAGCGTCTAGTGCGGGTACTTGTTCCATAATTTCGATTGCTACAGTACCATAGCCCGCCATCACATCGGGATAGTCACGACTAATAAATGTTATAATATAATCAATAATGTCATTACACGAATTGCCATGTTGAGTTGTCTTTAAATTAATTTTCCTAGCTTTAAATACGTATATCTACCGACGCTTGTAACAAGACTTCTTTATCGTTTAACGATAACTATTAAAACCGCACACATACCTACATACAGATTAAAAACCCTCCATTTTTAACTTCCTAGAAGTCGAATTATAGTCACCAAAACGGTTTTTATACGTACTAGAGAACAAAACGTCTTTGAAACTATAACAATATCACCCAATTTCTTCATATTAATGCAAATAAAACAAAAGCTGGTTAAATATTAGGATTAAAAGCAAAAGTACTAAACAACTTACGCGTTAATATGCGTAAGGCCCTTCTCTTTAGCTAAGGCTCGGGCATATTTCTGAGAGTCCACCAAATTATGACCTTGAACTATAACCTTGGCGCCCATATCGCTGCACATTTGTAGTTTTATAACTGGCACGGATGTTGGCATTACCACGGTCACCGGTATCCCAAGTTTTTTACCATAATAACATATACCCATCGCTTGGTTTCCAAGAGACGCCACAACTACACCAATCTTTTGTCTATCCCTTGGCAATAATTCTAACGCGTTTAATGCACCTCTTTCCTTAAAACTATAATATTATATTTGATATATTAGCTTTGTATATAAACGAAAAGTTTCAAAGAAAGATTCTCTTAAAATACACACCTCCCTGTTCTCATTACCGTTTCGAGTTTGTAGAATAGATTGATGCCGCATTCTTTTTGATAGTGGGAAGCCTTAAATTATAATAATTATTATTATAAATAAACTTTTCTTTAAACAGTTTAATTTGATTTACCAGTCTTTCTTACTATTATTGGAGTCTGTGGTATATATTTTCTTATACGTTTTAAAGCATCGACGACATCTTCATATTTTATTATCTTTGGATTGTCAGGATCGCAGAACTCATCGAAATCTTCCTATTTTATTATTAGTAGCATGAATTAACAAGAAAATATTAATTAGTACTTTCACGAAATAACATTTGGAATACTTACATAGCGTCGAGACATTGTTTAATACCTACTGCAAAGTTTCTTACAATTTTGTTTTTATTGATTTAAAATATCATTATCAAAAACGGATAAAGGGAAAATAAATCAAGCTCACTAGAATTTAAAAACGGAGTTGGTGAAAGTAAAATTTGACATGAGAGTGATATATATTTTTTATTTTTGTTTTTTATGACATGGCTTCATTCGCACTTTGTTAATTTTATGAATAACCAGTAACAAAGTAATATTGAGAAGGGTGCGACTTATTGGTTTGATGTTTTCGCATACGAGATATTTGAGGACAGATAAATCTACTGATAACTAAGTTAGGAACCGTCTTAATTAATGTTACAGTTATAGGTAAGTATTTAAAAAATCGGGTTAAACGATCATAACTATATTTTTAAAAGTGTTATAAAATTTTAATACTATTAATTATGCCAGAGACTAGAAAGAATATCAAAGTGAAACTCTTTAAATAATCACTGCAAAGATATTTCTAATTTGCTATTTAAATAAAATAGAAACATTTTAAATAAAAGTATTTACATATCAAATTTGTATTTACAATAGGTTTACTAACAAAATATCTTTTAGTTTAATATTAGTTTAAGTGTTCGTCTTTACGACAACTTTCGAAGAATTTCGTCTCAAAAGAAGCTCTTCAAATAATTTATCATTAGCCAGGCGCAGAACTGGTTCATAAACAATACATATTAAAATTAAGAATGAAGAACAATAAAAAGTAAAAATAACAACGAAAATTGGGGCATTTTAACAAAACTACAAATTTTAATAAAGCTTTTCTGATGCAAAATAGAAAAAAATTTTTTTTCATTTTTAACTTGTATTTCTAAAGTAGGTATAAGTACCTGTATGTTTTTAAAATAAGTAAGGTTTCATTAACTTTAATACTTTATATATTACTTTTATTTCCAATCCTGAAAGTCTTTTATTAAATTCAAAATTGTGTGAAGATCGTATGTGGTATCGTCAGATCAATCTTGGGATATTCATATCTTGTAAGAAGCTGACCCGAAAAATTTATCATGACATTGAGCTTTGTTGTTTATACCGCCCTTCTTGTCGATCAATTACGTCAAGAGTTGAAACATTACAGCGAAGACTATGTCATAAAATGCACAACGTACAAACCTATTTCCATGTATTTCAAGTATATTTGAGTTCTTATTTATGAGAAACATTCTACACACAAAATGATTGTTCATGACAATCATTTTCAGTGCAATTAATTTATTTATGACGAAAATCCAATTAAAACTGCTGTTTAATTAAAAGACATTAACATTTTCGTAATCATATATATATTTTACGTTGATAAGATTTATGTTTAATATGACAAACTGTTAGTTTATTGAATGTATACATTATTTCTGCATGCACACCGGGTTGGGGGCTAGGCAGGGGCCTCTCTTGGCACCGGCGCCCTTGTCGCTTCGTTCGCTCATTTCGTGGAAGAAACATTCCTTGTACTTCTTCTTGATCTGTTCTACCAGTTCCTTCGTGTGATCCCATCCTCTTGTTTCGACTATTACTTTCATCTGAAGACAATAATAATAAATATATCTTTGATATAATGAGATCTAAGACAAATATTCGTTTAAATGAAATGAAATTTTCGGATTTGTACGCATTAATTATTGTTTTTATAACTACATAATCCAGACGTCTTATTTTTCATATCGTCTGCCCGGGATCGTCGTTGATGCAAAGTAACAAACGCCGGTAGAAGAAGAAGAATAATAAGTTATAAAAGAGTCAGAGGCAAGACAAAAGAATAGTCTTTTACTTTATTATTTAAAAGAATAGTCTTTTACCAATTAACCAATACAGGATACATTTTATTTAACCATCGGGTCGAATGACAGCCGAGTTATATTCATTACAAAATTTTAAACATATACATACGTATAGGATACTTAATTCTGTTCGATCGAAAAAGAAAAAATCCTAAATTCCAATATATGGCTTCCAATATATTCCTATATCTAGGGGCTGTAAATAATAATATTATTTACGGCGGGCGGGCGGAATAGAATTAAGCTGATCAGTTATACATAAATTTAAATTAAACGAATATTTTCGTATTTTACTTCGCGTTTTATTTTTGATTAGAAACAAACACGGGCAGACGGACACTCTTCTGCCCGTGATCACGGTTGCTGAAAAGTAGCCGAAACGTCGGGCGTATGTAGTTTCTAATCAAAAATAAAACGCGAAGTAAAATCCGAAAATATTATTTTCATTTAAATGAGTACTCTCGAAAATCTTAGATCTCATTATACATAAATTACAAATCCCGAAATTAACGCAGACGAAGAACTAGTAAACTATAACAGTACCTCAACACTGAACACGTCTCCTTTGACCCAGGCTCTTTCCGGGATACAGTCTCGGACGGTAACGCCGATTGTAGCCAACAGCGAGCACAGTTCCGCCATACCTCCAGGGCGGTCGCTTACAGTCACCTTGAACTTCACCAGCCTACCCTCAGCCGCCATACCGCGCTCCAACGACCGAGCGAGGATAGTCGTGTCGATATTACCACCGGATAACACGCATACCACCCTACAAACAAACTCGTTCTCATATAAAAATAAATATATGTATATGTTTTAATACTATATGTCCTTATGTCGCCGCTAGAGAACACGCATAGAATCCTTTAACGGGCGGTTCAAGTATTACGTAAGCGCTATGGAGGGGCGGGGGGGTCTTTGCTTTGTTTATTTTGGATGACATGGGGGGTAGGGGAGTCTACATAGGTATTGACTACGTCATCGATAGTTATTTACTTTTTAATCGTCACATCGAGAAGTTCCATATTTTTTTTATTGATTTATAAAAAAAAAACCATACAGTAATTGAAAATGTTTACGTAAGCATGGGGGAGGTGGTAAGAGCTTTGCTTACTTTTGCTGACAAGGGGGATGGGGGTAAATATTTATAATAAATCTACTTACGTAATACTTGAATGGCCCCTAAATTAAATTCTTGATCATATAAATTTTAAAACATACATAAATGCGTACCATGTACTAATATTATAATATGTCCTTATAATGTATAGATTATTCCAAATAGTAAATCCGGTGACTTTATTCAAATTAAGTATGAACACGTTTTTCTGACCATAGACAAATACTCACTTTTTGCCCTTCAGATTCGGGAAAAGACCCGCCATAACGGCTGCTACAGTGACAGCCGCAGCGCCCTCTATGACGTAACGCTCTTCTTCAACAACATGCATTATAGCTCGGGCAACCCAATCCTCTTTAACTATTACCTGTTTAGTACATTAATTCGTAAAGTGGTTTATCTACAATTTAATTAATTTGAATAATTATTTTTGTTACCATTTTATCCACTATCCCGGTTTTCAGATTGTGGAAAGTATTGACGCCTGCTAAGTTTACTCCTAAACCGTCAGCGATTGTAGACTCAACGTTAACTTTGACCCTTTCATTTCTCTTTAAAGCTTCAACCATGCTGTAAGCTTTCTCTGTTTGTATACCCTAAATTATTTTGTACAAACAATTATTATATAGATTAAGTTTTTTGATTAATTAAAATACAGATTATAAATAAAAATTTCGTACATAAACTTCCGTGTCCGGTTTTAAATGTTTCACGGCAACAGCAATGCCGCATAAAAGGCTACCTCCGCCGACAGGTACAATCACGGCGTCTACATCCGGTACCTGTTCTAAAATCTCTATGCCGATAGTACCCTGACCCTCTATGACGTTTGGGTGATCATAACTAACAAAAAAAGATAAATCATCAATATTTTTCACACAGGATATACTTAAAAATGGCAACAAATTAGTAAATACCCATTAACGTAGTATAATTTCTTTTCTTTTGACAAAGCCATAGCGTAATGTTTGGCTTCGGCCATATTCTCGCCGTGTTGTAATGTTTTCGCGCCAAAGTTTTGACATTTAGTCAGTTTAGTGATGGGTGCATGCACTGGCATCACAACTATACAAGGAATACCCATCTGTGTGGTGTGGTAGCTCATTGAAGTGCCATGGTTCCCCGTCGAAGCGCTTATAACACCAACTTTTTTCTGTTCCTCTGATAGTAATAGCATAGTATTTCTAACCCCGCGTTCCTTAAAGCTGAATAGAGATTTATTATTAACAGGTAATTAATTGAGAATCTTATTTTTTTAATTATTTTTTTTTACCATCCAGTGTGTTGCATGAATTCTTGCTTTAAATATATTTCAATGCCCAATCTGTCTGACATGTGAGCTCTCTGTTGAAATGAAATTTTACATAAAAAATTGTTATTCTGGTGAGGAATGTGTAAAAAAAAAAATATTTACCGTACAAGGCGTCTTCACTACGTAACCGGTAATCCTTCTATATGCAGCCAAAATATCGTCATATTTAATTTTTCTAGGATTGCTCGGATCACAATATTCGTCATATTCAACGTCTTGGGTCTACACGATTTAAAGTATTACATATTTTTTCCAACTAAGTTTTTTTACAAAGTAAAATCTCGAAACAATTGCATTACTTACGTTGGCCATATTGATTTTTTAGGTTTATGCGGTTTTATTCATTGTGTTTTCAAATTAATGTGTCATAATTTTGGAATCTAAATATTGTTATAAAAATTTACACAAAGATATTACTACAAAATTATAATCAACGAAAAATTTTCCATGGCATATGACGTCAAACTGAAAATGATCATATTAGTTTTAAATTTAGAAAATATTTTTCAATCTGGTTGCTTAATTCTTTTAAAGTTTGGTTTAAAAAAAAATATATACCAAAAAATAACTTATTATTATTTTAATAGTAATGTTTGTAATTTGTGCTTGCAATTCAGTTTTTCACGAGACTACATTTTTTCTCTTTGCAAATTATCGCCGTCGTTGGACAAAAAAGTTGTAAAAGGATGAGAATTGCAACAAGATGAATTGTGTCCAAAAATAATTTAAAAGAGATTGAAGTTTAGTGCATTGTGTATAAAAGTGTTATAAATTAAAATGTTACTATAGACTTTGGTGGAAATAAACTTTTCAGGATTAGAAGTGGTCCTAAATGTATAAATCTTCTCTTCCAAAATGTATACTTCACATATACTCTTGACAATCTCACTTTCCATACATTTAAAACATTCGTAAACACGAAAACTTTTGATAAAACATGTTTAATTCTCTTCTCTAAATTATAGAATTATAGAAATATAAAGCAACGAACTCAATTATTATCTACATAGTTAAATGTTTTCTTAAAAAATATATTTAAAAGAGGTTTTGAGAATTAATACCACATATATTTTATTTATATTCATATACAAAATACCGTATTTTTTTCCATCTAATTTCTATAATATCGTTTTAATTTGAAACTTCATCGATAGAGAAGGTGCTTAATCTTCTATCATTTCTGTCAAATTCTTCACAATCTCTGGAGAAGTTCCACTCTTTATATGTGTCCGTTATCATTTTTTCCAGTTCCTCCAAATGTTCTGGACCTCTGGTTTCACAAACGACTTTCACCTATAACAATAGTTTGTAATCGTTCAGGGGTAATTAAAAATATGGGTATATTTTTAAATTTATGCTAAGTCTTCATTCGCACTATAACTTTAAAGAAATTTTACATTAATAATGCATAATATAATCGACTAGTAGGCATTTAAATGTCAGATATCTGTCAAATATGTATAATGTCATAGACAATCCGATCTCAGCCTACACCTAGTTTAGTATAATAATGACACTTAACATTGGCGAAATCCATCGACTTATACTAATGGACATACCGTACGCGTATAATCTGCAGTAATTTTTTGGTTTCAAAAGAGTGAGAGAGATGACCTATGCTTTCGGTCTAGCACTATCTCTTTCCTCATAGGTACGGTACTATTTTAAGAGAGATAAAGATGGACGAAAACTTCGTTTCTTCTCTTTCTTTCGGAGTGGCACAATTCTCATCTCTAAGGCATGTCCATTAGTATAAGTCGATGACTCAACCTATACATAGTTCAGTATAATATTGACACATGACATTGGCGAAATCTATAAGAAAATACCACTAACTGAGAGAGAGATAGATATATAAATAGAGAGAGACAGACTCACCCTAACGCTAAATATGTCGCCAAAGACCCAAGCTCGTTCCTGCATTATATCTTTGATAGATACTCCTATAGAGGAGATTAGTTTGCATAGTTCAGCGATGCCGCCCGGTCTGTCGCTGACGGTCACTTTGAATTTAACAAGCCTCTGTTCCGCGGCCAGACCTCGCTCCAAACAACGACCGAGGATTGTGGTGTCGATGTTACCACCAGATAGAATACACACCACCCTTAAATAAATATATAGAAACTCTTTGGAATTTAGGCTAAAAAGATTGATATTTTATATGATCTTCATTACTCTGTTTTTTTTTTTTGTAATTTCTATCAGACAAAAGGACTAACAGTTTGTTTTAAGGCAAAATGAAATTGTTGGTTTTCATTAATTACATATACTACAAAATTGTACATGTACATTATGTCGTCTGCCCGTGATCACATTTGAAAAGTAACCGAAACTTCGAGATTATGTATTACAAAATTAAAGCACGCAATATTAGTTTCATTTAATTGGATATGTACTTAAATAATATTACTCTTGTTAGTGTTATCTTATTATTAACTCAAACCTACTTCTTCCCAATCAACTCAGGCACGAGCCCAGCCATAATGACAGCCACACCGACAGCCCCGCCTCCCTCCACGACATATTTTTCTTGTTCAACCAAACGCAGGATCGCGCGAGCAATCCAATCCTCGTTTACTGTTATCTATTCAATAATATGAGAAATTACTTTATACAGGGTGACTGGTGAATTACTATCGATACTTGAGGACGTGATATTTGACGATCATATATGACAAAGTAAAAATTAATATAACATAAATATTAATAAACTTCTAAGTAAAGTTAACCAAAAGTTGTGTAATTAATTACGCATCGTGTGAACACCCTACAGATTAGGTATACACACACACTCACACAGACGCGTGCGGCGGCCATGTGTTGTATCAGCACGCCGCCGCACGCGTCCACACTAGGAACACTTGGAACGTGTCAACACTTTATTTATTTATACGGAAATTTTGCCAAAAATTAAGTACCTATTTTTTTTACATAATTCGAATGAGTATCATGGACCGAGTATTCTCCTAAAATATTGATAGTAATTCACCAGTCACCTTGTATATACACACACATACAAACGCACACACACACACACATATGTGTATGTCTTTAAGGGACAAATTATAATTTGAAATCTAACACAGCGATTTTTTATATTTTGTTTATTGTTGTTGAAGATATTTTTGGGTCCTTACATGCAAATTTTAAAGCAACTCAACCATAAAAGAGCAATCTATGGTGTATGCCGTATGCAGAATTATTAGATACTCTAATATTCTATACACTACGTCACAAACTAGTGGTAGTACAAATTTGACAAAGACATTCTTAACTAATCTTGTTGTGCTCTATTTGTAAGTTTTTTATTTCGACAGATTTTGCAGAAATCAAACACGTTTTTTGCTATCGCTATAGTACTTAAAAAAAAATAGTGTTGATAATGCCAAAAAGACATTAATTGTAATTTTAAGAGATTTTACACTAATAATTCACCCAAAGATAAGCATTTTTGCAGGGTACTTAATAATTTTGCACGTAGCTTTATAATCAAAACTACACCTTAGCATAACATAAAAAAAGTTTTAACATTGATAACCTCCTTTGTTGAAATTGGCTTTAATTAAGTAATTTAAGAGCAACGTTTTAAAAAAATAAAAAATCAGGCGATACGATAAAAAAACACAAATTAAAGCATAATGATAACATTAATTATATGTAACATTTATAATGAATATGTTCACAATAAAAATAGACAAATCACCTACGTGATAGCTGACAACGGAATGACAAAGAAACAACCTTAGCCTTTGACACAAATATTATTAATATTTTTGATTAAATTTTATGGCAATTAAGAAATATCACTAAACTGGCTTTATGCCCGCAGCTTCGCCTGCATGGAGTCCGGTTATATCGCGTTTCCAAGTAAACCTTTCAAAAGTTTGGAATAAAAACTATCTCAAGGTCAACTCCATCTCTGTACCAAATTTCATTAAAATCAGTTCAGTGGTTTAGGCGTGAAAGCGTATTTTCATTGTTTACCCCCCGCAAGCCCCCTTGTGGGTAAAATTTCGTAAAATCCGTTCTTAGCTGACCTCTACTGGGCGAAAGGAATAATCCTAAAAAATTTCAAGTCGCTACGCCTTATGGTTCCAGAGATATCGTGATAAGTCAATATATAGGTGGAAATCTCTTATATATATAGATAACGTATTAAAATTAATGTTTGATATATTTCTGCTTATGAATGAGTCATCTTTTCTATCTTACCATTCTATCCATGAGTCTTTTCGATGTTTTGAACGCGTTGTATCCAACTGTTGGTACAGCGAGCCCGTCTGCCAGCGTGGACCTAATGTTGACGCACACTGGCTGTTCATGTTTGACAGCCATCTTCATGCTTGGACATTTCTCGGTTTCCGCACCCTGAGAGGTTTAAACTATGAATTATCTCAAATATAACTAATATTCAACTAAGGCCACGTCTATTTTGCTTCTTATTTATCTGTAGGAACTATATACTGTGCAATCTCGATATAACAAATATGGGGGGAATGAGAAAATATTCGTTATAATCAAGTAATTCGTTAAGCTGAGGTTTGTTGTATTGCGGTGCGGTTGGTCTAAAAATTGTTATAAAGAGGTAACTATATGTTATTATTCACCTTCCAATATACTATTACTTTGTATAAAGGTTTTTGGTTGACAAATTCATTAACTAGAGGTTTGTATAATCTTTTTTCATAGTTGAAAATTCGTTATAAAGATGTTCGCAAAAAATATTCGCAATATTGCGGCATATTTATATTGACTCTAACAATACAAGGTGATTACGAAAAATTCGTTCAATCGAGGAATTCGTTATATTGAGGTATGTTATATTAAGGTTGCACTGTATATGCCTATGAAACAAAGACATATATCTATTAACTAAAGACCAATAACTCCCAAAAAAGGACGTACGTATATAAGAACATGAGGTTTCATATTCTTAATGGCTGTCGCTACTCCTGCAAGTAGACCTCCTCCACCCACAGGGACTATGACGGCGTCTACATCAGGAACTTGCTCCAATATCTCCAAACCCACGGTTCCTTGACCAGCCATTATGTGGGGGTGATCGTAGCTGATAGAGAAATATTTCAATCAGAAGCAGTCTTTAATTGAGTGATAAGATATGAGAAATAACTGGATTTTTGTTGGTATGGTACATAATATGTACTATATTGGACTAAAGTCTAGTCTAAATGGACTAAAGTCTAGACTTAAGTCCATCCATCCATAAGAATTTTTTAAATGCCTATAAGAAAAGCAAAATAAACTTTAGTTTAGCGTCTAGACTCTAGACTGTTTACGTGAAATATTTGTCAAAAAGAAAAATCTTAATATTTTAGTGAATAAGAGGAATTGTCAAAGGAATGCTGAGGTCATATCAGTAGGTAAAATTAAAGTTACCTAAGTAAAATTGTTTATATGAACTTGGAAGATACTTTTTACATACCCATTAATATATGTGAGACCTCTTTCCTTGGCTAGCATCATAGCATGGTATTTCGCTTCCTTCATATCATGTCCATGAATGACGACATTCGCCCCATACGAACGGCAGTTCTGTATTTTCATGATGGGCGCTACATTTGGCATGACCACAGTGGCTGGTATGTTCAGTTGTTGTGCGTGGTAGCTGAGACCCTGGGAGTGGTTCCCGAGTGAAGCTGATATAACACCACGTGATTTCGCCTCTGAAGATAGTAGAAGTAAGGCGTTACGAGCCCCTCGTTCTTTGAAACTGTTAGGAAAATTTTAATTAAAAAAAATTCGTAAGTCCTGTCATAATCATATCTATTTTTGCTGCTTATTATACATCATATACTTATAATTAGTAAAGTCAGTGGTAGCCTAGTGGTTAAAAGGCCCGCCTCTCATGCATGAGGGTTCGGGTTCAATCCTGGCAAGTACCAATGTAATTTTTCGGAGTGATATGTAATTTCTGAGAGTATTTAGACACCACTGATTAATGTCAGGCAGGCGGCCGGTCGTGAAAACAATTAGCCAAAACTATTCACAACATGTAAGACAGACCCTGGCTAAAACCTGGGAAATTGCCAGGTAGAAAAAGATATACTTATAATTATTAATGTTACACATAGTGACTTTTTGAAAAGTTTTATCGATAAATATTATACTTTTCTTATTTCTTATGGCAACCCATATAACAGCAAGTTTTGGTTTAAAAAAATGTAAATCTATTCGTATCTTAATGATATACCGATATTATAATGAATAAGTACTACACATTACACAGCGAAGTTTCTAAGATTCCTCTACAAAGAACCTGCAACCTTAACTCAATCAGTATACAGATCAAAATTGTATGGTTAATATTTGTAAAGGAATGTGCTTAGTACAAGATACTCTACAATATAACAACTTTTCCTTCCTGAACAAGAACATTCCATTATTTCTTTTATGGTTTTCAATATAAATACTCGCCTGCCAGTGTGTTGCAGAAAATCATTTTTGAGATAAATATCCATCCCAAAAATTGATGACATGTGAGATTTCTAAAAAAAAAGAAATATGTTTAGAATATTATTTTATTCGCCGTCTTTTTAGTAAATTAAGTTTTAAAAATGTCTATTCGTGATATTTTTAAGCGACTTTTTGCTTACTTTAAAATAATTATATTATGTATATAAATAAAAACAGAGGATATAACTAAAAAGTTAGACATTTTGTCTAGATTTTACCAACTGGCAATTCTCATTTGTTTAATTAAATTATTCTTATGAACACTGTGCAACTATTCGGAAAGTTACCGATTACATATTAGATTTATTTTTGATTTAATTTATTTGTACTCTTCCGATCTATTCTAACGAATTTAGATAAAATATGTTAAATATGTTTATTCAGATTTTTATTTATTTATTCTAACACACCAATTATTCGTCTCCCTAATAATAATATCTTGTTGTTTCAGTAATTAATTTTAATAAAAATTAAATTAATCATCCATATAGTACATGTCAAAAAGATTAATTATATTTTGTATCTGTTATGGGTTAAAAAAAGAGGTCAATGACAATTAAACATTATTGTATTTTTTTGTTTTTAAACGTGATTTAGATTCCTCATCCGTAAGGTCAATATCATGTAACGATAATCGATATAGACGATAGTAATAGGATGAATTCAATATAAACACAAAATCGATAAAATAATACATAGCCATCAAAAGCAACAAATTTTTTAGTCACTGGAAACGATTTTTTTTAATAACTAAGTATAGACAATATTCAGTTAAAAAGTGTTTGACATATTGTTGATCTAAGCGTTTAGTTACTGGTATAACAAAATAGCAGTTAGAAGTACTTCTCACATGCTATATGTAGATATAAAAAGGATTAAAAATTCATAAGAACTTTACGAATTCTATGTAATTTATCAAAAACAGTTTTTTTTGTAAATAAAAATTGCTAAGCTAATTCGGACCTTCTTGTTTGAAACCATATAATTAAATCAAAATAGAGAAAATCGTATTTCTATTTTATTTGTCGCAACTCATTTATAAAACAGAAACATTTACTTAAGAAGTAATATATTAGATATTAGATTCTTCCGCATTTTTCCAGTAAGTATATAAAGAACCATTTAAAGCGAACTTTATGAAAATATTTGTTTTATTAACCGTTTAATTTATGTATTAAATTTAAATTATTTGTGAATATATTAAAATATATATCAAATTGTGTGCCATGATGATCATATTTATTTTAAAAAAAATTGCTTATCCACGGAATAACTTGAATAGAACAAATAATATATCTAAGTGAAACTAATATTTTCGAATTAATTCACGTATGTATTTTAATATTTTTGAATTCACTAACATTCACATTTGCATCTCGTCTGTCCGTGATCACAGTTGCTGCAGAGTAACAGCAGTAAATAAAATATGCGAAGTAGGTACCTAATCCGAAATTTTTAGTTTGTTGTAAATGAATACTCGCGAAGGTCTTAGATCTCAATAATATATGTATTATATTAAAGTACTTACCACGCATGGCGTTTTTATAATCCCACTCTGGATTCTATAGGCTGCTGCTGATACGTCCTCAAAAGTTATTATTTGAGGATTCTCTTTGTCACACATAGGGTCGAACTCGACCGTCTGAAACACCATTTTTGTTACTATCACAGACTAACCATACTTGTCAGTAACCCAGTAGTTAATAGCCACAAATAATGTCTTAGATACCCATGATATAAAACGAGGTCAAAGGTGTGGGGTTAAATTTTACGATAGCCATTCAATGTCTTATTCGGCCTAATCACTATATCGTGGGAGTAATTATTTTTGTTTATATTGGACATATTATATTATACATATATGTATAATTAAATTTTTAGAGCACTTATCACTGGTTTGACAATGGTATGTTTTAGGAAATAGATATAATATAACACGGAAGTTTAAAAAGATATCCTACAGATGATCTTCTTTGGTATTCCTCCATCTGATTTATTGAAATTCTTGACACGTCTGTTGTGAATGGTAGCACTTTGAAACTAAGGAATATTAGACCTTTCGCTGAACTTTTATAGTATGTTGTCGATTAAACAGTAAATAACTAATACTTCATGAATGTAGCCTAGCTTTAATGCAATAACTTTGGAAATATTTCATTATCCCTTCGACAAATTTAGTTTCATTCATAAATAGTAAAAAAAACAATATATCATATGAGTAATGAATAGATAATATTTGAATTCTTGGTTTCAATTTGAAATCACAATTTCTTCTATGTAAAGTCTGTAAGCTTAAAAATTAGGTTTTCAACAAATTAAAGCATTTTCTCCACGCAAAGAGAATACGCAACGCCAAGTGAATTGCCAACTTTATATCGTGTATAGTTATCTTGTATTGGAGGTTTTTGTTAATGTTTAGAAAAGGGCCATTTTATACACACCTATCTTTAAAATGACTTCTGTGGTACGGTTAAAATAATCCCAGAGATCACGTAACACCATAAGTCAATAAATAACAGTGAAATAAAACACGCAACTGTTTATTTAAATCAAGTATATTGTTCATAACAATTTAAATATGTAAGCAACTCGTCTCACCAACATTAAATGGGGTGGAAAACAATATTTTTCTTGCGCGTTATAGAAGGTTGAAAAAAAATCTTCCACAGGCTTATTAAAAGGTTATTCTGGAGCAGAAGCAATTGATTCTAGGGAATCTATTTAATTCTGTCAGAATGGTTACTTCTAAATTCACGAAACTATTCAAGTCCAGATTTTTTTTCGCTTCGAAAAATAAATGCCGTAAATTATTTCTTTCTGCCAGTTGGTAACCTAAGAACTAAGATCAAAACATCTCATGTGTTCAGATCGTACATTCCATACGCCATGTCCTTAATGTAATCAAGAAGTTATTGTTGTTGTTCCAGGTTAAACACTGTTCTTTTACTATCTTACTTTTTAGAGGAACCTACTGATGTTTAATTTCTACCATTGGTCTTCTTTTAATGCCACCGCAGGGACCTTAAACTTTCTACTTCCTGTTTTGTTAGGACACTATCTCAAAGGGCGCTGTTTTGCATATATAAATCCTCGGCATCGTCTGTCAAAACAACAAATACTAAAGGGGTTAAAGTTAATTGATTCCTGGAATTACTTTAAAAAGACAGAAAGGGATTATTTTATCCACAAAAGCACGCCAAGTGCTAGTACCGCCAGGAAATTTGAAGCGTTAAGGGGGATCCTCATATACATATATACGCATTTGGAGAGATACCACATATTGTCTCTAATTTACGGAAATGGATCGTGTGAGTACCTACAGGAATCGTATAACCTCATCTTCATTACATTGACTGTTTCAAAGATCATTCTTAAGATATTTTAAATATTCGTTTATGCAGATTATTCATTCCCTTTTTAACAGTTATTTAATGTGTATGAAGTTCATATTTAAATATGCATTTGGTTGTTATAAAACTAGCTTGAAACATTAAAAATAGTGTTATAATGCGTATCAAATTTATTGGTGGTAGAGGCATAGTCATATCTTTAAAATATTTCAAAAACTTTTAGAAAGTGGTGCAAGTTTTTCATAAAGCGATCTTTTAGCGAGCGAGCAGATGGGATAAAAGAATTTATGTGTGTGGTAAAAAAAATATTATTCAATATAAGTAAAAAAATATAATTTTATAAACGAAAAAGTATTATAATATATTCTACAATCTAAATTACCCTTTTCTGCATCATGCTGTAAAAATTATATTATTTGTGATAACATAATGAAACGGTATGGCAACTATCAAATTCGATTATGTCAAAATAAAGTCGAATATGTTTGCTGGCGGCGTAAATATTGTGTAGCGTTTTTGTTAAATTATAATAAAAACTTGTACAATTGTAACTAACTGTGTTAAATTCGATTGAGATCTAAAAGATTGTGAATTTGGTTATCGAAGTTATTATATACAGTAATTATACATCGAAATGCCGTACGCAAATCAACCATCAGTACATATAACAGAATTAACTGACGACAATGTAAAATTTGTCGTCGAAGATACAGAGCTTAGCGTTGCCAACAGCATGCGACGAGTTTTCATTGCAGAAACGCCGACGATGGCTATCGATTGGGTTCAACTGGAAGCAAACTCAACAGTTCTAAGTGACGAATTCCTTGCTCATCGTATTGGTTTAATACCACTAATATCTGATGACGTTGTTGATAAAATACGTTACTCCAGGGACTGCATGTGTGCGGATTTCTGTACTGAATGCAGTGTGGAATTCACATTGGATGTTAAATGCACCGGCGATCAAACAAGACATGTGACCACTGCTGATTTGAAATCTAGTGACCCACGAGTGGTGCCGGTCACTTCACGCCATAGAGATGAGGACCAGGCAGATTATGGTGAACTAGATGAGATCTTGATTATCAAGTTACGTAAAGGACAAGAATTAAAGTTGCGAGCATATGCCAAAAAGGGGTTCGGAAAAGAGCATGCCAAATGGAATCCAACATCCGGTGTCTGTTTTGAGTATGATCCTGACAATGTAATGAGACATACATTATACCCAAAGCCAGACGAGTGGCCGAAGAGTGAGCATACAGAGCTGGACGAGGATCAGTATGAAGCTGATTTCAACTGGGAAGCAAAACCGAACAAATTCTTCTATAATGTAGAATCTTCCGGAGCATTGAAGCCGGAGAACATAGTATTGATGGGCATTGTTGTATTAAAAAATAAACTTTTAAATTTACAAGTACAACTAGCACAAGAAACACAAAATGATGCTCTAGCTATTAATTAAATTAAGATAATAAAATATACTTCAATAAAAGAGATGATTTTTATTTAATCTTTTAAATTCTGATATGAATACTTTTTAGAATATCCTTTTAATATTGTATTTACTGTCAAGTTACTGTCAATTATTTCTAAACATCCATTTATATACAAAATTAAATAAGTACTAATTTATTAAAAATTCATAGTTATGGCTTGTGAAAAAACATACGAAAGTTGCAATTACTTTGGAGATATATCTGGGGCTTATAAGCTTAATGAGATTGAACAGGTTATTCTAGATTGAATTAATGTTCTAAATTGCTTATATACATGTATATGATACATAATGTTTATTATAAAAATCATAAATTTCTGTTTTAGGAACCAATAGACTCAATAAGCAAAATTAAACTTAAATTAGAAGATATCCAAGAAGCGCACAATAGAATTAAAAATTACACAACTGTCACCCCAATAATTGTAAGATATATTAATCACACTTTGAAATGAATTAAATATGTTTTTTAAATTGAATCTTTTAAATATTACAATTCAATTTGTGTTACAGGAGGCTAAGTATGTAGGGAATCATTTTTGCAATGTGCTACTTAAATGTGAAAACCTACAAATTACCGGCAGGTATTTAAAATTATACGTCTTTTAAAGCACTTATTTCTTATTACTACTATTACTAATAAAATAACCATACTATTAATAATAAAATAACCATAGATTCAAAAATTTTATCAAGTTTTTTAAATCGCAATTTCATTTAAATCAATATTAATATTTAGTTTTAAAGCACGTGGTACATTCAACGTCGTGACTTGTATGACGACCGCGGAAAAAGGAAAAGGTTGCACCGTCGCAGGAGGAAGAAACTTTTTGAATGCAATGACTTACAGTGGATTAAAAGAGTCCGTCCCTGTAAACGTTGTTGTACCAAAGGATTGCTCCTTAGCAGACAGGCAGAAGTACAAAGAAAATTACGCTGTGGTCAAAGTATTTGGTAACGATTCGAACGAGTCTAGTCTTCATGCTTTGACTTATTGTGATGAAATTGGCTCACATTTCATTCGATGGTTAGCATTTTTATTCTTTATGCAAAATACAAATCGGTTTTACCATATGACCAGTTGACATTTCTTTAAACTTTAATTACAATCTGTGGTCACAAGTAATTAAAATTCATTAAGCTTGAATCGTTGTCTTTGCGATTTTAAACTAATTTTATTATACTAGCTCTGACAGGTTGGACTTATTAGCTGGATATGGGACATTAGGGTTGGAGATTCTTTCTCAGGTGGATAAGTTAGATGCTATTATATGCCCTGTCGGCACAGGAGGCCTTATCGCTAGCATATTAGTGGCAGTTAAATCCTTAAAACCCCAATGTTTGATTTATGTAAGTTCTAAAATAACTGAAATTATTTAGTTTGGATAAAAATGTATTTTTGGGAGAGATATTTTCTTGGTTACCTCCTAAGAAGAAGAAATATAGACCCATTTCAAATGTATGCAATAAATATTTATTTTTTTAATATATTAAACAGGGTGTTGAAAGTTCAGCGGCACCGACTATGAGTAGAGCCTTGCAAGAGAAGAAACCAACGATAATTCTAGTGAAACCAACAATTGCCGAAAGTATTGCAGATAAAATAGCAAGCAACAATGCTTTTCATATTATAAAAAGATATTTAACTAAAATGGTCTGTAATTTATTATCCAAATAGGCTCTATTTGTAAAAAAATTAAGTACCTATAAGTTTAGTTTGCATTTAGATCACTGTTGATGATTTGTGGATATCAAGGGCTATGGTTAATTTATTGGAGAGAGAAAAGATAATAGTGGAAGCAGCCGCAGCGACACCAATTGCTGCCATTATGGCAGGGAAAGTGCCTGAATTACGAGGAAAAAAGTAAACCAAATTTATTTCTTTTTTTGATGTTAAATTAAGTTTACTAACATTTCGCGTGTTTTTCAAGTGTCGTGTGTGTGTTAACTGGTGGAAATATAAAATTATCTCGCCTGCCGCACATCGTGGACCGCGGTTTGATGGCTGAAGGGCGACTTGTTGGGTTTTCGATCACTCTGCCAGATGGGCCAGCTGAGATCGCGCGTTTGCTTACTAAAGTGGTGGATACTGGTGCGGATGTAAGAAGTTTCGAACCAGAACGGTCTTGGATAAAACGCGACGCTCTCAATGTCACTGTAAGATATATTTTTTAATTAATTTTTTTCTAATTATAATCTTTAATCATGCTTTTAACAACGAATTGCAGGTATTCATGTTACTTGAAACAAGTGATCCCAGCCACGCTAAAGAATTGGAGAAGAAATTACTGAAAGATTATCCTCATTCCCAAATCATTTCAGCATAATAGAAATTTGTTATGTAAAGAGAGGACAATATCATATTTCACTGTTTAATATTTTGATGTACCATTATGAAAGACTTTGTTTTCGGAATTAAAAAAATGTGGTCTAATAAATCATGTAACTAACAACTAGCCAATATTTTTAATCGCTAATCCAAAACACACTACAAATACTGTTTGTTACGATCGTTATATACTAAATCGTAATTTTTTGTCTTTGTTTCCAAAAACTAAATTTATATTTGACTAGTGTATATCCGTGACTTCCTCTATTTTGGCTTCTGCAACAATACACAAGTTCACGGACGAATTAATAATGCACCTATACGTAATACATTAGATTTTATAACAAATTTTCAGAGATATCTTTTGTGACACTTATACCTACTACATATATGTGTACAACTGTTATTCTTCCCGTGCAATTTACTCGATATAAAGATATCTAATATCTATAAATTTATTATACATAATAATAATTAATAACGGAAAATAATTAAGTTCTTAAGGCCCTGGGGTCTTGCTCTACAAGTTAATCTCATATCAAGTTAAATTATTAATCAGATTCATTAAAAAATGGTTTTATATAATTTATTAAACGAAATAACAATAAAATCCATTCATGTTTAAAAACTTTGGCATTTGTAATGTTTTACGAAAAATACGTGATTTAATTCATTTTTCTCTTAGAGTCTTCGGAACTAAACTCGGAATAGCGGGCAAAATTTTTAGTTGAATGCGTCGCCTATGGTAGGAATTAAGATGTCATGAACTGTGTAGATAATATTACAGTGAAAACATTTTAACACAAATAATATTCGAGACAAAAATGTCCCTAAACTTTTAATACTTAAAAATAAACTGGGAGTCTGTTTCATCCTGAGGTTAATTCGTATTGATTCTGTAACTTCTTTGTAATTCTGATAGAATAATTATATTAATATTCTAATATTTCACACTAACAAAAAACTTATAAAAAGTATCTCTTAATAGAAAGATAGATAAGAAAATAGTTGTATATATAAATTTATTTATAAAAAATATTATTAAGGACTCAACACTTCCTATTTTGTGACATATACACACCCCTTAACAAATTCATTGTGAACAAATAAATTCTTATTATTTACTGACATTAGTTTGTCATAAAATTGGCTAATCATTTATATAGAACACAAAATTTTTACGTTATTTGAGGAATCGCAATTTTCACAATATTATTTCAACAGACACTAAAAATGGTATGTACTTTTATTTAATTTTTATTTTGCTTTTCATCTATTTGTTAATTTTTAATATGAATATAGGAAGAAACAATGATGGAACCGGAAAGGCCACACATATTAACATTTAATGAAATAAAACAAGCGGCAGAGAGAATTGAAGATGGCATTATACATACCCCTCTTTGTGTAAGTAGGTATTTTAGATTCATTTTATAAGAAATATGTTTTAAGTATCAAGTGATCTATATTTTTTATTTATAGGAAGCAAAAATAAGTAAATACATGGATTATAACATTTATTTGAAATGTGATAATTTGCAATATACTGGAAGGTAATAAAAAAGCTTTATTTAAAGTGTGCAAGTAGTTAAAGTGTGTAAGCGTAAGTAGTGGCAAATCCACTCACGACCATGTGCGCTTGGAATTTGTGTGAATGCAAAACTTACTGTTACCAGGTTTGAAAAATCACAATTGCTACGCGTTATTTTATAATTTTAAAAATACATACTCTCGAATTTCAGTTACTTTGCAGCACCCGTGACATATAACATAATGAGTAGTAATCCGAAAATATTAGTTTTATTTAAATGAATACACGCGAAAGTCTTGATTTTATGTCAATTACTGTAGTATAGGTATGTATTGAACTTTAAGGAACATGATTAAAATAAGAATATAATTTTCCAGCTGCTCTGAAAGAGGTATACGGAACGCCTTTGTCGCTCTTAACGATGAAATGTCTGAAAGAGGAGTGATCGTACCATCTAATGGAAACATGGCTCTGGGAGCTGCATATCAAGGACACTTGCTGAATATACCAGTAAATATGAGTTTATTATACTACATGTATAAAAATCTTATGACACTTACAACTTAAAAGCGGAGGGCCAAATTAATATTAAGTTTCCATAGTCGTTGTAGATACTACACACTAATTGAAAGCTCTTATTATCAGTCGAAAGACAATTAGAGTGCTATTCCACAAGAGACGTGCTATGGCTTCGTTTGATTTCTACCAATCATATTCATTTGAATACAAAGCTTAATTCGTGGAATTGGATTCAAAGAAGATATGTTTTTTATATGGAAGGATACGTGCTATAGATGACTTCTATGGGCCGTCGCGAGTGGTATAGTTATGTGCAGAGTAGAGTACCTACCTACAGAATGGCCGCTAATCTTTATCGTACAGCTACATAGCGTAGTATTGATGGAAACGGTCGCATATTTTGAAAGCGTAGATTTCACATCTTCGCAGCATAGCTGCATAGCACATCTCGGGTGGAAAAACACCCTTATAATTTTTGCAGGAAAAATATGTATTAGATTATTTTTTAATGAAGTTGTTAACGCTATCCGATAGTACACGAATTTTCTACTGTAATAAAATTTTGGTCTATAATTTCTGTCTCATAGTAAGTAGTTCTGTTTCGACTCAATGATACATTAACTAATTTATCGAGGCTATGCTTTTTATAATTGCCACTTTAAAGTCAGCAAGATATATTTTGTGAATGCAATTAAATTATAGATATCGTAATTCTTAGGTGACAGCAATACTTCCGGAGCGATGTCCCCCGTCACTATCGCAGCGCTGTGCTGAACTAGGGGCTCACGTGGTTTTAGTTGGTGAAACAGTTGAAGATGCTGTTTCTTACGCCAACAAGACAAACCGGGATGGATCACAGATTATATTAACGTAAAGACGCTCTTTATTAGCTACATTTACAAATGAAATGCTTAATATTTGTATGTAAATTATGTTTAGTTCGGACGACCCGTTAGTAATGGCTGGCCTGGGTACTGTTGGTGTGGAAATCATAACTCAATTGCCAGAGACAGATGCTGTTATTGTACCTGTAGCGTCAGGCGGACTCCTTGCAGCGACGCTTGTAGCCTGCAAGAAACTAAAGTGCACCTGTCTTGTTTATGTAAGATAGTTACCATATATGTATTTTTTTTGAAAAAGAGTGAAAAGTATTTCCATGTAATTTAGTACAATATAAAAAGATCTGAAATATTCTTAAGCTACGTATATACACATCTTTCAAGGGAGCAGAATGCGCTAAAGTACCAAAAATGATGAAGGCCTTACAGTCAGGATATCCGGTTTCATTGCCAGTTATACCAAATATAGCACAAGGTTTGAGTTCTGCGGTTGTAGGGGAAAATGCCTTCGCGACTATCAGGGGTCGTTTGGATAGAATGGTAAACAATTTCGTTTTATATATTAAATTGTCTCCCAAACTAATAATATTTGATTTCTATACAAGGTTACCTATATTATAACAGTTAGTTGTCGACGAAGCCTACATTGCTCGGGCCGTAATAAACGTATTAGAACGTGAGAGGCTTGTGGCGGACGGCGCCGGCGTGTGCGCCTTGGCTGCTGTCATGCAAGGTCTAGTTCCAGAGTTGAGAGGAAAACGGTAAGCTTTGAATAGTATCCATCATTTAGATGTGATGTGCAAATATGACTAATAATACATGATTAAAGTTTAAATGCATCTGACATTTTCGGATTACTAGGCTTTATTTTATTATTTAATAAAACTACATACTCCTGACGTTTCAGTTATTTTGCAACAACTGTGATCAAAGCACCAGCAGAGTAGCCGAAACGTCGCGAGTATGTTCTTTTTTAAATAATGAATTAACGTGTAGTAATCCGAAAATATTAATTACATTTAAATTGGAAATGAATACTCGCGAGTCTTAGATCGCATCATTGAAGTTATTATATTGAACCTCAAATAAGTATGTTAGTCAATAGAGGCGCTGTAATTATTTTTAATCATATTCATAAACATATTTCTCTTAACTATAAAATTCAAGACATGTATAAGAGGAAAATTTATAAAAAAAAATCAAGTATATAATTTTCATCTTCACTATTACGAAAATACCGAAGGGATCCGAACTATTGAACATATAATTACAGAGCTGTGTGCGTTATAAGCGGAGGCAATATAGATTCGGGACGTCTCTCCCGTACTATTCATCGCGGTCTGGGTGTGAGTGGGAGACTCATGAGGTTTGCGGTGCCCGTGCCTGATCACTGTAAGGGACTTGAAATTCTAGCTGAAGCCATCGCTGATAAAAGAGCGGTCATTAAGAGCTTTGGCACCGAACAGATATGGGTTCACAGTGATATCGGATCTACTTGGGTTTGTAGCTAGTAATTTTAATGCGTCTACTTTGATATTGTATAGTATTATACAGAGTATAAAATACATAAGCGGGAATTTAATATGAGATCGAAATTATTGATTTAGAAACAGGAGTTATTTTCATTGCAATTTAATACATCAGAAAAACAACTTTACTTCCTTGTTCATTCTAACAGGCCTACAATCCTAACATACTTCACACTTGACTATCCCACGACCAAAGTAATTTGACCAATTTACAACAAATGTTTTTTCGATCTACATTTTGTTAAAATTTCATTTGCCAGATTTAATTTTTAATATTAATTATACTTATCAACATTTTATAAGAACTGTAATAACCATGCCTAAAATTCAATAATAAGAAAGAAAATATAATATCCTCAAATAAAAAAATTATTAATATTATCTTTCAGGCAAATGTTGTGGTTGAAACAGCAAACGAAGAAAATGCTTTGGCACTCAAAGAACATTTAAGAAACTTGTATCCAACAATCAAATTTGCAGTTTTTGAGGTTGATGAAAAACATAAGATGAGATAAAAAAAAATCGTAAATTGACTTATTTAACTTTGTACAACATTAAGGAGTAAAGGAAAATGAAAATTGATGTTTTTTTTAAATTTTTTTACTTAAATCATAACTTAGGCAACGGGATCGTCACCTTTGGTTGCTCTTGTGTATATAACTTGTCCGTGATGTTGGACAACCTGCTTGATTAAGCCTGAAACAAACGATTGCTTGTTAAGTTGACAGATTTGTACGACATCAAAAATATTTGATATAGTGTAGATCAGACTCAACATATCAGTTTTATACCATCATGGCTTCTCCGGAGAAAATGATCATCATAATGTAAACTCCCATAGTTAAAATAGTATTGGTTTCTTTATAATAATAAGCAAAATTGTCAAGGAAAGCTTTCAAATGTATCCAAGATCTTAAAAACCTAGTTGATATAACATAACAATAAAATATTTATACATTTTTATTATTGTTTTCTTACTAATACAATAATAATTATTATGTTATTGTATGTAATTCCTTACCTTTTTCTCTAAGTTCGATCAGAGCTCGCCTCGCAAGGGAACCTCGGACCTTCAACCTTTCAGACACAACGGCGGGAGTGATCAGCTTGTATTGTGGCACTTCCTTGTACAGTTTTTCATATGTAGGCTTGTCAAACAAAACCTGGTTGTTTAACTTGTCGCGTACTTTTCCTTTGGACCACTTCTGCAAAGCGAATATTCACGAGCGTCAGTTTTGTTATGAGACGAAAAATAAAATTTATTAAATTTAAATGACATCAGACTCAATATATCAGTAAATTTTTAACTCTCAGGTTAATCGAGTAAAAAAGAAATAATCATTTGGTTTAGAATTAGATATTAATTCCAATGTGTGAAAACATAACCTCAATTTGTATTACTAACCTTCTTCTTGGCTTTGCCGCCGCTGGATCCCTCCTTCTTCTTCTGTGTTTTCTGGGGCTGCTTAGCCGAAGACTTAGCGTCCTTCTTGGGCGGCTAAAATTAATACAAAAAGTTTGTAAAACACAAGTCGGCCACGAGGTACACATACTATACATAATAGTATAGAAATCCGAAACTTTAGACAACACTGAATTTACAATATAATAAATATTTTTTTATTATTTATATTTATATTGAATATAAGCTATTAGCAAGTGATTAAGTATTTATTTGTAAAATATTTATTTCGACAACATGAACACTCACCATCTTGGAAAACGAAAAGAGATATAGAAGCGTGTACAGATAGCATATACACTTCACACAGAATGTTTGTTACGTCACAGAGTATAAAATGTTTATGGATACGTTAATTAATATAAGTGGCATGTGCTTCGTAATTATAAAAATATATAATTTTTATGTTAATACATATGTGTATAAATTTACCAAAAAAAAATATTTTACCTAAATTTTGAAATGGACAATTGAAGTGTCGTCGAACCGAACGCAAATGTATAACACTTAATAGAACTGAGTACTGACGACTAATATTAATTATATACAACGATACCGTTTAAAAGTAAAAAAATCGATGGTATAATGGTAATCACTTAAAATCATCAACGACCATTAGTTAAATTAGTTTGATTTATTCAGAGAGTATAACTGTTTAATTACGCTATGATATTTTGAATTCATCATCATCATCATCAGCCAAAAGACGTCCACTGCAGGACATAGGCCTCCCCCAAGGATCTCCACGACGACCGGTCTTGTGCCACCCGCATCCAGCGGATTCCCGCGACCTTCACCAGGTCGTCGGACCACCTTGTTGGGGGCCTACCCACGCTGCGTCTTCCGGCTCGTGGTTGCCACTCGAGAACCCGTTGGCCCCATCGGGCATCGGTTCTGCGAGCGATGTGCCCTGCCCACTGCCACTTAAGTACTGCAATTCTTCGGGCTATGTCGGTGACTCCCGTTCTTCTGCGGATCTCCTCATTCCTGATTTGATCACGCAGTGAAACTCCGAGCATAGCCCTCTCCATTGCCCTTTGAGTGACCTTGAGCTTTCTAATAAGGCCCATCGTGAGCGGCCACGTCTCAGTGCCGTATGTTAGCACTGGCAACACACACTGGTCGAAGACTTTTGTCTTGAGACACTGCGGTATTCTGGACGAGAAGATTCTACGTAGCTTCCCGAACGCAGCCCAGCCGAGTTGGATTCGACGATTGACCTCTTTCTCGAAGTTGGACTTACCTAACTGGACCGTTTGTCCCAGGTATACGTAGCTGTCAACAACTTCGAGCGTAGAGCCTCCGATCTTAATAGAAGTCGGTACAACATGGACATTAGACATGATTTTCGTCTTCTCCATGTTCATCTTAAGACCAACTTGTTCGGAGGCTCTATTGAGATCATCGAGCATTGTACTCAGGTCCTCCGCGGTCTCAGCCATGACTACGATATCATCAGCAAACCGAAGGTGTGATAAAGTACTCGCCATTTATGTTGATGCCAAGTCCTTTCCAGTCCAGAGCCTTGAAGACGTCCTCCAATGCAGCGGTGAACAGTTTTGGGGAGATAACATCCCCTTGTCTGACACCACGCTGCAGAGGTATTGGTTTCGAGGTCTGATCCTGTAATCGGACTGACATGGTGGCGTTTTCGTACAAACCCTTCAGCGCTTCAATATACCGGTAGTCTACTTGGCACCGCTGGAGAGACTGCAGTACAGCCCAGGTCTCGATCGAATCAAAGGCTTTTTCATAGTCCACAAACGCCAAGCAAAGAGGTAGATTATACTCCTCGGTCTTCTGTATAACCTGCCGCAGCGTATGTATGTGGTCTACTACACTAAAGCCTTTTCGGAAACCGGCTTGTTCGGGAGGCTGGAAGTCGTCTAACCTGCGTGCAAGGCGATTCGTTAGGACTCTCGAAAACAGCTTGTAGACATGACTCAGAAGTGAGATGGGTCTGTAGTTTTTCAGCAGGGTGTTATCACCCTTTTTGAAAAACAATACCACCACACTTCTGTGCCACGCTTGTGGCGTTTGTCCTTCGAGTATGACGGAATTAAACAATTTCTGAAGGGCCCTAAGGATCGGTTCTCCACCCGCCTTCAGTAGCTCGGCCGTTATTCCATCATCACCCGGTGCCCTGTTGTTTTTAAGCTGTTTGAGAGCCATTCGAATCTCGTGCAAGCTGACGTCCGGGATATCTTCGGAGTAATGTCGGGTTAATCTCGCTCTTGGGTCGTCAGCGAGATTGGAAGCGGGCTCTCTTGTGTACGTGTATAGCCGTCTATAGAAAGTCTCGACTTCCCTCAAAAGCTCAGGCCTCGACGATATGATTCTGCCATCGTCAGTCTTCAGCTTGTTTAACCGGCTATGTCCAGCAGTCAGATCTCTTGCAAAAGCTTTGAAGTCTCTGTTCCGCTCTATAGCATCTTTGATATGTTCGGTATTATACCGACGCAGATCGCGCTTAAGAGACTTTGAGATCCGCTTGCTGAGCTGCCGGTATCGACAAGCATCACTTGACGAACGGAAAACCATCTCAAGTCTTTCCTCCGCGGCGGGTCTTAAAGTACTTGGACCCCACCGTACGGACGGCTTCTACAAACCCGTCATTGTACTCGTCCACATCGCCATTTAGGCATTCGAAGCGATTTTGGAGTTCAAGCTGGAAACTTTCGCAGTTTTGGATTTGGATGGGTATAGGCCGGAGAGTAGGCTTCATCAAGCGAGATCTCTCGAGCACGATATTAAGATTCAATGTGCCTCTTACCATGCGGTGATCGCTGCCGCACTTAAGCGAGTTGATCACAGAGACATCATTGAATATGTGCTTTTTTGTCGACATGATGAAGTCTATCTCATTTTTGGTTACCCCGTCGGGGCTGATCCAGGTCCACTTTCGCTGTTCGGGCTTTTTGAAGAAGGAGTTCATCATAAAGAGTTCCTCCTTCTCCATGAAGCCAGCCAGCATGTGGCCCCGATGATTCCGACTTCCAAACCCAAAATTTCCCAGTCGTGACTCTTCACCGCTTCGTTTTCCTAGCTTGGCATTGAAGTCACCCATGACCACGCTGTAGTGGGTTCTGGAGTTATGTAGGGCTCTGGAGATGTCATCATACATAATTTCCACCTCATCGTCTGAGTGTGCCGAGGTCGGGGCGTACACCTGAATGACCTTCAACGAATACCGTTTGGTTATTCTGAGTATCAGGAGCGCCACCCTGGTCGACACACTCTCGATCTTCACTACATTGTGGACAAGGGACTTGTGGACGAGAAACCCGACACCACCCTGGGACTGATGGTCGCCTTCCCGGAAATAGAGCAAGTTACCGGATTTAAGGATTATCGAGCCCTCCCCCTGTCTTCGGACTTCAGATAATCCTAGGATACCCCATCGTAACCTGCTCAATTCTTCCTCTAGTTCGACAATCTTCTCGTCGGTCCGCAGTGTACGCGTGTTTAGTGTTGCCAGGTCGATCCGTCGTTGTTTGTGGTAGCCGGATCTCTGCCGGAGATTCTTAGCACCCCTTGCCCCGCCGTTACCTTGGTCGCTACCACGATGACCAGGAATAGCGGAGCCGCCGGGGACTAGGGGCCGGTTTGTGGTCGTGTTGTACATGTTGGAGGGTTCTTGCCATAATCGCCACGCTTGGCAGGCGGGTTGGCGATCGCAGTCGGATTTAAAATGTACTCGGATGACGCTGCTGCCCGTCATCCGGTTGTTATTCCCTTAGTCGCCTCTTACGACACCCACGGGAGGAAATGGGGTGGTGACATTCTAAGCCGGCACCACACGGCAAGATATTTTGAATTACGTTCAGAAAAAAGGTATAAAAAAGTTTTGTATTTTTATGTCACGTCGTTTTCAATGATAAATATTCAAATTCATTTGTAAATCAATCAATTAGTGAATGTTAATAAGAAGAATAAAATTTAAAAATATTTTTGGTCAATTGTTTTCCCTATATTAGAAGTGATAATGTTCAAGTTAAAGTCGAGTGTTGCAATTATTTTCTTGTGAAACTTTGTGTTTATAAGCATATTGTTATATTGTTGTTGTTGTTGTTGTAGATAAATAAAAATACATAAAAAATAACAAAAAATATATATTTTATTTCCCATACAAATAGCAGTTTTTATTAATTTTATTTACAAAATTTCTTATTATTAGAATTGTCTTTGGAGCGATTCGTAGTAAGCCAGTTCTTCCTCAGTAACAGATGGTCGGAATGCTTCAACACCTTCCCAGAAATCAGACACGCCGATAACAACCGAATCAGCGCTGAGATCGCTTTCTTTGACCAGTCCTGAAAACATTTAAATAAAATAATTATATATATTGTTTTTATTTTATAAATTCAAATGTAAGTCATTTCATCAATTGTGTGTGACGAAAATATAAAATTAAATTAAAAAGTATATTAGTAAATAAATATTAATTGACTGCAATGTTTTCTCACTGTGACAACACAGTTAACTATGTAATTTACAACCATTTGATATTCACACATCTTGTCTACGTATTTATATGAATGAAAAACTCAAAACTATGTGTTTAGTTTACAGATACGGACTTGTGGTAAAATTATCATATGATTTACCCATTTGCTTTACCCATGAGTGAGTAAGCTGATTTAGCCATCAGTCGCTGACCTTGAACTAGGCGTGCGATTTTAAAACCTAACCTAAATTTCAAATCGGCGCGCCGATTAGACCTTGCTGATAGTCTTACAAATAATTTATCAGCACTTAATTCTTTTATTAAGCGTGAATGTTTATTGTAACTTGTAAGTGTTGTTATATATTGTACAAACCATTGTTTAGTTTCTCTACTAGCCCTCTAACGGCTGCGGCACGCGCGGTCGAGGTCACTTGTAGGAGGTCGGCGCCTGTACAGCTCTCCGGAAGTGTTGCCGCCACAGCCTCCAGGTCTACTTCCGGTCGGAGCTTGTAACTGAATATTATTAAGAACCTTATTAATATATGTACCTTATAAAAATAGTTTGTTTTGGTAGTTCAATGGAATGATACAAATTAGTCATTCAGTAATTATAGCATTTTAAAGAATGTATATTTATATTTGCTCGTATCAAACGTAATTAGATTTTAGGACAGGCCTGAACTACTTTTTAATAAAAAAAAGACCCTTTCTCATCATTGGAAATTAATAACAATAAGTTGTTATACTAGAGACGAAACTTCTTAGCATTCAATGGATTCAACATGCGGGTGTGGTCCATCGTTGTAGAGAGGAGCTTCAACAGTGCCTGGGACTTGCGATTTAAGTGTATGTTTAAGGGGTATCTAACGCGCGTTATACGCTCACCTCCACCGTCACCACCTCCGTCCAAGCTCCTCTCTCTACCTCTTAATATTTCATATGTCACGTACCTTCTACACAATGCTGTAAGAACCGATGTTTTCTCAGCGAGTCCAGTGTAAGGTCCAACGTACACTAACTTGTCAAGTCGACCCGGTCTTAGCAATGATTGTTCCAATAAATCCGGCCTGTTCGTTGCACCCATTATGAATACGAAGCTCGATGATGGGGAGTCTATAACAAGTTATTAATATACAGGGTGACTGGTGAATTACTATCGATATTTGAGGACGTGATATTTGACGATCATATATGACAAAATAAAAATTAATATAACATAAATATTAATAAACTTCTAAGTAAAGTTAACCAAAAGTTATGTAATTAATTACGCATCGTATGAACACCCTACAGATTAGGTATACACACACACACACACTCGCGCGCGGCGGCGTGTTGTTGTATCAGCACGCCGCCACACGCGTCCACACTTGGAACACTTGGAACGTGTACACACTTTATTTATTTATACGGAAATTTGGTCAAAAATTAAGTACCTATTTTTTTTACATAATTCGAATGAGAATCATGTACCGAGTATGCTTCTTCAATATTGATAGTAATTCACCAGTCACCCTGTATATAAGTTGCGATCCAAGATCGAAAACGCTCAGTGAGGGAAAAAATAGCTCACAATGCGTTGTGACTTGTGGTCACAGTAAAATATTCATAAAGCGAAATTCGTGTTGGGGCCCTAATAAAAACGCCCATGAGGCGATCACAGAAAGACTAAATAGCGAAATACGTGTCATGCCTTACATGCTATCGGATCACAATGCGTTGTGGCAATGAAGAAAAGCCATTTCGGCTATGAAATACTATTTAATTACGATGCACTACTCTTCTATATGGATTCTACTAAAGTAACAATATTAAGTATCACCTATTGCGAAAACTAATTACTTCAGATATTTTGTATGACATTATTGGGAGTGCCCATGATAAAAAATCAAGTCTGAAACTGTACGTGGAATACCATACTTTTTTTCATGTTAAAGGTGGTGAACGAGCCCACAGCTAACTTGGTGGGCAGTAGCTACCGTCGCTCATGGACATCTACAACATATACGTTGTAGATGCGTTACCAACCTTGGTTATTAGGAATAGGGAAGGTTGGGAAAAAGGAATTGTCAGGAAAAGGTGGGAATAGGGAAATGGCAACTGGCTCTCTCACTCATCGGTCAAATCGCAGCCATTAAAGGCTACTTCACGCCGATCTTCTGTGAGAAGGTGATACTTCCCAAACGAGCCAGTCCATGTTCGATCTGTAGTTAGAATACTATAGCTAGGCTCTACCACATACTTCATCTATACTACCTTCTCCGTCGACTCCGTCCACTTCAGCCAGTAGTTGGCTGACGACCCGGTCGCTGGCGCCCCCGGAATCTCCCGTCGCGCCTCGTCGCGGAGCCAGCGCGTCTAGTTCATCTAGGAACACGATGCAGGGGGAAGAAGCTCGCGCCGCTGAGAACACTGACAACAAACAATGAAAATCATGTATAAGATTATCGGATATAATACGAGGTTTTTTTTAAATTTATGCTATTGATTCATTCATACTGGTATCGTTGGATATTGTGCCAATGTCAACTTTTTTTAATTATTTTATATACATAATTCCGACGTTTTGGTTACTTTGCGGCCCGTGATGATATGGCAGATGAGATGAAAAAGTTGATACACAGTTTTACTCACCAAAACCAATGAGTGCCCTAGTTTGATATTACATATTAATATTATAAGTTAATTCTCGTTTTTTACATTTGGCAACTGACAAACTTTAAGGTGATGATTTTCAGTAGTTTTTATGTAGTGCAAAATTATTTTCTCATTATTAAATGGTATCCTATGAATGCACTTATAATTATTATGGAAGGTAAAAAATAAAGATAACCCTCGCGCAATTACATAAACTAGAGTTTTTAATGTACATATTTTCTTATTTTTCTTACCTTTTCGCACATTTTCCTCTGACTGTCCTATATACATGTTCAGAAGCTCCGGGCCCTTCACACTCATGAAACTCACATTCAGTTCAGTGCTCACAGCCTTAGCTACCAGCGTCTTACCGCAGCCCGGCGGTCCGTATAGTAATATACCTTTAATATATTTAAATTATTTATATAAGTATAAAGTTCATTTAAATTGTTATACACGAACAAGGCGTTCTTTTTTCGTTAACTCATTATACCTTCACTCACACATACACACATATGTATACCGTCGGGGATAATGCAAATCCATCGTTGGGCATAGTAATTATTTAGTGTTTAATTATTACTAATCATGAAAAAATTACTTTAAAAGTCCTTAATATAGAAAATATTTCCGATCTAACTTTCTTCTGATAACCTGCTTCCAATAGAGATACGCGGATTTGCACTATATTTGTGTATGTGTGAGTGAATATTGATCACAAATTTTTCATACCTGATCTTTTAAGTGACGATGATTTAAATAAGTGAGGATATTTGATTGGGAATTCTATTGTTTTTAATAACTCCTTCTTCAATTTTGCCAATCCACCGATATCTTCCCAATATACTTTGGGAATTTTCGGTGCATCCAAATGTTGACTTTGAAGACTTCTCATGGTTTCTGGGAATAGCATAGAAAAAGATATTAAGAAGATATATCTTATAGTATTCTTTGCATTTGCCTTTTACGATAATTTAATTAGGGAAAGACTTAATTTCTTCTAGTATTACAATAAGGGGTTAATTTAAAATATCCTAAAGCCTTTATGCTATTTTTTAATATAGTCATTAGATTCAAAATTTTAATTAAATTGCAGGAAATAAAAAATTCATAAAAATGGGAAATATTTTTGTCTATACGGAAGCTAAGGCCCTAAATAACCAAAACTGGTATTTTTTTTTGCCCGAAGTTAAAACTAATCATTTGTTCCTTCAATAATTATAATATAACTGTACTTTCTATTCGTTGTACATCATCATATAATATGGTCCTTACCCAAAGCTTTATCGAAATCTTCTTCTTGTATGAAACGTAGGTTAGCATCTCTAGTAAAAAGTGTAGGGCATTTCGCTTGCTTCAAATACGACTCACGCAACGCAAAATGCATCAGAACGTCTAAATCCCCTTGAAGAAATGTCTCAGTTTTTGACGCCACTTTAAACAGAACATCTTTCATATGGTCACTTAACACATGTTTTTCGCTCCCATCGATAATTCTTTGGTGTTTTTCGTAATAACCTTTTTCGTCATCATCAATCTTTATATTCATCACTGATATAAACCACTGCAACATGTCCCGTCGCTGTTCAACGTTTAACTTCTTAAAGTTTACCTTCTCTAGGAACATTCTCATCATGTTAGGTTTCAGATCCATCTTTTCCGCTAACGCTATGAATATGATCGGATGTTTTGTATAATTTTCGTATAGATTTGTCACAGTATTATTGAAGTATTCCGTTATTCTGAAGTCCTCGTTATTTTCAGAGTCCACTGCTAATACCTATAAATTATGTTAAGTAACTTCTAGGCACAACCTTTACAATGGAACCTATATAATAATTTCAAATAATACTTACGTCAAAATTGTCTAATAGAACAATAATAGGTGCAGCAGATTTTGCCTTCTGTATCATAGAACTTATTTTGCTCTCTGTTTGTTTTGCGGTCGTATTTTGTATTGAGTTGCAATCAAATTGTACGAAATTTAAACCTGAGGAAGAAATATTACGTTGATAAGCTTTAGCGTTATGTCTTAAAATGTTAAGAGTCTTGTTTGTAAAGATATGCTGATAGCAAAAGATGTAATAGTGTATAATGTTCATTCATGGATGGTTCGACTTATGGCATGACAAGAAATATAGTAATATTGTTTAGTCTATAAAAAGCAGTACCAGAATGTCCTAAGTTCGTGACCTGACAGTCTATAAAATTTGACTTTTACTGAAACTTAAGATTTTAAGTATTTTATTAGCTGATTAAATGTCCATTGGACATTTCAATATCATTGCATGGTACTCATCAAAGTAATGTAATGTTTTAGAAATGGTTTAAGCAACTTTGAATGGGAAACATTTACAAGTAAGGGCTTAAGATGCAGTTATGTTTTATAGAATCGATTCATTTACCGCTACAATTATTAATGTACATGTATTTTTATAAGGATATAACTGTTTCATTCCTGAAATTTCTGACCACATAGAAAAGCTATTTGTGGGTTCAATAAGCACAATTCTTTATAGTCTATATGATATGAAATTTTCATAGGAATATAGGTAATTTCACTTACCATTATATTTAGTGACAACCCGAACCAAGAGATGTCTTCCTGATCCAATAGGACCAGTTAAAAGTATCATTGGAATGATAGGTGATGGTAATGAGGAAGACATTTCATCTGAAAACAACTAAGAATTAATGAGTTTTTTTACATGACCTATGAAATATAATTAATGAACGTACCTATTTGACCAGTTAAAAAAGGCTTAATAGTTTCTTGTATTTGGTTAAATCTATCTTTTAAACCTGTTGGACATATATGTGAAATATGTCGTTGATTTAAGGTTTTAGGCTCAAAGTATTTATTTTTCGGCTTCATTGTATGTGTGCCATCTCCTAAAGTTAATTGAGTTACACCCTTTACTATATAATAGACTGGAAGGGTTTTGCCATTATCAGAAGTGGAAGATTCATCAGTCTCTAATTTTTTACATTTGAAATATAATTTTCCACAAGAATCTACCAAATCTATATATCTAAAGTTATATTTGGACATGTTTGTTGGTGTTAAATTAATGCTTATCATATCATTCAGAGAAACAGCTTTTGGTGTTTCAAAGTAATTGCTTAATACTTCCTTTAAGAAATCATTTTCTAATTCATATTCATTTATACTGAGACTAACTTCTGCCGAGGCGGCAATTTTAGGTGAGTTCTCAAATGCATTGATTGGATGAAATGTAACATTGACATCATCAGTATTGACACCAAAAGTACCTACTATGTTGAAGAATTCATCTTCGTTTGTGTAAGCCACATTTTCTTCTACTAAATTTGAGCCCACCAGCGGTACAATTCTTTCACTCTTCACTTCCGATATGTTATCTGTATATAATCTTCTGTGAATTTCAGAAGTCACAAAATTGAGATTATATCTAAGACGATTTGAGTGACTGTTGTCTTCATTTTCTTGTTGCTTCTTTTTGCTTTCAGGTGATAATTTCATAGTAACCCATAACACACCATTGTCGTGATAAAAAAAGTTTTCTACACATAATTGTATATACTGCTCTTTCGATATTATAATACACTTGTGAGAAAGAACTTGTAAATATTTTTCTGTAACAATATCTTTTATAAGTGATGAAATCCTACCATTTGGTAGAGTTTTTAAAGAGTATGTGTCCATTTTGCTGTTGAGTATTTTTCCTCTTAGATAGTAATACCTATATTTAATAGCGAGAAATACAAGAAATGTAAAAACATTGAACTTTGGATACAACACTTTTAAACAAAACTTTAGCACCCATAATTTTACAAGATCGTCTTTCTTCATAATTTAGAGGCGTCCTACTTGTACCAATTATATAAATAAAATGTGGTGAAGATTAAAACTTATTTTGTTATTGTTAATAAATATATCATTTGATAAAATTATCATTATTAAATTTTGACAATCTCAATTTCATACATCAATGTCAAATGAATATAAACTTTTGCGTTTAACTGAACGTAATTTATGGCAAAGACAACTATTTTTGAAACTACTTGTAAAATTGTATTATAATCAAATATATAATAATTTATATAATTATACTCTAATAATAAAAATCTTTATCTTATGTTAAAAAAGGGAAGTACATTATCAAGAATATTAACCTTTTTAAGGATGATGTTAACTTATTCGATAGACGCTAATTTTAAATTTTAATGATTGTTTTTCACTTTGTAGGACGATATTTTATTTGAGTGCATAGAAACATATTAGTTTGGTTGTTTAAACTTTTGCATAAAACTTTTTTGGCTTTGTCCCTTTTAACTACTTTTACCGCTCTGTTCCTACACGACTTCATAAAATGATAATTATAAGTTCTAATATAATATTCTAATGTATTAATTTGGTATATTCTAAGAAAGGAAATTGAGTATCTGGTAAAAAACAAAATAAACAAAAAATCTTAGGTGTAGTACAGTACGAAACACAACTTTAAATTGAAATGCGATTTCATAGTCATTGAAAAAAAATACCCTTCCGGCTTCCTTATAACGATAGGTCGGTTTTTGTACTTCACTACCTTCTTTTGTATATTCACTTTTGGTAGTGTACAGTAAGGCGTAATAATCTATTCTATTCCACCTTCTACTTAAAATAAATCATTATGACAGGTTGTTAATGAGAAATTAGATTTAATGACATATGCCACAACAATTTCTTGGCAATCTGCTAATCGGACATAATATTTTCTTTTTCAAATAAAATTTGTAAAGAATGTTATTAACTTGGTCATCTTTTAATAATATAAGGATGCTCTTAATGGCTTGTATGCCTGTGATAATATTTTATTTGGTATGGTTAGTTAATACATCGGAAGCAGTTAGGAGTGATGAAGGAACACTATTAGATTTAATTTGTTGGCCCGATGGAAATGCAATTCCTGTGATAATTGCTTGTGGATCGATAATAGCCGTTGTAATTGAGGTTCAAAATAAATTCTTGTATGTTTTATAATACAAATATGAGGGTGAATTGCATATAACAAACATTTCGTGTTTTAGTTTTATGGCCTGTATCAATTATTTAAAGCTGGTCTACATAAAAGAGAGTATAATGTCACAAATGGTTTATTTTATTACGTGTGGGCATTGATAACAATAATAATTATATTTCTAGCAATAATGTTTTATTCTGGACTACAATCTACAATTATAAGAGGTAAATCGAATAGAACAAATATTAGTGAAGACTTCATTAATTGATTTTGTTAGATGCTATTGGTTTCTCACTATAGATCTTAGACCACTCATAATCAGTATAGAAAAAAGATTTTTTTTTCATTATTTATCATTGCGTTTTTTTGTATCACCAAGTAGACACTCCCAATCTGTAAATAGGTAGCTATGTTTACACAAAATGAATTTTTTTTTTTAATAGCTAATTATTTCAGCAAAAATAAAAGGAGGTATAACGAAAGCAATGCTTCGCTATGCAACTCATTTACCGTCTAAAGTTGCAATTGATAGATTACAAACACGTTTCCATTGCTGTGGTAGAGTTAATTACCAAGAATGGTTTTTTATACCGTGGTATAACGCCGGACAAAATATGGACCCAATTATACCGTTAGTTACAGATTATATGTCATATTGTCATCCTTGTACTATATTGTCATACTTATGTACCTAAATAGTAAACAGTTATATATTCTTGGACTACTAACTGACTAAAACTACTCTTGTTTTATTGTAGTATCTAGTACTATAGCTAGTTCATTTGTTTGCTCCCTTACCTGGGATTGTACCATCGTACCTACATTTTCAATATAAAAGTTATAGCAAAACACAATAAAATGAAAATGGCGGCCGCATTTAGGTAAAAAGTTGTTGCCGTAGAGGTACTTTTACACAAGTATGTGATTGAGGATTGAGAATTAAAATGATTGGTACAGTGAAGTTAGGATAAGAGGCAGTATAAATATTTATTATGGGTTTCTATGCTCACTTGTCTTGTACGACGTACCTAGCTGGAATAGCCATTTAACAGATATATTCAGTCTTACGTACTGAATGCCGCTTCGTGTAACTGAAGTTTTTATATAGTAGGTACTATTATTTGTTATACAATAAATATAATGTTTCGAACAGGGAGTTACGAAATTTAGAAAATAATATCTGTTTTTCCTTATTGTTATTATTTATTTCATCCAGTGTGTAATGTAAAACATTTGAAACTTATTTCTAAGTTATGGTTTGATGTGACGATTTTTTTAATTCTATGCACATATATTTTTTTAATCAGAAGCGTATTCAAGAAAAGATTATGCGATAGCTAAATATAGATAGATAAAATTTGCGTTTCTAAAAATGCTATTGTCCTCGTACACTGAAGAAGTTTGGGATGATAAAAATACATAGGTTTATTATGACGCAGGGTGAAAGTGTTTCTTCAATGTTCAGTCTTTCTTGCCAAACTTTTGTTACCGTTTTAGATAAAATCTAAAGAGATAATTCATCTCATTGTCTTCAGATTATGTACAAGTTTGAGTTCATCGTTAACCTATAGGCAAGTAAACAACACATTTGATAATAATTTAGTACCTATAATAGTTTTACCTGATAAAAATGGCATTGGCGGACCGGTGTTATCCAGTAATAATTAACACTATGCTTTTCCTGATTGAAGTAGGAAACGTCAAATAAGTTTTATGCATGAAGTTGAGGAAAACTGACTTGTTATTAATTAAGATTCGTGACAAAAGATATTCTTTTTGTTATCAGTCGGATGCTGGACCAATCTTTCAGTGACACTGACAAATTTAAATGAAACTACTGTTTTTTTTCTAATTTATATCTACAATTTCCGAAAAAAATATTTCGCATTTATACTTGTACCCGCGAAAATCGTATGCAGGGCTAACAGTGGTAGTTACTGTTAGCCCATTACACAAAAAGTACAGAATTATTCATAAGGATTATCTGTTTATATTTACTTAGGTACTTAGGTTTTTTGTATAAATAAGTAATCAGAAGATAGGATACACAATAATTGCTATGAAGTGTAGAATTTTTACTTATTGAATTTGTATTTGTAAATAACTTTATTTTATCTGATAACCTCATCCCCGTTGATATATTATGTATCTATGAATAATTTAAATATTCCCATTGTCAGTTCGGTTCAGAAGTTTGTATCAGATAATGTACCGTATAGCTGTTGTTCAATGGATGTCATGTGGCCTTGTATACACCACGGTGTCACGAAGATAGGGAAAATTTACAAGTATGATCCAGAAGTGAGTATTTGGTATTTGTTATAACTGATTATTCGTATAATATTGTCACTTACTAAATGCTTATAAGACAGTAGAGGATTAACATTTCTTAACATGAGTCTTTACGTTGCCTTAATGGAAATTGTATGTTGTAAAGAAGACTAACACTAAGTAAGAAATTGTGTTGTAGAAAATAGACGTAGGCGAATTTTTTATTTGCTGTGAGCATAAAAGAGGATGGAGTATTCTGTATATAGCTCAATCTGGATGAAAGAAAATCATGTCTTTAATGTCGCTTGCTTAATCTTTCCATCAGTGTATCTGCTTATGACGTTGTATTCAACTTTTTTCATTCACAACTTACATTCAAAAAGAATGTATCTGATTATTTGAAAATACGTTAAACTTGTGGGTATTTTGTATGCAAGACGAGTGACAATTCGTTTTATGGACATTAGTTATATTAATGTTTAGTAATTAATTATTGTAACTATTATTAATATCCTTCAATATTGCAAGTAGTTAAACTTACAGTACATAGTTTCTGATTTTTTAAGCGTGACTGTTGTTACATAATTTCCTATCTTTTTATATCCATTATTTTAACTCCAATTTTTATAAATCATTTTAAGGGTTTTTTATACCTTATTTAATTTCAGAAACAACTAACAATTTGGAGAGATGGCTGCGAGGAGAAGTTGATTGAGGAAATGATGACAATATCTTGGAGATTCAACGCTGTCATGTTCCTAATAATAATAGCCATGGTAAATAAAATAATGTTGTCTATAAAATTTTTAGCTTTATTAATATTAATTAATAATATAATAATAGATTTCCCAGATAGTAGCGGTGCGATATCTTCACACGGCGTATAAAAACGGCCTCCACGTTGGTAATCAAACGCCATGCAGCGCATATTTGTTGCGATCTGACACAGATACAAAAATCGAGGACGTTCCTAAACGGAAGCAATTAAAAAAAAGAAAGTTTCGTCAAGCGCGAACCTTACAGTGGGTCACGGCTGCGTCACACAAAAAGAGGTTGATAACCTCATCGGTATCAGATTTCAGCTCGGATGAATTATTAAAACCAATATATGAATAAATTTATCATTTTATTTACATACGTGGTATAATATGTTTATTTATTTTACTTTCATTCGTTTGATATTATATTTGCTATGATAGAAAACAACGCAAATAATAATAAAAAACTTCCAAGCACCTATTTTGTTATACTTAAGATAAACAGATAATAATAATCGATAATAATAAATATAAAAAAAGGTACGATCGAACTTAAATGTTAAAAATGCCATACAGCCAGAAAGAAATCGATTTTTTTATATATATTATTTTTCGTTAAGGAATTTATGTATTTTATCAGGTTCGGCCAATTCCTTGAGGCGATGAAGATTGTCCCACCATAGTTTCAACCGGTGTCGACGGACCATGTTCAACCATGGCGTGATCGGACCTTCTAGTGTTGGCAGGAAGCTATAAAATAAAGAAACATTTTCAATAAGACTACTTAATTAATATACTAATGACTTTAAAATCGATTAAAAAAAATAATACTAATGATTGGCAGTATGGACTAAGATCTTAGCCCGTTCTAAAAGGATGATTTTTCATAAGTAAATCTAATCAATGTCATTTTGACATTTTATGGTTCAATTAATAAAAGAAATAATGACAACATTGATTATTAGTCATAAAGACTATATTTTTATTAAATGGTCCTTGAAATGATAGAAATCACTTCCAGTATACAATTGATCGACAATTAAAATTTTCATTAAAAACTTCTATTGATATCAACAAATAGAGTTAAATCAACTATATAGGAATGACTAAAAATAAATGAACCTAATATTTAGTACATAAATACGTACAAGATTTTTTAAGCCGCATTTTAGCAAAACACACACACACATAATATATAGTAGTATAACTTACGCATTGAATTCGTTCTTGGGCACGTAACAGTACTCAGATATCTCGTTAGGATTTGGTTTAACTTTAACATCAGCTTGCAGGAACAGTATGTAATCAATTTCGTGTTCACCCCAGACGCCATCACCAGGGTCGTGGTAATGAACACGCGTCAGTAACGTGAACAGTTCGGGATCCAACTGGATATTTAATAAAAATACTTAAACTACAGGCAAACTCAAATAACTTTATTCAATATAGAAGCATTACACTTTCCTATTGATGGTCACTTGAGACACTACCACTCTAACATCTTTCAGTAGAAGAAAAAGTATAGTAATAGTAGAAGCAATATAGTATGAGTAGAAACAAAAGTATAGTGCTAGTCTGAATTAGGTTTTGAAGTATGTGAACTGAGAAACAGAATTAAATCTATATTTGGAAAATTAATGTGCATATACACATGTATTTGGTGATAAGATGCTAAGTTTTAGCTTGATTTGGTTATTTGTAACATAAAACTTTGCTGTCCAATGAATCTCATGATTCTATCGAAAATTGTTTTGACTTTGAGCCTTTGTGTAAATATGTTCATATTACATGTTGCAAAAAAATTATCATGAGCATACAATAGCAAACACAAAGAATGGAATACTTCTTAATTTTAAAAATTCTCATTTATATGAAAAAAAAAATCTGGACATTAGAACTGCTTTTCTAGAGGCTTCTAACTAGCTTGAATAAACCTCATTAAATACTTTCAAAAGTGTTATAAATAAAATTCTGTTTCTATTATTTTAATAACTATAACACTTCCTTATATAACCATATATAGATTAAATTTTATATACAATGATATATTACAGAGAAATATTTGTTGTACTTAAAATATAAGCAATTAAATATTGTAATATTAAGATTCCAAATTCACCTGTTCCATTGGTATGCCGAGTTCAAAATTCACTCTACGCCTGGCTGCCGTTATAATGTCCTCAGGTTTGCCATCAATTAAGAGGGGATGACTGCAGCAGGCATTTGTATAGTAATCTGGATATGTTACCTATAAAAACATTATTGTCATATATTTGTATCGGCAACATTGAAAAAGGAGATGTATTAATATGTGCATACTTTTTGACTTGATCTCCTTTGTAAGAACATGTCTCCTCTTTTGTTGAATAGAAACAGGCTAAAAGCTCTATGTAATAATATACTGCCATCTGGCCCGACCTTGTGGCAGTCCTTTTTTGGAGCTGTTCCTATAATATTATCTTTTTCATCAACTAAAAGACATATATCCTTATCTAGAGCTTCGGCCTGAAAATAATTTATCATTAATATATATAATTGTTTATTAATTGTGATAATAATTAAAAATAGATCAGACCTGTACAGGTTCAACGCCATCTAACAGATCGGGTTCAGGTTTAGCTGGTTCTGACACCAAGAACCTTTTCTCGAACCTTGAAGTGTTCCATAGGGAACGTGTAAAACGTCTTAACAGCATCTTCAACAAAGAACAGACGTAGAATGATGGATTTTAAACATTACCACCAGTTATAGCTACTGCAGTGAATATTTATGAGATTAGTGGATAATAAATACGTCTTATTTATTAAAATGACATTTATATAATTTTTAAATTATACCAATGATATTATGGGAAATAAGTAGAGAATTTACTATTTTTTTATATAATTATCGTTAATTTTCAACTTAATGGTGATATAAAGTAATTATTGACTATAAAGTTACTTCGAAAGTACATATTTAGGGAAAAACTTACATTAAAACATTTATTTTGTATCTTTCTTTGAATTAGTTAAGGAAACAAAGTTAGCACAAATCTAGCACTATAATTGATATTTCATTAGCATAATTTAATTATAAAACACAGTAAATATGCAGTGGTCCTTGTAGAAATGGTAATCAATCTTTTTCTTATTTATCTACAGTTGTACTTATGATCTACCTAGATGGTGTTGTGTTTTATATATAACTTATGACTCACCTTTGAGATTTAGATATATTTATAAACAATTTAACATTGAAATTAATAATTGGAGCTTTACGTTTTAAAATAAATATGCCAAAATGAAAACTGGTTTGTTTTGCTGACGACAGAATTGACTAGTGTCTAACTGTCTACTCGTTACTGCGACGGTAATAGATTAAAAATGGACGGTACGCACATTCCTCTTCGTCTAAAGATTTACCGTCAAAACGTCAAAAATTTAAAAATATACTGATTTTTATTTGAGAGTTGTACAAAGACGTAGTATTATATTTACTATGGCAATCTCTTTTTTTAAATAAAGCAGTTAGTGGGGTGTCACGTTGATAATAAAAATATCGATACTTACGACACCAACATATCGATAATAATCGATGTATCCTGTAATATATTATCATTAGTCTTTCAATGAATGTATATTTCTGACTTTCTTATAATTATCGAATGTTTAAAAACATTAATAAAATATAATGAAATTTAAGACTTTCACGAGTATTCATTTAAATAAAACTAATATTTTCGGATTACTACTCGTTATTTTACTTATTTAAAACTACATTTCTTCTTCTTCTTCTACCTGGCAATTTCCCAGCTATAGCCAGGGTCTGCCTTACATGTTATGAATAGTTTTTGGCTATTTGTTTTTACGACCGGCCGCCTGCCTGACATCAACCCTCTTTTGGGAATCAACATTAATCAGTGATGTCTAAATACTCTTAGAAAGTACATATGATTCGAAAAAATCACATTGGTACTTGCCCGGGCCAGGATCGAACCCGCGCCCTCGGCGACGAGAGGCCGAGAGGCGGACCCTTTAACCACTGAGCAACCACTGACTTATTTAAAACTACATTTATAAAAGATTATTAAAAAAAATTGTCTAAATCGATAGACTTTCTTACACCTCATATATAACTCAGCTGTGTCAAATCTAAGCCCTTTTTGTTAAAAGCATAACCATATTCCAGAATATTAAAATATATTGTATTCCATGTCAATTGAAAGTAGCAGAATAAATTTTCATTAACTAAATTTTACCGAATAAAACGTTAATGGTCAAAGAAAAGTATTTAGGCGCATTGTTTGTTTGTAGTCATACTCTTAAAGAAACCTTTTTAACTTCCACGGTAAAAGAGGGGATTTATAAGTTTGAGGTCAATGTCAGTCTGTGCGTGTGTGCATGCATGCGTTCATACATGCCACTTGCTTGTAATATCGAAACAAAAACTATCTATGATAATTTTGAAGAATTAATTCATTGTGAGATGTTTAATGATTAATCATTAAGGGAATTGTATTGAAAACTTAATGTGAACTAAAATTCTACTTATCTAAAACAACCGAATTAAGATAGAACCGAGAATTTCAAATAAAATTAAACAGCTGCTGCCAAAATTATTAGATTTATAATATTAATAGGTTTGGCTGTTTGTAATAATAAAATGATAGCTTTTTAATAAATACATTTAAGGTACATGTACTATTTTTTAAAATTATATATCTATGTATTCCTTTGTTTTTTTCTCCCATCTCTGAAAAACCGAACCGATTTGGATAAGACGCTCATTGGTTATTTGCCGATGCAATAAGGAGTGACGTAGTTTACATTTATTTAATTTATTACGTTAATACTTAAGTATTGTCCTAACGTCAATTAGAGGTGAACATGATAGTTATATTTGATGATAAATCCTTATATAGTCATGATTAAAGTATATTATTACAAAGTTTTCATAAAGCAATATCCATCAGTCTGAGTATGGAACATAAACTAATAATCGTTAATAATATTAAACTATTTAAAACCAGTAGTACATTAAAACGCAACATTAAGACGATTTCTTGAATGGTCTATTTCTGACTTAATTATCCCATGAGGATGTTGTCGACCGAAATAGTTTACTTCGACGGAACTTGCTCTGAGGCTGAGATTTTTAAGTTATTATATTTACTTTCATTGGCTGTGGTATAACAATGTCGAACGTAAAATTAGCTATAAGAATTCGACCTTTCACGGACAAGTTGGTATATATTATGATTTTATCTCATTAAAGTATAGAGTACCTATATTGATTGGTTTGTTTTTAGGGAGTTGAAATCTGATAAAGACCGTGTACAAGTCGTCAGTGTGATAGATGAGACTTCTGTTGCAATAACGAATATAAAGGTAAGTTGTAAATTAATCATATTTTTTTTTATGTTTACATTATAATCGCTTTGCTGTCTTTAAAGTATTTTTTGTGTTATCAACTGACTTTAAATAAACTAAATTAAAAAGAAGAGTCATCTGCATAACTCGATAAATAGTTTATGAAACAATAATAAATATTATAAAAAACATTATGAAAATAAACGAATAAATAAAAAGTAACAGAAAATACCAACGTGAGAACTAAAGCATGTATGTATGTACTATATTTATCATTAAACTATTAATTTTATTTAATATGTGAAATATATTTAAAATTTATTTAAAATATATTTAAATATTATATTAATATGATTTATATCTATTGATCCTATACATAATATATATACGAAGTTAAAATACACATAAAAATAAGCAATATAATTTATTTAGAAATAACGTCAGTCAGAAATTATAGCAAATGTTTTTTGTTAATATATTGCTAGGTGAGTCTATCAGGCGCTGGTGACAGTCGGGAGCGTGTGCGTCGCTACTTAGCAGATTATAGTTTTGATAGCGCCTGTGCAAAATCACATCCTAATTATGCGACACAGGAAAAGGTACGTAAAATATTTATTATCTTAATTAACATTTTAAGGGACTCCTTTTTTTGTTTTCGTATTATGCACACACGAAAAGGTCGTGGTGGCCTAGAGGTTAAAGGCCCGCCTCTCGTACATGACGGCGCGGGTTCGAAACCTGGCGAGTGCCATTGTTATTTTTCCGAGTAATATGTATTTAATATTTTTTAAGAGTATTTAGACACCACTGACAGACGGTGAAGGAAACCTGGACTTATAATTTCAAATTATAACTTTGAAATCACCAACCCGTCTTGAGCAAACATCGTGATTAATGCTCAAATCTTCTCAATGTTAGAAGAGGCTTTTGTTCAGCAGTGGGCTCTGATAGGCTGATAATGATAATTGTGCACTTTATTTTTGTTCGAAATAGTATTGGTTGTTTAATATCCAATATCTGTTACCGTCAATTCTATTGATATTTTGAGTCCAATCAGCGTATAGCAATGATAGTTATAAATAATATCTTTTAGGTATTTGATAGGGTTGGAAATGAAGTCTTGTCAACGATAGCCAAAGGTCGTTCAGCCTGTGTATTAACTTATGGCCAGAGCGCGACTGGGAAGACCCACACTATGATGGGGTCGGCAGAAGAACCGGGACTAATACCACTTATTTGCAGAGCTTTATCCAGACAACAACCCCTGGATATGACTGTCAGGTATTTAAAACTATTTGGTGTATAATGTGATTTATAATTTTCGAGAGTATTTATATGAAGGAAACTAATATTTTCGATTTACTACGGATTCGGTAGTTCGGCAGACGGGACGTGAATGTGTTTCTCATCTCGGTAATCGTGATCACGGTGATTTAAAATACTAAAAAACCAGTAGAACATCCGAAAATATTAGTTTAATTTATTTGGTTTTCTTTGTTTTACTAGGTGCATGTGAAAATTATACGTAATATTTATTTTAAATACATGATCTCCGCCCATTTTAACTGCTATTTAAAAAAAACTAGACTATTTTATTGATTTAATACACCCATAATAAATTATATTATAAAACAAGTATGTTTTTAATAGATTTTAAGTTATTTTTAACAGATAATATCAAAGTGGTAGATTCTCCTTGCAATTCAAATGAAGGCTCTCAATTTTCTATATATGTGGCAATTTTGTGTGATAGCAAATTGTTTCACATTATGCATTCAGTGTAAAGAATCCCCGTCAATAGTTCCGTATCACGCGACTAGAATGGTTTCTGATAAATTTTTATTAGACTCTTTGATTTCTTCTGAACCTAAGCTTTTCCATTTATTCGGTGTTTAGTTTGGAAGGTGAAGTTATATTGTTTGATTGTTATCTGTTCGGAAATTAACTTGAGTTTCTTTGTTTCGTATGAAATTAACTTTTTTACGTCAACAATGAAAACTAAGACTTTTATATCGTATTATTAAATTTAAATAATATATTTTTGACTTATTTAATTATAATATTTAAAACTTATTAAAGTTCATTTTGTAAAAGAGTTCCGACACAGATTATTTATTATATTTTATCTGTAATAACCACTTACTTACAAGTTTGTCACAATTTTGAAGTAAAATTCAATTTGTAAAGTATTGTTTATGATATATGGTAGTGAGGTAATATTCCAAATAATCATTTCCCATATAAAAAATGAAATAATAACTAAAGCATGAAATCATTAAAAAACACTTAAAGTTGACGTTAACTTAAAAATTTCTATGTATCTGTAAATATTTGTTAATGTAATTACTAATTAATTTGATATGTTTATTTAATAACTATATGAATAAATTTTTTTGAGATATTAGTCGTATTTTGTTTTTGAAAATAACAGTGTTTGGGATTTAAATTATAAAAAAACTATCTTTTATAGTGAACTAGTATCGTAAGACGCGTTAGATTAAGTTGGAAAAGCAATAAATAGAGATAATGTAAGGTTGAAATAACACGCAATGCTAACACCACACTCTGTTCTATCAATACTAACTACACACGTCAGTTATGTCTGCTAACATACGATGTAGGATTTTTTAATAAAACTTATATTTTCGGATTTACTAAGAGTTTTTTATTATTTTAATTCCATATTCCCGATGTTTCGCTTAATTTGCAGCTTTCATCATGAGCAGACCATATGAGAATCACAGTTGCAGGAACTTAATCGAAACGTAGGGAGTATGTAATTAAAATAATTATATACACGTAGTAAATACGAAAATATTACATAGTTTTATTTAAATGAATATATGCGAAACCGTTAAATCTCATGTAAGAATTTTTATTAGTTCATAACATCGTACAAGTTTAAATTAAGTTTGTATAAGTGAGAAATATCTTATTATTCCATCCCTTGTTCTTGTAAATATTACTACCTTTCCGCCCGCAGCTTCGCCCACATGGAATTCGGTTATATCGCGTTTCCAAGAGAACCTTTTATAAGTCTGGGATAAAGACTTTCCTATGTTCTTTCCCAAAGTCAACTCTTGAGTTGTATAGAACTATGTCTGTTGTACCAAATTTCATTAAAATCAATTCAGTGGTTTAGGCGTGAAAGCGTGACAGACAGACAGACAGAGTTACTTTCGCATTTATAATTTTATAAGGATTGCGTCACTTACAAACATATTACCGTAAGCTAACATTGGTTTTCTATCTAAAAAAGACAATTAACATTTATAAGGCAACTAAAATTTATTGGGAATTCTGTTTTTTAACAGAAGAATTATATAAATTCAAAATGGTATGTACATCAATCAATTCGTTGAGTTTTATTCGTTATATTATTTTTAATACATCAGACGAAACCTTCTTATCTTTCCATGGATTCACCTCGTGGGTGCCGGGTCCATCGCGTTACAGGGAGAAGAGCTTCAACAGTGCCTGGGACTTGAGACCCAGGTGTAGGTTTAAGGACTATCTAACGCGCGTTAAACGCTTACCTCCACCGTCCAAGCTCCTCTCTCTACCTAGTTAAAATATTTTTTGGTTTTCCTTCGGTCTTTTTGCTGTAGCTAATTTAAGTTATAGTATTAAAAAAAATAACATATATTATTGAATTGAGTTTTTTTTTTTTTTGAAGTGCTTCAATTAAAATAACAGGGAGCTTGACATTTTAATAGGAGTAAACATTTGAAGGGCTGCATTTTATTAAGAACAGGTTTTTTAATTTATCATCGACTAGTTGTTGCCCGTGACATCGTCTATGTGAAACAAGATTATTACTCACTGTTTGACTAATATAATAAAATATGGTTTTGCAGTCATATGGAACATTTACTTTGGAATATAGTTAATAATCAAAAGACTTTTTTTTACTATTATATATACATGCAAATGAAAAGACTATATACAGAAGTCGTCTGTATCTAATCTTAAACTAAAATTAGTTCCTATACACAAAAGTAAGAAAAATAATTTATAACTTAATAACAAGTCGGTGTATTCAGAGAAATTCAATTTGAATTTCGCATAACTTTTTTCTTATATATTAAGTAAATTTTTAATAAAAAATAGATGAAAATTAATAAAGTATATAGATATAAACTATGATAATAAATTGAGGAAGATATATTTATTCTTAGTCTTGAGGGTCTATGTCTGAATCATGGCCGTCGGTTATGTTGTTCACTTTATTAAGACTTTCTGTTTGTAGTAGATTTTGTAATTTGATCATGTTATTTTCCCGCCAAAATTACGTAATTACTCTAAAATATATTAAACATATAGTAGGTTTTGTTTGTAATCATTGGATAATTACTAAGTTCTGCTTTAAAAAGATTACTATTATTTTTATTCAATTCATTTTACAACCACAGAAATTGTCAATATTTTTTAATTTCGATGGATTTTAAAACGTCAAAGGTAATCATGAAAAGTGTATTCTGCCTTTTGATTGAATACACATTAAAAAGAATTCTCGACCTTGTCAACAAATTGATTGCTATAAATTAAATGTTTTTGATTATTTCACATACATTTTAAGTTAAGAAATTCGAATAATGAAAGCCTTGAATATAAATTAATAGAGTCAATTAAATAATTAATAGCTTATATTAAGGTAATATAACGAAATGATTATAAAATGTTGCCTTTATATATCCGAGATATGATTTTTTTATGAAAGTATTTCAGAGTATTGTATTTTTTTTATCTATATTAAATCTTACCTTTTCAATAAGTATATTTTGTTTCAATACTAGCAATATTTAAATAGTAAGTTTTCTCAAATCTTTCTATACAAAATAAAGTAGTATTAGTTACACTATTTATAACTCATGTACGGTTTAACGGGTTATGCTGAAAACTGGTGGAGAGAGAACCAGGAAAATTCTCTTATTTACTTCCTTTAAAGAGGAACAATATTCGCCCGCTCGGCTAAACATTTTTAATTCTGAAAGTCGCAGACGAAATCGCGGGCAATAATAAGTTTAATATATTTTGGACTTTAATATATAATGATTTATTTGCTATCCATACAATTTGAAAAAACATTGTCTTAAATAAATCAGATTATATTCATTAAATAAAAAAGAAAAGCACAACAATGTTTCTATTTACACAATCTGCATAATTTACGTAACAAATTTGAAAATTAAATCAGTTTTAAAAACCAAATGCTTAACATAAGCATATCGTAAAAAGAAAATAGCCTTTGTATAGATTAAGGCTGGAAATTATTGGGTAATCTGAAAAAAAACAGTGTCATGGTATATTCGCTGTCTGTAAGGCTTCGTGTTTTCGCTCGTGCGGAAACCTCCCGCCCTACGTCAGTTATTGAAGACTTATCCAGCCCGCCGTACGTTCTATCACAGAAAATAACTTCCATTATCTTGAAAAATAGTAATAAAATTGATACAATAATAGGTATATATGAAGATTTTTAAATATACGTGAATATACCCTTCAGCTTTATAGTATGAAATATAAATATTGTTTTAAAATACGTTTAAAGAAATTATAAAAATATTCATTCGTTGTGTTCATTTTTGAATGAGAATGCTTTTTATTGCATAATGTAAGGATTTTTTTATCTATCGCGAGTGATGTTTGCAAGTGATTATTAATATATATTTAATTTTACATATATTTTCAATATAAATGCCAAATTTTTTTATATTACGTCTTTAATATGAAACTAGATTTTTGTTTCTTATTAATTATTGTATAATATTTTAAACTTTCACTTTGGTTAGTTCAAATTATAATCCTGGTCGTGTATATGTTCATTTCGTCGCTATATGTCTCAGAGTATTCATTGTTAGATTTTTTTTCTTAGTAAAATAATTATTTCAGCTATCTTGAGATATACAACGAGAAAGTTCACGATTTATTGGCGACAGAGATCCTACCACTCAACTCTCTTCCGAGACGAAAAGGTAATGCGAGGAAGGATTTGCGCGTGAGAGAACATCCGACTAAAGGGACGTACGTTCAAAGTAAGTTTTAATAATCATTTATTATGTCATACAAATTTTTCATCCATAAACATGCAAAATCGACGAAAACTAAAATGTATTTCCTATCACTAATATTATTTTAGTTATCCAGAGCATAAATAAAAAAATATATGTGTTATAGTGTCAATATATTTTGAAATCTTTACAATCATTACCGAATTAGTCTTTATTTAAACAATACATCGGGTTTTATATGAAGTTGACACTATATTAAATTTTATGACTCTAAAACTTCGCCGTTGGTGATTTTTTCGACCCTACTTTTTATTTTGTTCGCGATAACAAAATAAAGAAAAAGTAATTTATATTAATAGCTATTAACATGGAATTCTAATTATCACGAACTTTATGAATGTTAAAATGTCACAGATTACTTAAATCTCGTTATTAACTTATAACATTAGTTACAGTTTGACAAACGCTACAGTGGAAAAGTAATTAAACTGTGGATCATTAACCGGTTGTTTAACACGCAAACGTAAATGAACGATGTAAACAATTATATTAGTTTCTGATTAATAAAGTGAGAATTGTAAAGATTAAATTAGGATTTCACCTACAAGTGCCTGGAAAAACAGTTAGCGACGAGGCCGCCATTCATATTTCCTGATCATCCTTTTCCTTCCTTCATTAGATGTTTTGTGTTTGTTTTTATTAATACTTACTATATGATGATTGTTTTATATATTATTATCATTGTATAAGAAATAACCTTCGTCATATTATATCTAGCCAACGGTGTCAATGAACAAATTCAAACGAAAGAATAGTTTCTATTGTCACTGAACACGTGAAGATTTTTACTAAAGAAATGTTTGAAAATTATTCATTGAAGGTGTTACGAAATACTAAAATTAATAGTCGCCATAAAATCCCAAAAGTACAACCTTTAAGACTCCTGTTCTTTTATTAAATTTTGTGACTTTAAATCATTTGAGATTCCTGTTTTATTGAACAAGTTATTCTTAAAGGTGGTAGAGCCTAGCTGTGGTGAGTTACTGCAGCTCGAACATGGGCTGGCTCGACCGGGGAAGTACCACCCTCTCACAGAAGATCGGCGTGAAGTAGCCTTTACCGGCTGCGTTTCGTCTGATGAGTGAGAGAGCCGGTTGCCCTTTCCCTATTCCTACCCTTTCCCTTCATTTCCTTATTCCCTCCCCTCCCTATCGCCAAAAAACAAAGTTGGCAACGCATCCGTAACAAAATGTTGTGGATGTCCATGGGCGACGGTAACCACTTTCCATCAAGTGGGCCGTCTGCTCGTTTGCCACCTTTAACATAAAAAAAAAACAAGTATTTCCTAAATATTTTAATAATAAATTGAGTATTTTAATTGTTTATATTACGAACGAAAATTGAAAATTTATTTAACGATTGAATTTTCTATGTAAATTCAATGAAACGACATAATTTATAAATGTAAGAAATCTCTGTTTAATTATTTCTTTTCACGGATCAAAATTTAAGTATCAATACAATCAAAATACCGTAAAAAAGATTTTGTTTTGCACATTTTGGTGCGGTAACTTCAGATATTCAGAGCCAAAGGCATCTACAAATTAGTTGCTTATGTCTTTGATGAGTCCTCTTAAAAAAATTAAAATCATGAGTCCATCGAATTCGTATAAACTCAAAGAAATTGTGACCGATAAGGTATATCGTACTTAGATAAAATGGTCATAGTTTTAAAACATTCGTAATTTCTCCAGATCTTCGCAGAGTACCAGTCCACGATTTAGAGGCACTTTTATCTGTGGTGAGCGAGGGTACGAGGAGAAGAAGGACTGCTGCAACCAAACGTAACAGTTCCTCATCAAGATCACACGCTTTGTTGGAGCTGTCCACTGCTTCTGCTACTTTGCATCTGGCTGATCTTGCTGGCAGGTAAGATTATATGATACAAGCCATTCTAATTTCTATTACGTATTAATTTTTGGGCCATGGAAGCTCTTGTTTATAAGGACTAGTGGTATTTGACCTCCTCAGTAAGTAAGAAACCATGAAGAAAAAACTAGAAGGTATGCAAACTTGACTATAAGTTTAATGACCAGCAATAGATCCGTAAGTTTAAGATATGGAGATGCAACTGACTAGCTATACCTGTCTTTACACTTATCTTTCCAAATAAATACCGCAAAGTTTAGGTTAAGAAGAAACAAATAAATAGTTAAGTAAAGCAGATAGGTATTTTTTCGGAGATCACATGATTGTTACGAACTATAATTTGGGTGTTTACTTTATTTAAATACGTCATATAATTAATAATTATTCCTCGTGACTGAAAGTCAGTGCAAAATAATAGTGGCTGTCCCATATATGTATTGATTTAGTTTAAAAATATCATTATTTTTAAATTTTTTTCTTACATTTGACGTCCATTAAGGGACCGCCTCTTTTCATACGATCAAACGATAACTCTCGCGAATGTATGAGGTCGTGTTGTTCATTACTATTCATAGACTTAGAAAATAACAGGATGTCATGGTCTATTTGTTATGGAAATCAGCAATCGGGTTTTATAAATGACGGATAATACGTAGAATCGCATTTCCAGCGGCCTTTGGGTATTCTTGTAGTCGGAAGTAAATGCCTTGAAAGTAAATTATACACGCTGCATCAGAATTTCACATGTAATATTGTATAATGACATTCGTTTATAGATATTTCTATATTTTAATAGATTACGATATTAGTTTTGTTATACAGATTATATAATTTCTTTATAATATCGTGATTTGCATTGAAAAAGTTTTCATATGTTTTGTTTTTATTTTTTTTAAATATATGTATCTATATATGCATATTTATATCTTAAATTGAATCTGGTTGTTAATAAGTATGCTTTCTCCTAGAAACAGTAAGTAATACGCTATTATTCAGTTTTGCATGAACCATGTATTTTTGTAAATAATAAAGGCTTACAGGTCTAAAAGACTTTAATCTCAAATAAAACAAAGGAAAAATATGGTTTTAAAACTTCATATATTGACGTATGTATATACTCGTAATTGGCGTCATAATAACATGATTTTGTACACCTTATACATTATGAAAGGTGATGCCAAACCAAGAATGAAGATAAACATTTGTCTTTAAGTATTAAATAGCTCATTATGAGAATAATAATTAATTTAACCAGTTCATACTTATACCATTTAAAATAAAATCGACTCGAACTAGCCGTGAAACTTCAGCATTTAATAGTCCAAAGAGTAACAAAACATTGAGAGCCATAAGTCTCATTTGTTAAATATACTTTTTACAGTCCAAGATCATAGCAGAAATATTTAAAATTATCTTATTGTCATAGGTGTCTACTGTGTAAAATTGTCTAAGATTGCTTAATAATTGACTTTGTTTGTAGATTCCACACATATCTATAATCAAAGCTAATAAAAGCAAGTTCAAATCTAAATTTATAGTACACATCATAGTAAATTTCCGTTAAAATCATTTTACCTTGGATCGGCCTTTTAGTAAGGCTGTCAGCCATAGTCTAAAATCTTTGACGAGTATTAAAAAAAAAGGTATACACGGTTTAAAATCAAAATGCATTAATATCAATAAAGAAATAGCAATGAATATTTGTATGAAATTCCAGCTGTAATATTATATGTATAATTTCAAAAGAATTATTGCTAGAATTTATTTAAAAATCATTAAAAAAAACGAAACAAAGACTGAAACAATAGGTTTAATAAAAAATAATAATTTTGTTTATTTCTTGTATACTCTTTAAGTACGTCTATGTGTCCTAGTATTTATTTAGGGGTGTCAAAATTAGAAAATTTTGGTCATATACACACGAGATATATGACTCATTTTCATATATATAACAAAAGCGTAACACGTGACGTGAAAACCCGTTAGTTGGCAACCCTGCTTCATGAAAATAGAAGCAATTCCAAAGGCCATACTTTTCCACTATTAAAAAATAAGGAAACTTTTAGGCCGTTTCTTGACCCACAGAGGTTAATAATGTTTATATTAAGAAGATCGTGCTAATCAACGATTAAAGATTTGTTTCCTTGTTAGCCCTTTTAGCTTGAAACAACAGATTGAGGTCAGAAATTTCCGATGGCATGAGGGTCGTTTTTGATTATTTTAATATTAATTATATCGTTAATCACATCATTTCAACCACAATACACGATACACATGGGATTTATGAGCAAAAAGTAAAGGAATATTTACACTGAGTATAAGTTATAAACACAAATTGTAATGTAAAAGTACTAAGTAATGTTTTTATTTCCAGCGAAAAGTCCGGTTGGGAAGGCTGTGGTGGCAGACAGAAGGAAGGATCTAATATCAACAAATCATTAGTCGCTCTAAGCAATGTTATATCAGCACTAGGTAAAAAAATCAATCATTTTATTGATAGATTATATCTTTTTCTAGTAAGAGGGCATAACTGTTATTTTATAATTAATATTTTTTATATAATACCTTTTGTTATTTTGAACGCTTCCTTTCATTTAAGTTAGCTCATGGACTATATCTTTTTATAGTATGAGAGTGGAATTTTTATTTTTTTGATATATTTTTTTTTATATATAAAAATGTTTGTTTATTTTGAACTTTTCTTTTTAGTAAGTGGAGGCTCTGGCCGCGGCAGGTTCGTTCCCTATCGCGATTCAGCACTCACGTGGCTGCTAAAGGAGTGTTTCACTGGTGGAGGGAAAACTTATATTATAGCGAGTAAGTTATTACTAAAATACTTTCAATCTGATATAGTGACAAAACATTTCAATATCAGGAGGGCAATCTTCATTAATATATAAAATCCTGGATCAGTGTCCAATTTAACCATTAATAATAATAATAATAATAATAATAAATCCGTTTATTGTCAGAAACACAGAACCATTGAAACAAATAGGGATAGAATAAAGAAAACATAATACATATGCTTATGCAGACAATGGGAGCTGTCTCAGCTGCATGTTTCTCTGGACCGTGGCCCTGGGAAACGCTGGTTTTCAGACAGTCCCTTTTACAAATTTTTCAAATAGGAGTAACATTATCCTACCCCCGCCACTATTATTATAATTTACAAACGTTGGAAAATAAGCAATTACAAATAAATGGTGATAGCAAAACTTATAAAAAAAGAAGTAAATTTAATCAAAACAGAAATAAAGTTTATCATTAGAAAATACTGCAGTATGTACAAGTACTCTTGCATGAGTGTGTGTGTGTGTGTGTGTGTGTGTGTGTGTGTATGTAAATGTGTGAATGTGTGTCTGTGTGTATATGTGTGCATGTGTATTTGTGTGTGATTGGAGAAGTGAGGGGGTAATCCTAATATTGCCAAAATTCTTTTAGCGGCAGGCATTTGTAGTATGCGTGTCTAACATTTTCTGCAGCATGTTGTTTTTTAAGCAGGGTTGTTTTATATTTGCCTTTAAAAGACTCTGTATTACACTTTGTTCTAAGTGGTGGAGGTAGATCATTCCATATTTTTGCTGCAGAAAACCTAAAACAGCTTCTATACCTTGCCGATTTATGATTTTGAATTTTGAGTAAGTTTTGGACGCCAAAGCGACGGGTTCTTAAGCAATGCACGTCAAGCCAGGTCAATTTTTCGAACAGGTATTCTGGTTTTTTGTTCCATACAATTCTGTGAACTGTGCAGGCATAATGGAGTTCTCTTCTTGAAGTCATGTTAAGAATTCCCTTAAGATTAAGATACCGAGTAATGTGTTCCCTCTTTGGGACGCTATAACAAAAACGGATACAGGCATTTTGAACCCGTTGAATGCATCTTTCGGCCTTAGTATTTAGTCTTGGTCCATACACTGTACTGCAGTAGCTCAGTTGTGAGAGAACAAGAGATTCGCACAGTAGCAGCCGAATGTCTTCCTTGATGAATGGCCTTATTTTGTACAAAGTCTTCAACTTCATGAATGCCGTCCTAACTTTATTATTTACGTGTTCTGTAAATTTTTGCTCCGTATCCAAAATTAGTCCAAGATTACGTGCAGAGGAATTCTGTTGGATTTCAACGTTGTCTATTTTGAGCTTGATCCCCGCGTCTTGCACGCGTTTTATTTGCTTTTTTGTACCCAATATTAAGATTTTTGAGGGTTCAAGACCAATGCGTTATTTTGAGACCAGGTGTTGATACTGTCGAGGTCACTGTTAATTCTAGAAACAGCGTCCAGTATGGTTTGAACGTTATTGCAGTCGAAAGAGTAATATATTTGGGTATCATCTGCATAGAGGTGATATTTGCAGTGTTTAATTTGATGAGGTAAGTCCGTTGTAAAGATGGCAAAGAGTATTGGACTTAGCAAGGAGCCCTGGGGCACACCACGCGGGATTAATCTCTTAGTAGAGAACGTCTTAGAACCATCAGCATTCTCCGTAGTCACTATTTGATGTCTGTTTGTTAAAAATGTTTTGAACCATTGGCAGGTGTTGTTTGAAAAGTCGTATTGTTTTAATTTTGACAAGAGTAGCTCAGGATGCAGACAATCGAAAGCTCTAGAGTAGTCCAACAGTACAAGGATACTACTCATGCCCTCATCAGAAGCTTGAGTTATATCGTCTGTGACGTTAAGAAGAGCAGTTTCAGTGCTATGGCCTTTTCGAAATCCAGACTGAAATTTTGGGATTATAAGTTTATTTTCTGCATAAGTCGATACTTGATTAAGTACAACTTTTTCTAATATTTTTGATAGTACTGGTAATATGGATATTGGTCGTAGATCATTGAGTTGTACAATTGTGTCCTTTTTAGGGATAGGCTTTACCAATGCTGTTTTCCAACATGATGGGTAGGTGTTGGTAACAATTGATTTGTTAATAATACCTGTTATAATTGGAAGGGTTACTTCAAGAGTTAACCGTATCATCTCAATGTCAACTCCATCATAACCTGCTGCTCTAGTTTTAATGCCCCTTATGATTTTTAGGACTTCGTCTTCTGATGTCGGCTTCAGTGTAAATTCATTATTTTTTAATTGGTCTTTAATTGTTGGGGTATTAATGGGCAATTGAGTGTTAACGATGACCGGTAAGGTCAAAAAGTGGTCATTTATTTTGTCAGGTTCATTTAGGTGTTCAGGAATTGGGTTTCTATTGGTGCCAGCTATTTGCACTGTTGATTTTATGCTATTCCACAGTACAGAGGGATGTTTGATGTTGTTATTTACGAAATGATTGAAATACGCTGTTTTTTCCCTTTGTATTGTCGCGGTTACAAAATTTTTTAACTGTCGATAATAGGTCTTAGAGCTGTCTCTTCCATCCTTTTGAGCTTTGATTAATGCTTTGTCCCGTAGAGTCATCATAAATTTCACCATACTAGTGATCCATGGCTTTGGTTTGTTCTTAATAATAATTCTTCGAATAGGAGCGTGAATATTGAATAACTGTATGAGCTCTTCGTTGAACGTTTCAACCATTTTGTCTACCGTATCTAAAGTCAATATAGAGTCCCAGGGAATACAATTCAGATCATGTATGAATACCTCATTATGAATTTTATTTATAGCTCGAAGGAATTTAGCTTGTTTTATGTATTTATTTTTAGGAATCTTAAATTCCACCAAAACCAAAGCGTGATCGCTCAAGCTACGATTATGAATGACTTCTATCTTCTTACATTTTGATGGGGCGTCACATAAGACTAGATCCAATATGGTTTGCGTGTTATCGGTGATTCTTGTCGGTTCCTTAACTATCTGATGTAAGTTATGTTGATGGCAGAAATCCGACAACTCTTTCGTCTTCGCAGCCTCAGAGTTTGAAACATCAATGTTCAAATCGCCCAATATACAAGCAACATCACATCGACAAATTTCGTTAAGTGACTCACTGAGAGCATCAAGTGTCTCCGTAACGCCAACAAGTTCTGGTCTATAAGCTGTACCCAAAGACATTACTGAACTCGGTAACTGTACCTGTAGCCACAACTGTTCGAGATCTGAGACTGGATGTTGCATGATCTTTGTTTTTAAAACCTCTTCTGATATAAAAACCAACTCCTCCACCTTTTCTGTATGTTCTAGCCTTATGGATGAATTTATAGTCAGGTATTACCGGTGCCAGCGATTCTTCTCCCTTTTTAAGCCATGTTTCATTAATAGCTAGGACGTCTGGTCTATATTTGGAAACCGTAACTAGAAGTTCATCCTGTCCGGTATTTAAGGATCTAGCATTTAATAACCCCACTTTTAAACTGATTTTTCTCTCATTAATCATTGTTATCAATGACAAATGTTTTGTGTAAAGTACTTGAGGAATGTCTGATAGGTGTGTTTGTGTGTGTAGCAAGAGTATTGTTTGTGTTGCAGATGTAAGTACATAGACTGATGTTTCCAAAATAATAATAAGTAACGAAAAGACCATTGTAAATTGACAAGGATTCAGTGTAATCATGCACAAACGTTTGGTTTCTTAAAAACCCTAGACAGGTCCTTCGTATCTCGCAGGCGGAGCCGTGGTTTTCCGTCATCTTCACGTACATAGATCTTTCCATCTCTTGTCCATACATATTTGTACGAGAATTCACGGGCCAGTGTGCGCGTTTGGTGGAATATTTGACGGTTATGTTTGGTGAGGCGCTCATTAATATATATTGGTGTAGTGGGTCCCGGTATTTGCAGGCCGTCTGAGGTCAGGTCACGGCGAGTGCGCGCAGCCCGAAGGAGGTCATCGCGAAGGACGCGGCGCACCAATCGGACAGCGAGCGGTCGAGCACCCGGTGACGCACCAGCCACATCCACTGTCCGCTTCGGCCCCGCTCTCTCCGCTCGTATGATATCCCTAGTATCTAGCTCCACTCCAATCTTCTTTGCAATGGCGATTGCAAGATGAACGCAGTTTTCACCGGGAGATTCAGTGCAACCAGCAATTTCGACATCATTGCCCAATAGATCTTGATCTCGCTCCATAATGTTCGCCTGTAACTGCGCGACGACGTCTCCTATGTTCGACTCTCCTGCGTTATCTTTGTCATTGAGCTTACCTTCCAATGTGGAAACCCTACTCTCCAATTGCTCAATGCGTGTATTTTGTGTCCTTATTGTAAGGATAAGTTCGTCAATAGATTCCCGTAAGCTAGACATTTGATCCTGAATTATGTCCCTTATAAAGTTTTTAAGATCATCCGTATCGGTATGAGAGGAAATGAAATCTCCACAACGCCCAGGATTGCTTGTCTTATCGGGAGCATGCAGTCGATTAATCTTTGTTCGTTGGGTAACAAAGAGGTTATCGCTTGCACCATCAGGCGAGGCACCCGTCACAGAGCCACGTACCGGCGTATTGACGTTTCCCTTCTTGGGCTTTTTACTAACGCACTCCGGGCATTTCCATCGATCCTTACACTCCATCGCCGAGAATGACTTACTGCTTATATTAACACATTCAATATCATACTTAGATTTGCAATTAAGACACTGTAGGTATTCCTTTTTTGCAAGAGGCGCCTTGCACCCCGCACATTTGTGTATGTAACTCATCTTAGATATAGGTTCTATGTTATAAATCAAGTATTCTTTCACAATAAGAGAAAAAAATTAAAATACTAAAAAAGGCAAAACCAAAACTAATAATTATTAAATTAATATTTAAACACATAAAAACAAGTCACAAAATTAATTAGTAGAACCAGTACAATAACCAGTGCAAACTTTTAAAGAAAAATAATGTAGATTAAAAAAAACAAAAATAATACAATAATGAAAAAAAAATGAATAAAATAAGGTTTAAAAAATATATTAACAATAAAAAAAGATAAATGAACAATAAGAAAATATATAATTAATGGCGATGGGTGCCTGGATTCGATCTGTGACCCTAACGCAACATAAATTTCATTACCAAGGTTATTATACTCAAACGACTAACGGGGCGTTGTATGAAAGTGTGAAATTTGCAATCAGATTGTACAATACTACAAGTTAAGCGATACGTTTGTGTAAAGACGGTAGGTTGACATCGCAATTCACTTTAGCGTCACTGTTTACAATCTTCCTTGTCGATGTTGTACAAAATTGATTTCGTTTTTTTAAACACTACACTGCTGTTACGACAAATATTATATCACCAAAACAACAAAGACACACTTAGGCTTTGAGATTTCACGCACTGCTTGAGTAACTAAGCTGTTCGGAATTGTTTAGTATTTTTTAAGTAGCACGTACAGTTCCAACGTCTGAACAGTAAGGCGGGTCCTACATAATCAAAATTATATTCTTTTATTATTGCAATTTATTGCAGAAAGTATTAAATAGATATCATAATAAAAGTTGAATAGAAAAACAAATTAAAAAGTTCAATATCAGGTCTTATAAATAGACGTAATCATATCCTTATTCAATCTTATCATTGATATTTTTTTAAAGCTGTATCACCAAGTGCAGCTTGCTACGGAGAATCAGCTTCAACGCTTCGTTGGGCATCACAAGCTAGACTACTACCAGCTCGACCTAACATCACTAGAACTACAATAACCAAATCAGCGATTCAAGCGCAGTACAATCAACTTGTAGCTCAATTAGAAAATCACTTCATACAATACGTAAGATTATTATAGATAGTAGAATAGGCAATGAGGTAAGAATGTAATTAATGATTAATATATTGTTACAGAAACCAGAACTAGGTTTACTGCAATACGATGATAAACATTGGAAGTTGCAGCTAAATAAAGCACAAAACTTAGATGTTTCATATCAAGAAGCAAACATAGGTAATATAATGAATATAGGATATTCCAAATCTGATTCTCGTAATCCAGAATCAACTCAGTCTTCCATCACAAGCGGAGTTTCCGATATTGATATGGAAAAAAAATTACAAGTCAGAAATGAAATTAATAAAGAAATAGACGAACTATTTGGACCGGCACTCGAAAGAACTAAAAGTGGAAGTGATATTGAAGTTGCTGCACCTCTAAGACATAAAAGACGTCAATTCAGATCACAAGAGGTACTCCAAGATGAAAAACTGTCGCAACGTCTCAAAGAACATCGTTTATCTGATGCTGGTATTAATAATGAACTTGTTGACGAAAAAAATTTCGACACCACTAAGACACACGTACCAATACTTTATGACAACCAACGAGCTGAAATAATAGCATCTGTAACTGAGAGATTGTATTCGAAGTTAAAAAAGAATGAAGATGTATCAAAATCAGAATATCCACCTGATAAAAAACAACATGAAACTAAGGTTCCATCATTAAGCGAGTTAAAAATCTGCTCTAATGCTCGACAACGTTTGATGGAAATCAGCAAAAAAGCTTTGAGGAACAAAAGAAAAATAGGTATACCAGCCCACACTCAAACTCGAAAATCTGTTATACGAGTTAAAGATCAAGGTATAGACGTCCAAACGGATCTTCAACCGTATGTTATCGGTAATCAGAAGCGGACGTACTTATTTTGTCAAGATGTCAGCACTGAAACAATTAGTATGACACCGAGAGTAAAAGATATAGCGATTGGCTCTCAGTATGGTACATTATATTGCAAAGATGGATCAACAGTGACAGAATGTAGGAAAATAACTTTAAAATCATCCTCTATGATGACGGATAACGTATTGACAGTCGACCGGTACACACAAACACACATACAACCACCGCCTCGAAGAAAGAGACGTTTATCAGCTTATTCAAAGTATATAAAAAAATTAGAAAGTATTAAGCCGTCCACAGACGAACATTATGCCTCACCTATTATAAACATCAATATATCACCAGTACTCCAAGAAGATTCTGAAACGCAGTCATCTGACGATATATCAGATAACTCACCAAGAATAAATGAAGAAAATGAAAAGAGAAGCGTAGTGACTACACCAGACCTATTATCGAATCACAATAGTCATATAAAGTTAGAATGCGATAAAGCATACAACAAAAATAATACTAAAACAATTTGTGAATGTGATTATTCGAATACAGCAAGCAATATATCTTCGGGATCAATTAATTTTGACGATTCAGATACCGAGGATTTAATATTACCCAGAGTAACAGTTGATGCTTCAAGAAAAATAGGGCAAAAAGATTACGAGGATTTAATATTAGGTTATAATGAAGATGTATATCCGTACAATATAAAGTTGTCTCCAACCAAACAAAGAGATGAATCTAAGAGAGTTATAAGATTTAAAGACATAGATGTAACACCAGCTGAATGTTGCAGTGATGAATGGCAGAGAAAAGTCAACACAGCCACGAGTGTACCAGAGGATGTTAAAATCGATAGTGATTTAGATAACGAATATTGTGGATCGATAAATGTAAATAAAACAGAAACCGATTCATTTGTATGGCACAAATGCGGTTCAGATACGAATGTAACGAAGCCATATTCAGAAAGAAAATCGGTTAAATCTAAAAGTATGAAGTCCAAAATGTATGATGAATTTGATGATTTCACCAAAGGAACATGTTTCTGCGCTGGCGCATCAAATAATAACGACGATTATAATAATTCATATAAAAATTTAAGGAAAACCAGCTTAAAGAGTTCGAAAACTTTCGATGTCTTCGAAAGGAAAATAAAAAGCGCCTGCAATAGTTTAGAAAATTCTGTAAATAAATACGACGATTATTTAATGAATTTTAAGGAGAGGAGTAAACAGAAATACAAAGAAACAGCTAAAAGACGAACTCCCACTGAATATTTACAGCATTTAATTAGATTAAGAAGGGAGGCTGTGTCGTCAGATTCTTTCTGATAAAAGATATAAGATATTATCTACTAATGAAATGTAAGATTTTCGATTGTAAAAATATAAAAGAAACTTATATTATTATATATACATAAACCTTTGAAAGACACTTTCATCTCGTCTGTTCGTGATCACGATTGCTGTAAAGAAACCTAAACGACGGGATCATATAGATATAAAATAATAAACACGTAGAATCTGAAGATCTTAGTTTCATTTATAATGTACATTTATTATTTATATGTACATACAGTATTTGGAATTCGTAATATTATTAATTTTAATAATAATTTTTATATAAAATATATGTTTGATGAATAGAATGTTGCTTATATTTAAGTGTTTAATTAGATTTAATATATTAATTTTCTATTAATGTTTTTTGCGTGCCATAAGAAATATATATTTTTTTGTTATTAAAAAGCTTTTAACAATATATTGTCGAGCTGCTCATAAAATACTTCACAAACTGACAATCAATATTATCAATTGTATATCGAATAAGGATTAAGGAAAAAATGTATATTTATATATTTTATCAAAATATTCTTTGTATATTTTTATATGTTGTTTGTTTTTATTATGTATTCTACTTTAAAACTCAGATTGAAATAAAATTTATAGATAGATTTTATTAATTTTATTTTCCTATTATGAATTATTAAATCAAGATTGAAATTTTTATTGAATATTAATAAGAAGTTGTTTTCAGTTTCCTAATAATACCTATAATCTGAAAAAGATTTTTGGTTTTGTGATTTTGTAAGACGAACAAAGAGATTTTTTTCATCAAATATTGAATTATTTAAAAATACTCATATTTTCCGGATTACTATGCGTATTATCCCATTTTTCAAAAATACATACTATACATCTCGTCTGACCGTGATCACGGTTGTTGCATAGAACCTAGTTTTTAAAAATAATAAAATATCAAAAAATATTAGTTCCATTTAAATATATACTCGCGAAAGTATTAGATCTCATTATTTTGAATTATTTGATTGCTTCATTAAGAATAAATAGGATTAATATATTTTTACTATAAAATTTTACTTTAATACAAGCCTTTAAGTTTACTTTACGAAACCCATTAATTTGAAAAGTTTAACTATTTAGCGACATACATTGTTATTTTGGCAAGTGCTAAGTTACTTTTGAATAAAAAAAGTTAATACGTTTGTCAAATACTTTTGACATATATTTTCGACTATACCTTTTACCTTTGATCTTGTACATTATAGCTACTTTTGATACTTAGAATATTGTTTTATATTTATAATAAATTTGTTTAAATAATTTAAATAGTAGTGTGACCTTAGCCGCGGGTTTTGTAACGCTGGCTCCAGTCTCAAGTGTGAACCTTCGGACGATAGTCTGCGCTCTTGCGTTATCGCCGATTATTGCGAGCTTAAAGAATTGCAATTTTGAAATAAGTCAAATCAAAAAAATAACTAATAATATATATAGTAAATAAATATTTTGTTGGAAAAAAAGTGATAATGGCGATTATAAAAATACAGGATTATGCTTACGAATTGTTCATATTATTATTGATGGTTTTTACTGTGTTGTACGTGTGGTTCCAATATAAGTTTACTTATTGGAGCAGCAAAGGAGTGTTCGGTCCTACACCGGTATTCCCTTTCGGGAATATACAGGATGTTATAAAAAGGAAGACGCAGTTCTTTCAGCCGTATTGCGACAATTATTTCAAGTATAAACATTTACCATATATAGGAATGTATTGTTTTAATAAGCCCGTATTGAGTATACACGACGCGGACTTAGCTAAGCACATACTTATAAAGGATTTCGAACATTTCCAATCACATGGGATATTTTCTGGTGGAGTCGGGGATCCATTGGCTGGACATCTTTTCAATTTGCACGGGTCAGCGTGGAAACTTCTGAGGAATAAAATGACATCAGCTTTTTCGGCATGTAAATTGAAATGTATGTATCCCTTAGTGGAGAAAATATCTAAGGAAGCGCTTGCATACGGCGACGTTTTGCACGCGAGAGGTGAATCCATAAATTTTTCGGAGTTTTACGAAAAGTATACTATGGAAATAATTGGTAGTGTCGGCTTCGGAGTGGAGTGTAACGGTTTTAAAAATTCAAATTCTGAATTTTATTTACGCGGACACGAGTACTTCAATCCTAATTCGTTGTATTGGTGAGTTTTTTATATATATTTTTTTACTATTTTATATCTAAATAAATTCCTCCATGAAAATTTCCGATTTACTAATACCTAATGTAGATGACATTTACAAAACGATTAATGTTTATAAAAAAAATGTTATAACGTCCTTGAAATCATTTATTGGAGCAAAATTAAATCAAATTTGTATATGCTTAAATATCAAGTACTTTATTTCTTCTACCTTTACATACATAAATTTTTCTTAGAACTTTTAAAATTATATAACGAAAAGCTTATTACAACATGTTCAGATAATAATAATGATTTATTAATCACGTGACAACAAATTATAATTTAAATATTCGCATTATTTGAGTTTCAATATTTGTTCCTTAAATCCTCCTTATGAATATTAATTGTCATTTTTATAGTCTGTGAGTTTCGTATCGTATTTACCTATTCGCACTCACAAGTCACACTTTTTGATAAACTAAGTCAAGGCGATATTATTAAAGTCATTGCCAATATATTGTGTTAAATTGTATTAATTTTTTTATTCTGTATAATAATATATAACAAATAATATATGTATATTCTGTTGCTTTCCTTGTAATATTACCCTTGGAATAGTGTCATATATATAATTTTTTTTTAATTTGGAGGTTTCAGACGTCGCGTCGTAGAGTTTCATCCAAGTATTTTACCTTAAAAAAGTACTATTATTATTTATTGTTTTACAAATATCTAAAAATATGTAGATTTAAAATAAATAACAAAATAAATATTAGTTAAAAATTACATCACATGAGGTAATCGGGGCCGGGTTTTATGGTACTGCGAGGTTTTCGTAACAATGTTATAATGTTGATGATGAAACAAAATTATCTAATAATTGCAATGAATGTTTACATCTTCATTATTTATCAAGCATTAAAGTTCTAATTTGTTCTTTTTTTGAAATATATTAAATTTTTTATGCTAAAAGGCGTTGGTAGATATCTTTACACCTTTCTTGGAAGAGAAATGACAATGATTACATTTATTTAGAATTGATATTTTATATATCAAATTTTGATATGAACCTCTTTGTATGTTATAAAATTAACAATCAATAACTTTCTTAGTGTGAGATAGTTTAGAAACATGATACTCGCGTGTTTTAATAAAGATATCTGTTAAATTATTTGTCATGTAAGTATTAAAAATTGCAAAATTATTAATACTTTTTTCACGTTTTTTAATTCGTGTGATGTTTTATTTAAGATTTTCGCGAAAATACGATAAAATGAAACTCTGCTTTTCGGATGTACTACTAGTGAAATAATATGTAGATACGTAGGATATCCGAAAATCATTGTTTCAAACTACCTTAATTCTGTATTCTGTGAATTATGATTTATGAATGAAAAACAATGATACGATAACCTTATTGAATCGTTTGTATTTTACAATTTACTACAGCCGTTTCAAGTTACTTCATTCATATTTGTATGCATATATATATATTATGTATGGATGCATATTTGTATGTGTGTGTGCGTATGTGTGTGTGATAAGACTCCAAACTGTCGTTGTCTAGTATCATGTTACGAACTCATTCTAAGCTCACTACAGAGGTTATAATTGACAAAGAAAGCTAGCATGGAATAATTAGATTTCCTATAGTTATTTTTTTTTACTAGATTTCTTATAGTTATATTTTTTAAGATTAGATATCTCATCATAAACGAAGTGATAATTATAATGCTGGTTTTTTTTAAATAAAATATTCTAAGGACGCTTTTCGAAAATTTTTAGTCATTTTTATAATGGATTAATTGTAATATGAAATAATAAGTCTTCTATAATTATTTAAAATAAGTAAATATAAAATAACCATACTATATAAGCTTATCTGATAACTTTTTATTATTATAACGATACTTATATTAGGTTTACTTACAATCCATAAACCTAATATTTTCTAACTTTTTTATTCCTTTTAGGACACTAATCAGGGCTTTGGCGTTCTTCATGCCAAATTTCTTTGATAAGCTGAAGATAAGACGAATTAATCCGGACATTTTAAACTTTTTCGATAATTTAGTGAGAGAGACCGTCGAGTACAGACACAGACATAGCTACAAAAGAAACGACTTCCTTCAAACTCTCATAGATTTGAATAACGATTCTAGTAAATGTGAAGGTTGGTTTGTGGACATTTTTATAAATATAACAAACTTTTTAAATACGATTGTATGTATTTTTATATATGTATGTAGTGCATCAGTTTGACTTTTAAGCTTATGTTATTGTCAATAGGGACATGATTTTATAAGGAATATAAAGTTTAGATGTATTTAAAATGTAATAATTTACTTATATCAAATAAATGTATATTTCAAGAGAATTCTTATAATAGAAAATAGTCCTGTTTACGTATTTAAAACAGATATCTGGTATCAAAATTTTAAAGAGCATGTTATAGAGAGTTTAATTCTACATCTACTGTAACTGACTTTCTATTGTGTTGCCCTTTATTAATTAAAAAATATAATAAAATAATGCAAGTACTACAAAATTTATGTAATAATTCTTTAGGTATTTCAATTTCCAATAACTTTAAACATAATACAAAATTATATTATACTATACACAGATTAATAATAGTTTTGTTAGGTATACAGTCTTTTAAAATATAAAACGTTCAAATTTCAGAACGCGAATCCCAAAAGGGGGGTTTCACATTAACAGATGTCACGTCAAACACTATGCTATATATGTTTGCGGGTTACGAGACCTCGGCCACTACTGGGCAGTTTGCGGCTTATGAGCTGGCAAAAAATCCCCACATTCAGACCAAGGCTAGGGAAGAAATAAGAAAGGTCCTCGCTAAATACGACGGCGAATGCAGTTACGAGGCCCAGGGAGAAATGACATATATGAATATGATTCTTGATGGTATGACAGTTTATTTAAAAAAGATATCGATTTTAATATTATCTATGGTAGAAAGAAAGGAAGATTATTATAATCTTCTGGAAAAAATATGATTCTTGATGGTATGACAGTTTATTTAAAAAAATATCGATTTTAATATTGTCTATGGTAGAAAGAAAGGTAGATTATAATCTTCTGGAAAAAATATGTTTCTTGATGGTATGACAGTTTATTTAAAAAAAAAATCGATTTTCATATAACATATTGTCTATGTTAGAAAGAAAGGTAGGATATTAGACTTCTAGAAAATACAATCTTTTATCTAGAGAGGAAGATATATCAAAACGAATAGATGTATACTGTTCATGATTTTAAAGGCATTTTCAAAGGAAGCGATAATTATGATTGACACCTCACTGATAAAAATCGTGAATTGGATAGTTGGTTATAGAAAATGAATTGCATTGAGTGCATGACAAAAAAGCTTTTTTTTATTTTCTTTACTACAAGTTTGCATACTTAAACTAAACGTAACGTTTTTTCATTGGTATATTTTCACATATGTTAGTATCAAAGGTCTATGAATGAAACATGGAAACGTTCGGTATGAAGTTTAATGTCGAAAATTTGTGGTAAGCGTACAGAACGTTGTACATAGTTCATGGGCGACTGTGGAATTTGGTCACTTAGTTATAATACGACAGTTGTTAGCGTGTAAGTCGAATGCAATAACCTTGAACATTCATAATCATCTGTATTGAAGGTTCTAATCATTATTATTATTATTAAGTCCTTAAAATATTACCATTTATAGAGACGATGCGAATGTACCCGCCACTTCGATCGCTTTTCCGTGGATGCACAAAGGAATATAGAATACCTGATAGTGACGTCACAATTGAGGAAGGCACTCTAGTGCTTATACCGATCCATTCAATCCAGATGGATCCGGAAATATTCCAAGATCCGGAGACATTCGATCCGGAGAGATTTTCTCCTGAGAGGAAGAAACTTATACATCCCTGCCATTGGATGCCTTTTGGTGAAGGACCGCGGAAATGTCTAGGTTTGTATGGAGTTATATTAAACTAGCTGCGCCCCGCGATGTTACCCGCGGATTTCCGGGTTGTAAAGTAGCCTATGTGTTATTCCTGGAAGTCAGCTTCCTGTATACAAAATCTTATCAAAATCGGTTCAGCCGTTTGAGCGTGAAGAACTAACAAACATACACACACACTCACAAACTTTCGCAATTATAATATTAGTAGGATGGTTTCTATCCAATCATGTTGTAAGGCAAAATTTTAACATTATTTTCTAACATCTCGGATGCCCGTGAACACGGTTGCTGGAAAGTAACCGAAACGTCGAGAGTATTTTTTTTAAATAATAAAATACGCCTACTGTTTGTGTGTTTATTTACTAAATTATTTGCGGTATTTTGTGTATGATTATGCAACAAATTGATATGAGGTCATGGTCAGCGGGCTTGGGTTTAAACTATAGTTATGAAGGTAAAATTATATGTATACATTTTATTAACAGTTTCTAGACTCGTTATCCAATTATAGGGAATTATTCCACCACTTAATATCTATTCAGTAGTTTTGATCAGTTGTACATAGTTGACATTTATATTCATCTTTGGTCATTCACGATTATATGAAGTGTTAATCAATATGTGATAAACTATTTATTGTCTGCGACTTTGCTCGCTTACTGAATCGTTTTTGTGAAACTTAATTTGAAAAAAGCTATAGCATCAATTATAATAGATTGAAAAAAAATCTTTAATTTAAAACACGATGTTTTTTTTTAATTATAAATTTAAATATTAGTATAGGTCTGTAAGGAACCATTTAATTTTAGACTATTTTAGACATTTTTAACCTAGTTTTAATACCATGATAATTTTTTTTGAGTGAATCTCTAGTTATACAATTTTTTTGAAGTAACAAACAAACAATTGTATATATGTGAATCGTTTCCATTTCGTCGAGTAAATGTACGATCAACTTAGTAATTCATATTTACTTATGAATATTTGAAAATTAAGAAATGTAGGCGCTTTGTTTATGAAGAGTCAATATATAGTTTGTAGTAATTCGTATGATGTTTGAATGTTTATGGTAGAGCGAGGAGTTTGGACGGTGGAGGTGAGCGTTTAAAGCGATAGATAGTGCCCTTTAAAGTTTAAACCTACACCTGACTCTTGAGAAAGGACTTGAGAGGACTTGAGAGTCCCAAGCACTGTTGAAACTCCTCTCCCTGCAACGATGGACCCGGCACCCGCACGGTGAATCCATTTAAATGCTGTGTTTTCGTCGCGGCATCTTTAAAAATCATTGAACACGTGATATTGTCACTCTACTTTATAGGAGAAATCATATTGATTTAGATACGCGTTTTCTTTGTTTGTCATAACTGCAATAAATATTTTTTAAATATTTTGTGACACCCATGAATAGAAAGCGCTCGTTTATTTCTTAAAATTTAAGTTAGAATAACTTTTATAAAACAAATAGCTTGCACGATGTTTTATTTCTTTTCGTTTAAGAAATAGGCTATAAAGCTATTTCGCTGCCATGTTCAAAACATACGAACGGAAAATATTAAATATATATATTATAGGTTCAGTATATATTAACTCATTTTTTATTTAAATTTTATAAATAAATTTAAATAGTGAGCGTTACATAACCTTGAAGTTAAACTCTACTAAACTTCAAACTCATTAAATATCTGTTTGTTTTAAGATGTCAATGTCTTGTGATGTCACGTAGGTATACCATTCAGCTATGTTATAATATAAATATTACACAAGCCACATCCTCGTTTTAGGTCTCCGTCAAGGGTACATTCAGTCGAAACTGGCTCTAGTCAAGTTATTACACAAGTATGAACTCTTGTTGGATGACCGTACAGCCGTTCCTATGAAGATTAAGGCCACGTCACTAGCTTGCGCCGCTGACGGCGGCGTGTGGATACGACTAAAGAAACTAACGGAAAGTGTAAACTAGCTTTAAGATGACAGTTTAGTAATAATAAATCAGTGATATTAGTGGTTTTTATACAAATTATATGATTTAAGAACTATTGTAATTGTAATTTAAGTTAATGTTCTGGGTTAGTTGGTATTTATAAGACCGATTACAGACTGCTTTGATTTGTATTCGTTCTGAAATATTCATAATGTTATAAATGTATCATAAGTATGGACAGACATTCTTTTAAAAGATTGGTCATTTGTATATATATTGAACTTGTTGTGAAACACAATTAACAACTACAATATTCATGGTTATATTGTTTGTGTCGCAATATACTTGAATGTAAGTAAAGGAGTATTTTCTTTGGTGCTCGCAAATCACATTCGTAATTATGAAGGTTAATAAATTAATTATCATTTTAATAAACGATGTCAAAGTCAGTCGAGTTCACATGTTGTTATTTAATAGTGTTATAAATACGTAAGTGTAAATAAATATTTCTTTTTATATTTCTTTTGTATTATTTTTTTAAAGTGTTATACTATTTAAAATAAAATAAATAAATAAATAAATACTGCATATTTTCGAAAATATTCTATTATACTTCATATGAATGGAATTCTACATCTTAAAGTCAACGAAGTTTTCTTATTTAAGCAAACATTTGTATTGTATTTGCATAGTTATTATTTTTAGCCTGATTATTATTATCATAAATTAATTATGTCAATAATACGTCAAAGAGAACGCTTTGTGAATTTACGACCTCGGTATGTTAAAGATTTGGCAAGCCTTGAATACCTTTCACGCTGATCGTATTTGTTCAAAATTGGACTGATTATTGTCTACAGTTTATCCAATAACCTTGAATCTGATGATTTATTAAGATAATAAAACAAATTCCCTGATATATTTCCAAGAATATAATACTTAGAGTTTCCTTTAATTAATTCCTTGTCCTTTCCTCTACTAACTAGTAATTTACCTTACATTTAAATTCATCATAATTTCATAAGCAGTGGAGGTCGTGCTCGTTGAACTTGGACTACATGATGAAATGTCACATACCAGAATAAGTAGTTTAGTATACGTATATATAAAAATACAGAACTAATCCTGTTTATCCTTTATAGTTTGCACTTCTTTGTCTACCTTCTTTACGTCTAAACGGCTCTGTGATGACTTTGGTGTGAAGATACCAGTTTTTGAGTCTATCTGTACGCTTAGAGTCTTCTCTGTCTGAACCCCGGCACGTTTTAAGCTAGATTTCAAAACAGGTGCTTTACTGGGACCTGGCTCAGCCTCTTCGGGAACGAAATGTTTTTTATCTTCTTTTTCTGATGTCAATTCGGTATGTGGTACTAATGTTTTATCCGATTCATTGTCCTTCACGATTGATTCGTCACGTTTTGTAGTAAGTTTGTCTCCTAGACCTTCTAATAGAACTTTTTTCACATGTTCAGCTGTTTCTATCGCCTCGTCCTGGTTACTTCGAGAAGGTTCGATGGATCCTTCTGGTATTCGAGATCGTAATGTTTGCTGACCGTACTGTCGAGTCGGAGATAATTCTTCAGAAGTAGTTCGAGATTCGAGAGATCTTATGTATGATAACGAAGATTCAGCCCGATGAATAACATTATCAAGAATATTATCTAAAATTTCGAAAACAGATTGCTCATCTTCGGTCAAATTGTCATGGGCTCGTAAGTAATCCAACCTGCCCTGTGATGGCGGTAACAAAGATCGTTCAGATTTATCTTGCACCAGTGAAGAATAAAACAACAAGTCACCGCTGTCTTCCTGTTCATCTCTTTTTGAATATTCTTTTATATCTCTAACGCTGTCATGGTTAGCTTGGAAATCCTTCTTCTTAAAGTGTATGACAGTACTGCTTTTATACTCTAGTGGCGCATTTTTGAATTCTGGCTCCGGAGATATTGTACGGATATGGGTTTCTTGACGCTCCTGAAAACATATTTAGTGTGGACTTGAATTACATTCTTCGTAATATGAAAGATATCTCTTATTAAACCAAGTCTTTACATAAAAATCATAGGTTAAACTTACCAGCATTCGGTCAAGGTTGCCTTTTAATTGGACAGTAACTTTGACTAATTTGAAGTCGATGGCGAAGATGACTCTGACGAAAGCCAATAGGGCTGACAAAATCCAGCAGGCTGTGTGGAGCCAGGCGGAGTAGATGGTTAGTCGTGTCGCTTGATACACACCCCTTATACGACGTTCATACGCTAATGTGGCGACGTTCACCGTGTACGTACATCTAAAATGAATTACAAGAAATGTGATTAGAGTAGTTTTCTTAACTGGTAATAGAAAGAGAAAGAGAGAGAGAGAGAGAGAGAGAGAAAGAGAAAGAGAAAGACGAAGAGATTTGAAACTATTCCATTTCACCTTTTACGAATCAACAATGAACACATACAATAATATGCTATAGCAGTTTACAAAACTATTATAAATTATGATATTTGCATTATTATAATTTATTGTATGGTCATTTTAATGTTGGGTCATAATTGAATTAAAAATTCAATAGCTTAGTTGGTAAAGAAACGAGAGTTACAGAATCGAATCCTGATCGTCAAATAATTTTATACTCTATATATTTTTGATTGAATTTTTATTTAGTTAAAGAAAAAAATGAAAGATACGCAAAACATATGTATAAGTATCTTAATATACTGTATATTTTTAATTCAGTCGTTTTATAAATAAATATAAATTAAAACGACCACCTAATATCTCACTTCAAAAACCTATCGAGAAATTATACTTAGGATAAATAATATTTTACTAATTAATTAATAAAAAATATATTTCGACACTTCATTGAATGATTGTGTTAATGGACAATTTCACAATTTTTTTGCTAGTTGATGATTTTTCCTTAATTTTTAGTTAAGCCATTGCTTATTTACCTTTTTTCATTGTAACTGAAGGTTGATATCAGTATTAACTATTATGTTACATGAGTCAATTAATTTATCAATCATATATCTTTCAAAAAACGCAAAGAAAAACGATTGACTAAAATGTTAAAATGCCGAAATGATATTATTTTATCTCTAAAATACCGTCCGACCGTCATAAAATTCTTCCTTAACTTAAATAAGGGTCCAAATATCAAGAGGTTGGATAACACACTAAGGAATTGAGACAGTGAATAACAAAAAGCTTCTTGATTTTAACGTTTTGATTATAGTTTAAAATATCTTAACAGAAATATAAATTAAATTTTTCCTTTAATAGGTAGTGCCATGTTAAAAAAGGAACATTTAAATGAAACTAATATTTTTCAGATGTACTACGATCTATGTTGATACTATGATTACGGGCAGATGATCACATCTCGTCTGCCCGTGATCATGGTTGCTGTAAAGTAGCCAAAACCGTCGAAAGTATGTAGTTTATAATCGAAAATTAAAATCGCGTAGTAAATCCGAAAAATATAAGTTTCATTTAAATTAATAAAACTCGCGAAAATCTCAGATCTTATTAAAAGGAACAGTGTTGAATATAATTATTGTCAGATAAATAGACGAATTAGTTTTTAAAAACGCTGTTTGAATTTAAAATATTTCACTACAATTCATAAATACTACCATAATAAGTCGAATATTCGTAAAAACGAGATAAATTACGACAAATTTTAACCATTCTAATCATGGTTTTTGGCAGACTCACAACTATATATTTAATATAATCAACAAGTTATTCTAACATATTAATTACCATTTATTACCAGAGAAAGCCAAAAATAAATATGGTTTATCAAAATGACTCTTTTTTTAACTATTTTACTATAGATATTGCTAAAAATAACATACGTCGTACTGCCGGTTATTTCGCTAAGTTTAAGGCACAGTTCCCGTAACCCATAATGTGTGACAGCTGTCGTGTAGATACAAAGACCACCCATCGCTAGTGAGAAGAGGAACACTGGCGGCAGGACTCGCCACGGCCTCTGCAACCTATATTAAAAAAAAACTATATTTTTTAATCTGTGATAGCGTCAATGATAGAAATCATTACAATTAAAACAATGAAGTGGCTGTTTAGTTAAAATGATAAGCAAAAGATTAGATATTTGTATAAAAATGTTATGTTGCTTCGGTTCAAAATATGTTTAATAAATTTTCTGAGGTATACTTAATAATGCAAAAGTTGACATCTTGCTATTTTTTAAGTTACGAAGGCATTATAGATATTATTATTATATATAGAACTATCTCTTAAAAGGATGTAAGGAAATGTTCTAAGGATTTTTCTTAGCAACAAAACGTAAAAACAATCAATACAAATATTTAATATCGTACATCAGAACTGGCGATTTAAAAGTAAACATTGGAACAGCTTCACCGAAAGGTCATGATTAATATGGAATGAAGAGCAATAAAATACGTATAAAATAAAACCATTACTTGTTATGACATTGTAAAAAAACGAGTCAACTAACCCAGTTAAGACTCGACTTCCAGTGGAACACATTAAAAACATCGTTGTCCATACAAGACCAAAAATACCAGACACTAGAGGCACGTATGTAGGCAGTAAACAAGCACTCTTCTCAACCCATTGTGTGCTGAGAAACTCCACTGGTAATCCTGGAAATTATGGAATATTACGTAATTACTCGTAATTATTATTCCTGGAATTAAACCAATCCATATAATTGTAGCCAGTATTATTGAAGAATCGAATTCGGCTTTATATACTAACTAGTTTCAGCCCGCGACTTTGTCCGCGTAGATTTCGGAATAAGTAATATATGTATAGCTGACCGGGAGAACTCCAAAGGCCAAGAGTTCAAAAGTATTGAAATTTATGAAGTATTTTTTTTCCTTTTTGATCGAACAGAATTAAATATCCAATGTCTGTCTCCTTTCTGTAAGCTATCTCCTCACCATGTTTCAACTAAATCCCTACAGTCGTTCTTGAGTTATAAATGGTATAACTAACCATTTTTAGATATGTTTATATTAAGCCGAGTAATTTTCAATATGACATAGTTCAGTTAAGTGTTTAATAATAATTACATTACGCGTGTTTTTTATTACTCTGATAATAATTATGGTAAACATTATTACGCAGAATAAATAACTTAAGTTGGAATTCAGGACGAAGCCTTTACTTGTGCAAACAATGTATAAAAAAACAAACAAAAATGTATGTTATATCAGTTTTTCTTACTATCAGCGGCTTCTTTATCATCAGGGATGAATTCGTATATAATAGTTTGTCTCAGCGACGTCAGGGACAATAGTTTGGGAAAGAGTACGCACTTCTCGTCAAAAAGATACATCAGCATATGGAAACAGAACGTGCAAAATGAACCGAAAACGAACGCCAGAAAAAATAACAATAAATGAGCTCCTGGAAAAAAAATAAAACTATTTTTCAATCGTTTCGAGCATAAAAAATTGTCTAAGATTTGAAATAAAAAATTAAATTAATTCTATGAGTTTCATTAACATCAAATATACGTTATTCATGTAAAACACTTATCAATGACATTATTGGGCAACAGCGACCTTGCTGCATGTTTGACCGCTACTTTTGAATTAAGCAAATAAAGCAAAATAAATTAAGGAAAGTAACCTTGAAATAATCATGTATATATAGTACAAGGTTAATAAGAAAATAATCTCTAGTATATAATCTTGTTCTAGCTTATAAACTTAGCCTTTTTATATTTTTATAAACTTTTTTTTAATGAGTTAGCCCTGTGGCTTTCACAGCGTCACCGAAAGAGTGGGCCAGTGCTGGGACTGGCCCGTAATCTACAGGCTATGTGGCCGGTTTTTAACAAAATTAAAACTAATATTATTCGGATTATTACGAGAATATTATTAATAAAAAAACTACATACTCCCGACGTTTCGGTTACTTTGCAGCAACAGTGATCACGGGCAGACGATATGTATTCCGTGGTAATCCGAAAAATATTAGTTTCATTTAAATGAATACTCCCGAAATCTCATTAAAATAAAAACTTATCATATCAAGATGTTTGTGTTATTTATTTATTTAATCTATGAACAATTTTATTACCTTTCCAAACTCCGTTAACCTCTGCCTCAGCTCTTTCAATCAGTCTGTATTCTTCATACAACGTGAGCCTTTCCATTGTGTTGTATAACAATATGCAATTACCTCTTAATCATAGCAACAGAAAACGTTTTAAGCGTACGTACGTCGTACTTCAAATAAATGTCAATTTTCTGTCCAATATGTTTAAATTCTTCTTTTTATTTGATATTTTAAGCTGTTTTCATCTATTTATGTATATTTTGAAATAACCTTTTTATTTTTGATATTTTTTTAATCTAAAAAAAATGTGTACATATAGAGTAAATGATTTTTGTACCTGAATTTTATTATATGAACGCGTTTTAAAATTTCACCAAAAAAAGGAAAGGTCACAAGAAAGTAATAAAAAATTAGAATTTTTAAGTGTTCTTAGAACTTTAACACCGTGAGGTAAAATTGTAAAAGTTTTTGGGTTTTATTATTTTTTCACTTGTTGTCACTGTAGTTACATAATATAAAAAAAATTTTTTTAATAATTAATTTTTAACAGAATAATTACAACATTGAATGACGACGTCAAAAATTTATAATGAATCTTTTTAATTACTGACCTAGCAGTAGTAGAAGAAGTAGTACCGAGTACAGAAAAATAAAAGAAGATTAAGGTGTCCAATGCGTATTAACAATGAGAAAATTTTATTAAAATAAAAGAAATCGACCGCACCCGTTGTCATTTAACAATTTTTCTACCAAACCCGGAGTATAATCGAGTAATCACGTGTCCAAAATGTCTTACATCATTTTGGAAGTAGTTGGTACTCTTATACTAAACAGGAATTCTATCAAACAAAGCTGTTCCATTAATTTGAGAACTACAATGTAACAGATTGTCCTTTCCAATCCTTTTTTATATAAAGTATTGACATTGGCAGAATATTCCATGATTCTAGTGCGAATGAAGTCATAGCATAAAACTTAAAAGAAACGTATGTCACTGTAGGGGTGCCACAAAATCCCTTCCCAGTGACACTGTCAAAGTCATTTAGGCTATTAGTTACAGTTAAGTCGAAAAAAAAGTGCTATAAAAAGAATTTGGGACGTCTTTCCCTTAATAAATTTGCGTTCGTAAGAAAACGTTCAAATAAAAATATGTTTTTAACTTATCCTACTGAATAAAATCAAGATTATTAGTCCGAGTCATAAAAGTAAATACCGACAGTTTGTAGTTTACATTCATAAAACTTCGTCCGTACTAGTTGTATATATGAATGAAAATATTTTTCACGGTCACGGTTAAGTCAGCGTAACTAAACTTGCAGTAAAGATGTTATTCTATGACTAAAAAATATTTGTTGTAATTATTTTGAATAAACAAATAAATTTTGCTTTTTTTACCACACATTTCTTCATTATAACAATTCTATAATTGTTTTTAGATTGCGAATACATGCAAAAACTTTCAATACTGAACCGTTTTTATCTATGTATAATCATATTGAATATATCTCCTTTGTTTATCTATCTGTTTGTAACAGAAGGCGAATAACCTAAATCATTACAAGAACTTTGTTTATTGAAGATAATTCCCCATATCTTAGTGTTGGGTGGGTCGATATTTATCTCTGATCGAATAAACTACTCAATACCACGACTTTTCTTGCATTTTCTATACATAAACTAAAAATCTGTCTTTCATTTAATTAAAACTCATTTACATCCGTCAAATTTTAATTTTATATAGACTAATAAACAAAAACATCGATAGTCTTTAATTGCAATGGATTAATCTATCTAAAATTGAATAGAATAAATATAAAATAAAATAATATTACATAATGAATCTTTATCATTTATTTTATAATAATATTTGTATACAATACGAGAAGTAATGTGGACTGTTATCGATAATCTTGTTAACTATGACATGTTCTCATGACTACTCTGAAACAGGCGTCAGTCGACAAGATTGAGTTGTGTTAGTCGTTCAGTATTATATTATTTCTAGTTATGTTATTCCCGTGGTTTGTCTTGTGTATGTTTATAGTGAGAACAGAATGTGTATTCAAATATGATTTAGGAAGCGATCATGCGTTGTGGCATTTAGAAAATAATAACCACTGTAAGTTTGAACGATAGATAATTAAATAAATCTATTATTGTTGTTATTGTTAGTAAATTAAATGAATGAATCAGAAGTTATTTATTTCGTTGCTTCGTTTTAATTAAATGTAAGGTAGTTTAAACATGTTCATAATTAATGTAGTAAAAATGTTATGCTATTTTTTACATTTCTAGCATGATCTCATACTTACATCGCATATCAATAATATTCTTGTATTTGTTTTTATCTTCAAAAAGGCAGATAATGTTTTTTTTATAAACGAAAAAGTATTCTTGTAAGAAACTTAATATATTATTTGAATGTCAGACTATATCAAAGTTATAAGGGATTTTGATAGTAAATATGACCATTTAGTTTATTCGATATATTTTCTCAGAATTCGCGTTTGTAAACTAAGAGATATCCTTCGTTTCAAAACAATAAGTATCTTACCACAACGCGTTGAGCTATGCAATTAAACGCGTATACCACGAACAAAAGAAACCGACCCTTTTTTATAATTAGTCAAGTAATTAAATACATATATTTGTAAAACTGCTATTTTAAGAACCTGTCTTAAATTGCATAACAGTATTTAAAATGAAATTGACATCTAGGGTTAAATACATCCTGGCCTGGTCGCGGGTGTAAGCGCAATGATGTACCGCGGCCAGGCTCGGAGCAGGAGTAGGTACGGGGGGTTTTTAGTCAGTAAGAGTCTGACACTCCCTCTTGCCCCACCCAGGCAAGAGGGGTCATTTGATGATTTTCCCCTTAAAAAAAAAGGGTTAAATACATACACATTTTGATCATTACTTTTTATAGAAGTATGTAAGTAAGTAAGTAAGTACATAGTTCATGTAAAAATCTATACATTTGTTAATGAAGCTTTATTATGTAAGCTGAATTTAACTTTAATGAGGTCTAAGATTTTCGCGGGTACTCATTTAAATGAAACTAATATTTTCATATTTAACTTCACGTTTTTATTTTTGATAATAAACTACACACTCCCGACGTTTCGTCTACTTTTCAGCAACCGAGCATCTCGTCTGTCCCTGATCACGGTTGCTGTAAAGTAACCGAAAAGTCGGGAGTATGTAGTTTATAATCAAAAAATAAAAATTCGAAATACAATCCGAAAATATTAGTTTCATTTGAATTTAACTTTATATCTCCAGCCATATCAGTAGCAGCCTCAGTGCCTGGTGGAGTGTACAGTGATTTACAGAAAGCTGGCATTATTGATGATATATTATCTGATGACAATGATGTCTTCACACGCTGGGTCGCTTACGACTCTTGGACTTATACAGCGAGATTTAATAGTGAGTATCCCTACTAATATTATAAATACTAAGAAAATAACTCAGTCTGTCTGTCTGTCGGTTACGCTCTCACGCCTAAACCACTGAACTGATTTTCATGAAATTCGGTACAGACATAGAGTTAATTGAGGAAGAAAATAGGATAGTTTTTATCCCAGACTTTTGAAAGGTTCTCTTGGAAACGCGATATAACCGAACTCCACGAGAGCGAAGCTGCTGGCGGAAAGCTAGTATAGTATAGTTACTGATAACTAGATTGATTGAGATTTAATTCTCATATAATTAAAAACTTTTTACAGTAAGCGAAGGAAATTTAAGAAGTAATGTCGTTCGTTTGGTTCTGGAGGGAGTAGACACTGTGTCGTTTATTGAAATGAATGGAAGTCCTATTGGATCTACAAATAATATGTTCGTTAAATACGTATTTGATGTTAAACAGCATATTAAGGTTATTACTTTTTCAATTAGTCATTGTTCTTTCAATACTAGAGGTTTTTTCTTTTCCTTAATTCTTTATTGATTGTATTGCTTATGTTGAAGATTACATATTTTTAAGGCAGGTGAAAATGAACTAAAATTTGTATTCGAATCTCCTATCGAATACTCGAAGACCCGGTCGAATAATAATTTCATAGCACCAGATTGTGTTCCGAGTGTATATAATGGGGAATGTCACGCGAATCAGATTAGGAAGATGCAGGCTTCCTTTGGTTGGGACTGGGGACCAGCATTTCCTTCTGTGGGCATTTGGTAATTTAAATCCCGCACAAGATTTATTTTTCCATATAACTGTACTAAATTAGTCCCATAACTCTTTGTCACTGTTTTAGGCGACCAATATATTTGGAATGTTTCAACGCTGCCATAATCACATCATTAACAACACACACAAAAAAGACGCAACGTTCGTGGTCTTTAGATATAAGAGTATATTTGGAAAGCGGTGACAATATCAGACATGTTGAAGGCTATCTTTCAGCGTATTTGACTGTGGAGGGCCATCAAAAGATTAAAGTTGAAAGATATGTTAATCAAACCACAAGGAACGATGGGAGCATTGAAGTGGATATTAATATGACAGTTAGCACGGTAGGTTTGATATTATAATAACTCAAAGAATAATTATTTCATTTTGGAACAATATAAAGAAATTGACTTGTATCCTATCCGCGTACATAATATTTATAATATCCTATGTGCTAAAAGCACGTCTTCATATCACATTTCATTAATATCGGATTAACAACTGAGACGTAAAATTTAACACACATACAATGAAACAGAGAAAAAATGCATTCATAATATAGGTATGAATAAAAACAGCATAGTTTTGAAAAGATGTTAGAATAGACTATTAGGTACTTGTTATTATATATACATATATGAATTATTGGAAGTGTTTGGATAAATATAATCTGTTATAGAATGTGATAAGAGAATGGTGGCCAAATGGTTTCGGCGATCAGCCTTTGTACGATCTCCTAACTGTATTTTCAACTCACGACGGAGATGACAATAGAGAAGTGTCTTATAAGAACGTAAAAATCGGCTTCCGAACGTTGGAGATTGTGGAAGAAGACGCATCTTTATTATTAGGTGATTATATTTTGGCTTTTAATGATCTTGGAGTAATTTTTTGGCTTAATCAATTTTTTATCACCAGGTAATACTACTGCCGGTCAGGGTTTAACATTTTTCTTTAAGGTCAACGGCTACCCGATATTTATGAAAGGATCCAATTTGATACCAATGAACGTGCTTCCAGAGATAGTGGACAAGAGACAAAGTAAGTAAAAATACAAGTAAGATACGCACTACTGAGTAATCATGAGATCGTAAAACGATATGATGTTCTGAAAAATTATCAGGTCACTATTGGAAAAAGAGAAAAATATTTTCGTTTTTGTGTCTTCCAACTGTACTAAAAACATCGATCTTTATAAAATTAAAATAAAATAGATTTTAGGTATTAGATAAAAAACAAATGAAAGGCCTTTCGTTAATAATACTTTTTCATCCTCAATTTACTAGTTAAATTAACTATTCCAGTCGACATGCTTCTCTCTGCTGCTGTCGAAGCGCACATGTCAATGTTAAGAGTATGGGGAGGTGGTTTATATGAATCAGATTACTTCTATCAGCGATGTGATGAACTTGGTATATTGGTGTGGCAAGACTTTCTATTTGCTTGCTCTATGTACCCAATAGATCGAGAGTTTATAAAGTAAGTTTACTAAAAACTTTTAAATAAAAGATTCATACCTACATATATTTTTAAAAGAGACTTGTGTAGTTACACTATTTACAATTCAAGAACGGCTGTTGGTATATGGTTACAATTTGGTGGGGAAGTAGCTTAGAACCAGGAGACGGACATAGGATATTTAATTTAGTGCGATCGAAAAAGAAAAATAATAATAAATTAATTCCAATAACTGGCTATTTACGGCATCAAGGGCGGAATAGAGTTCACCCGGTCAGCTATACATAAATGTATGTAATACTAATTCCGGAATTAACGCGGACGAAGTCGCGGACGAAAACTAGTTATGATTAAATATATTTTATGCTGTCATATTCATATTCCAGTACCGTGAAAATCGAAATAGAACAAAACGTGCTTCGTCTTCAGCACCATCCCTCGATAGCGGTGTGGGCGGGAAACAATGAAAACGAAGCCGCTTTGATTGGAAATTGGTACCATACATCATCAGAAATTGAGAAGTACAAAGCAGAGTATGTGCATTTATACGTAGATGTTATTAAACCTATAGTAAACAATATAGATCCAGGAAGACGATATCTTGTGTCGAGTCCGTCAAATGGTATCAAATCGGAGGAAGAAGGTTACATATCTAAAAACCCCTACGATCCACATTACGGTGACACACACTATTACAATTATTTAGCCGACAATTGGAACTTCAATATATATCCGAAAACAAGATTCGCTTCAGAATACGGATTCCAATCGCTACCATCTCTGAAAACAATGAGGATGGCCACAAATAAGTCCAGCGATTTTAATGTGAATAGCAATTACTCTTACCATCGACAGCACAGTCCGAGCGGATACTCCTTTATAAAAAATCAAATGAACGCACGCCTGAAACTTGATGAGAATGATCCTAAATATTTTGAAAAGTTTATTTACTACAGTCAGGTAAAGTATATTGGAGATATTACATACATATTTTAACTTGGAAAACTGACTTAAGTTTGAGGAATGAGGAGTATATGATTACGTCTTAGTTTATTCCAAAACTGTAGGTAGGTAGTTCCTTTTAAGTGTTTTTTTTCATAAATGGCATCTTTTAACTTATAGGTACCTAATTTAAATGACGTAAAAGTAATGCATCTTCGAAATTAAGGTATATTACAAGGGAATTTTATGATTTTATATTAATGTCGTCGAGACAATTTTGTTTCGGAAGGATAAAAATATGATAAGAGGGGTATTGTGCAGGACCCATCAAAAACATATTTTATAAAGTAGATAGATTTTCAAATAATGATTGATCTTCTTTTAAAGCGTTATATTTATTGTTTATTTTAGATATCACAAGCCATGTCTATGAAAGTTGAGACAGAGTTCTACAGACAAAGTCAATCGGATTGGTATACTATGGGAGCGTTGTATTGGCAGTTAAATGACATATGGCAGGCGCCATCTTGGTCTGGAATTGGTATATTCTATGTTACAACTAATTCTAATATATTGGTAACATTAATACACTAATAATTATTTCCTTATTACTTTAGAATACGGCGGTAAATGGAAAATGCTTCATTATTTCGCAAAAACATTCTTCGCTCCCGTCTTAGTGTCGCCACGTTTGAAGATGACTAATGACGTTGACATCTATTTAATAAACGACAGATTTGTACCAATAATTGATGGTAATATAACGGTGGATATTTTCGATTGGAGTAGTCTAGAACCAATTAAGACACTCTCATATTCGGCGGCTGTAAATCCACTAAGTAGTAAAATACAAGCGACTTTGCCTTTATGGGATTTTAGCAATAAGGATCATATTTTACTCAGATTCAGTCTCAATGCTGAAGGCGTGTCATCTCCTTATAATTATTTATTCCCTGTACCATTAAAGGACGCCACTGGTATTGCCATACCTAAAATAAATGTAAGTTTAAAAACATATGTTTATTTATCAAAAAAATGTTATAAAATACAAAAAAAAGTATTAATTTATATCAATTATTATTTTCAGATTTCAGTTAAAGCCAATAAAAGAAGTACGAAAAAACTAGGAAATGAATTTATAGTAACAATTAATGTTGACACAATTATTCTATTTCTATGGCTGGAAACAGATAATATCGACGGCCATTTTGAAGACAACGGCTTCATTATGACAGAAAGGAGTTTAAACGTACGCTATCATACAAAAGAAGAAATAACTAGTAAGGATTTAGAGAAGGATATTAAATATCAATATTATCATAATTAATATAAGAATTAAAACAACTGTAAAGCAAAACAAATGTTTATTAACTATAATGAGTATTGGTGCTAATTAATTGCAATACAATTGTGTATAAAATAACTTTGGACGATTCTCTTAGAACTGGTAAGGGCGATTCGTTTTTGTTTCCATTAAATATATCTTAAGTTATAATCATTTTAATATTTAGATTATTTATAGTGCGAAATTATACATTTTTATAGTAATTTGGAAAATCTTATATATGCATAGAAAAGCTGAAAAGTGATTTGATTATGACCCTTACCTATTTAAATAAATTAATAAAATATAAAAATTGTCATTAATTAAACAGTGCAAATAAATACATAGTCTTATTTTAGTGCTAAGTACATTGAATAAATGAATTTTATTATTATATTGATAAATAAAAAAAAATATAACACATTATTTCAGGTAATTACTAAGTGTGTTTATTATAAAATATAAATAAAAACAAAATTTATGGGACAAATATTTGGCTAAGAGTCTTGTCACTTTAAAAATGTAGAAAAGTACATATAAATACAAGTACACAAGAAAAGGAAAAACATGAAATATTTAAGCATAGATAGAGAGACAAATTTCTTATTTTACAATAAATGTCCCATAGTATTGTCCCATTTTAAAATAATTTGAGGCACATATTGTTTTTAACATATTGATGTTCACAAATAATTATATTTTGGCTCACTATAAAGCGTATTCCCATCATGCATTAATAGTATTGCCAGCATTAATTACTTCTTAAGACTAATTAGATCTGGTAACATTGAGCTTCAGTGTAGATGACGTTTGAATTTCTAAACATTTTATTGTGCAAAGCTGTTTATTTCTTTATCGACATTAGAGAATCTACATGCTGTATAAAAGTACTAAATAAATGAATTCTCAATGGCTTATAATCATTTTAATACGAAATAAAATAATGACGTCATATTGTTTACGTCACGATAGGTATAAAGCGATAAATCTATTCATGTAAGTAGACAATTTGAATGTCAATGTAATACTTAGCATGTTAAAGCCAAAAGAGTTATAAATTAATAAAATAAGGTTTTATATATGTATATAAATAGCACAGCCTAGCATTATAGCATGACGTCATATAGACCGATGGAAAGCCTTAAAACTTCTTACAAAAAAGACGCTCTCCATATTAGTGTTAGCCCATGCTCACAGGTAAGCACCCAGTCTGTAAAGATATGCACAGATTATATAATATTAATATAGATTTGAAAGAAATCATGCGATTATAATGCATAAAAAAATAAGGAGCATGGGTGAAGCGATGGTTCAGTTTGCATTTAGACGGCATGAGCTTTGGTGGTCGCAGGTTCATGCGAGTTATTTAGGACATTTAATTACATACAAATTTTCATGCAGCATGTTTCATTCAGGTTTTATTTATATTTTGGGTAATTTTAAACTATAATAATATTATTTTTAAGCCATAAATACGATTTAGTGGTTAATTGGGGGACAAATGGCTCATCATGCATTTCATACATACATTTATGGATACTTATTTGTTTTCAACTTACAGTTTTTCAAATTACAGTGCGGTGCTAATGAGAACTAGAGTGAAAACACAAAATATTTCAAACAATACACACCTCACTTTAAAAACATTCCAATAACGACCTTAATAAGAAGAAACATGGAAAAAAATATATTAAATATTTAACAATAGTATGGAAATATACAACGATTTTATTATATAGACATATAAGCTTATTTAACGAAACTTGTAAGTATAAGAATGACAAAAAATATAAATTAAAACCAGTGTGCTTTAGACCACATGACTGAAGTAAAACTTCTTTCGATCCATCTATATGTAATATCTTTATGCATATGTTTATATATGTATAATACAGACATGTATGTATATACATATACACATATTAATTTTATACAAATATTTGAATTCGTCACGGGTTATAATTGGTAAATTAACATTTTTAAATAGATATTTCTTTTTATATATTATTTTAATAGTATTCATCATGTGATACATCAGTAATTACTGTGGTTGATTGTAAGACCGAAACAATAGTCATATGATATGAGAAATAAGATACATATGTTTTTGAATGAAGATTACTCCCAAGTCAAGCGTGCGTATAAAGTCTTACTTCAGTAAAACAAAATATCTCATACTAAGGCCCATTTCTGTCGTTAAATAAACTTATTTGGTACAAACTCTATATATGTATGTGAAAAATTGTACATGTGGGTAGATTGGGTTTTATAAACGACAGTTACCTGACACGTGAATGTAAAGCGGCTCTTTCTTCTGAGGGAGTGTCTCTGAGGAAGGTCGAGGATAGATTGAACACCACCATCAGGCAACATAGCAGCAATGGACCAAGAATTGCTCCCTCTGGCCCTAAGTAGAATATACCACCGGCTATCGCTAGACCCGTCACGTATGGGTGACCGCCGCTGGAATTAAAACAATATAATATTAATTAATAAGGAATATAAGTTATAACTGTGGTCAATTTTAGATTGTTATTTTAGATAATGTTTTTTGTTTTTACCTTGCTTCATGAGAATTAATAACTATAAGTATTCAAAAGGCAAGATACATACAAATATTTATCGATACTAAATAAGAAATGTAGTAATCAATTATTTATTTTCTATAACAATAAGTATTATGAAAAAATATAATAAGTAATTATAAATTTCTACTATATTATGAAAGCAACAAGTTCTGAGTTTCTGGTTAGCGACTTCTATCGCTTTTAGCCAATCAAATCCAAATATTTACCGTATCTTAATATTTATTACCCATGTCGAGTACTTACTCTTTAATTTCCGCGTAAACTGCAGCATCCAAAAAGGCTATGGGAGCCGCTTGTACGATTGGTAACAGGAGGGCTGCCATCGGTCTACCTTGGAGCCAGACATCCAATGCTGCGGGGATACCAGCCAAGTATGGCCCTAAGAATGGAGCTGCGCCTAACACTGCTGCTAGAACTGAAAGATTAAGATATACTGGTCAAATCCAAGCTAACCTTACACCTTCTAAGTTTTCCAACGTTGCTATCACATCAAATACTCTATATAAAGTCGTTTTTTATTTAGATATAAACTTAAACCGGTTTGGGTTTGCAACAAAAAGTCAACAATAACATATTATACATTTATTTTAAACAAAGATTAAAATAATCAACTCTTATTTTTATTTACAGTATCTCTCGGCGAACGTAGCTGTGCGTATACGTATTTATAAAAATCGAGTGCCCTCTGTCTATTGTAGGCTGCACTGTTTCTGCATTGAGTTCCAATACATTGGGACACGTATTCATCTTTTGGCGGACTGTGTTCTATCGGTCTGCTCTTTGTCCTACTTGTACTACGAAGAGTTTCGACGAAATCTTTAGAAGAATCGAACACAACTTTGATAGTTGTCCTATTAGTCATGTTTAAATGCGTGTCCTTTAATAGATCGTCCTTATTAATTGCGGTCATAGCTGCGGAACCCTCTTGCAGATTATTAGCTTGCCTTATCAAGTAGAACGTGGGTGCTGGCTCTGTGATTTCATCGTCTGTAATCACCTCGTTGTTATTAGAATGCTTATCGTTATATAGCAGACACATAACTTGCGTGTCGAGATTCAAGTGGCACATGTCGCTCTCTAATAATAGCTTCACAACTTCGACTGGCAGCACGCATGACGTCATAAGACAAGTATTGTTGTTGTTCAGATTCAAGATTAAGTTGTTTTGCTCGATATTCGTTTGTGAATTTAGATACGCTATGTTCCGACATTTACAGTCCATTTTGTTTTCTTTTATAACAACTTGTGTCCCGGCTGTTTTACAGCTAGTATAGTCCAGATACAATGAGTAAGGTTCTACCCTTTCAATTGTATTTCTAATGAAATTCATGTGTTTTTTTACTGAACGACGTTTAGAACATTTTATATTGCTGAAAGCGTTTGTTTTTAGTGTTCCTATTATGTTGTCTGTTATGTCTGTATTTATCGAGTTTGTTATTAATCCATTGGCGTGTATTGTTCTATAAGAATTTCCAACTATATATAATTTATCAGATGTAACATTTAATACACCCGCCATAATTTCACCGAAGCTATTAAACGATATCCTTGCTGTAGTACTTTGTATTACTATACCTTTGTAGTCAATACTATCAATTTTAGTATTGGTCATTTCAAATTGAGTATTATCGTTCCCCAGAATAGCTTCTATGCCTTCACTTTGGATACTATTAATAGTAACATTGTCAAATTCAACACTTCTACAACCGCTTATGTTGTGAATAGCCTTTGAACTTATTGTATTTATCTTGGAATTCGCAAAATGTATGGCTTTCAACGATGACGTCCCCATGCATTTAGTTTCTATGATAGTTTTCGGTGATTTGAACATATTTTTTGGCAGAGAAATAATTTCTTTGATATTCTCAATGTGAACTTCTGGTGGCGTTTGTAATAAGGACGAACTTGATAGGGATATAAATTCTAGTCTTGTACAATCCTTTATAGACAGTTTTTGAAGTCGGGATGACCTTTGTAGGATAGGGCAGTCCAAAACTACCTTTAAATCCCTACAGTTCTTTATCGTCAAACTGTGTATGTGATCCGTGTAGAAATCTTTAAGATGTACTATGTTATCCTAAAACAGAAAAAGGTTAACAATATATTTATTTAAGTAAATGCAAAGATATTATAAATTTCAATACATTGTTTATATTTTTCATTACTATCATTAATATTTTTATAGGCACTTCGTATATATGAAAATATAAACAATATTTACTTTTAGTATGTAAATTTACTCACATTACTCCTAATTGGACACACATAAGTAATATTACTCGGTGCATTGTTATGGCAGGTCCATTCAGGGTGTTGGCAGTTAGTGAAACTGATCCTAAGCCCGTTAGTTAAACTCACAAGGACCAAAATAAACCAAAATTGGTACATTACGTAATAACACCACTGTACGTTATGAACGCGATATAAAAATGTCACTTGACATGAGATAATTAAAGCGAAAAAAATACAAATACATTATCAGTTGAACCTCGTTAATTTTAAGGATCAATGACCTAAGATTAATTTTTGGTGACAGGAAGTTTAGATCGCGGTTGATTTTTGGGTTCAAGGCTTTTAGGATAATCATTGGGGAAAAACATAACATTTTGATGCCAAAAATTTAGTAATACCCTTAAAAGTCGGTAATTTTTTTAAGTGGGTTATTTTTTTTATTACTATCATTGTTTCTCTTAAATTTTTTTTTTCTAGCTAACATGATTTAATTATATCATTTATGGTTAAATTTACAAAAATATATGAATTTTTATTATGTACATATATAAATAAACGTACAGACACACCAATGGTATATTATTATATATGCACTAGGTTATAAATATTTCCTTAGACAATCTCGCCTCAGTGGCACAAACCGCGTATAATCATTTTATAAATAGCTCATGGAATAATCGAGCAGCCCTTACATAATATTTATATATAATAAATAAATATTTACGACATTATCGTTAAGTAAATAACCTATTTCCAACTGTCTGTATTTAGACTGGTATTTAAATATTAGAAAAGGTGTAAATTTATCAATTATTAATATAATATATGTATATTTATATCAATATATGCATACTCTTTATTTTATATTTTTGTAGATTTAAGAGGTCTATGGTCTATTTTTGGCGGGCTAGAAACTATGCCTCTATAGGAGTCAGATTCTACTAAGTTTCAATAAATCGACTGGCTAGCTGACCTTGATTGCCGAACTAAAGCATTCTGTATTCATATCTACTTCGTGAAAAGCCCAAATATATCATGTAGTATACGTATATTATTAAGTTTACGATCAAACATTAAAGTTGAAAAAGGTAAAACATATTCATGGTCGGTCATATTAAATAAAAATATATTACAGTTAATATTTTTATATTCACCTGAAGGCAAGTAAACAACTTTAGCTCCAAACAAGTTGTGAACCAGCCACGTCCAGAGACCGTAAAACAACGCCATCTTGAAGGAAGCACGAAATACCTGAAATATTAAAATTAGTAATCAATCAATCAATAATAAATAATATTCGTGTTTCTGAAATTGAGAGCGAAACATATCCTTTATTATTATTTTAAATATAGGTCTTATACACATTTTGTGGATTGTTATGTTAATAATGTGTTTTAATCGCATTTTTTTTGTCCATGAAACAATCACGTCATCTCGTCAAAATATTTGAACAAAAGTGATTTATGAATTATATAAAACAAATACTAATCATCAGTTAACTTCATAAATACTACTCTAAACTGCTACTGAGCTGACTATTTTGCAAATACTACTTATTTAATTACTTTTAACATACTATTCAACAGACTTCATTGAAGATACTCCCTACCAGAAGATTGAAGATACTACTAACTTGACTATTTTAAGTAACTATTCACTTGACTTTTATCTTTATCTATTACTTTGAAGATACTACTCACTTGACTACTTTGAACATACTACTCACCTAACTTCTTTGAGGGTACTACTCCTTTGACTACTTTAAAGATACTACTCACTTGACTACTTTGAAAAAACCTCTTATCTGACTGCGTTAAAGATTTACTGACTGACCTACTGACCTGGTTTATAGCCACAGAGAGCGCTATTCCCAGCCTGGGTCCGAAGTTTGGTTGAACACGTGTTATTACTTCAACCGGCTTGTAGAGAGCATTGCTTGATGCCAGGAGATAGAATAGAGTCGTGAAGAACACAACCTTATATACATACATGGAAATTATACATGTTATACAAGTTAAAATTTATGGAAAACTAACAATTATAATATTAGAATACATTGTATCATATTTAGGACTAAATAGTGACATCATGTGTGTACTAAATACTCGTAAACTATTGCTTTTTGAACCAAAAAATTTAATTTCACTCCCAGGAGTCTGTCTTTGGAATTGCATTGTAAGATTTTTAAATAAGTGTTAATAGAGAAAATAATTGACACAAAGTAAATTAAAATTTTCTGTTAAATAATTGTCACACAAATTATTATTCAATAAGAGGATGACATATGGAAAATATATGCTTTCCTAAAATTTTGTTTTATTGGACATAAAAGTATTTAATATTAAAATATCCTGAGAATTGAGATTTATTAATACAACTAGGATTTTAGATTACTAGGTTTTTGGAATATATGAAAACAGCCTATGCAACTGAAGAATAAATTAATTTACATATATATTTAATTACCATATTAATAAACATATTGATGATTGCGCCCCCACCACAAAGTAGTAGGGACGTGAAGGCACCGAGAGAACCAGCCAATAGTGAGACGTTACTAGCCAGGGGCGCCCAAACTCCGGACAGGATCGCACTCAATGTACCCACATTGGCTTTCACCCACGACACAAGACCCGTATAGTCCAACACACCTGGATAAAACGTCATTATATTAAGAATTGTAAGATATTGGACAGTATTAACCGAACTATTAAGTATGAATTATTCCTATTGGTCAATATAAAAGTGGTATTTCTTTATATACTTCTTTATCTGCAACGTTGAAGACTATGACGGTATAACCACTGGCGTGCACACGATACATGCAAATAAGTACTGTATACCCTACTCATAAAACAACTAAACCTCTTTTTCTACCTGACAATTTTCCCAGCTTTAGTCGGGGTCTGCCTTACATGTTGTGAATAGTTTTGGCTAATTGTTTTTACGACCGGCCGCCTGCCTGACATCAACCTTCTTTTGGGAATACAACTAAAGTCTGAACCTATATTGTTTAATTCTTACTTACATACTTTTAATCATACATTATGAAATACAAGTGCTTACAGACATTTAAAATTACATTTGATTCACGATTTCTTTAAAGTGCCATCTATCAATGTTAAAATGAAACATTTTCGATCTGCCGCTTCTCTCTCAAATCTCTGTGCGCACCACTGGGTGTAACCAAATATCTTATATGAAAAGGTCATATCATATTAAATAATGTTTTAAGATTTCTGAGATTTTCGCCAGTCTCATTCATTTATATGAAACCAATATTTTGCGGATATACTACGCGACTTAATTTTTGTTAAGAACTAGGTACATACTCCTGACGTTGACGTAAAGCAACCGAAACATACCGTACCGTACCGTACATCGAGGGCAGCCCTAGTAGGTTCTTTTCAAATTTGGTTAGGTAGCGAGAGGAGCTTGGACGGTGGAGGTGAGTGTTAACGCGCGTTAGAACCCCTTAAACCTACACCTGGGTCGCAAGTCCCAGGCACTGTTGAAGCTCCTCTCTACAACGATGAATCACACCCGCAAAGAATCCATTGAATGCTGAGAGGTTTCGTCTCATATAAAGTCGCGTAGTATATCCGCAATATATTAGTTTCATTTGAATGTTTTAAGATTATATGTTGAATACCTCCAGTGGTTCCTGCTTCTAGTACAAAGTTATCCCATGATTCTTGTACTGCTGAGCCGTCAACTTGAGGTCCACTCTGAGCGAACATCCCCGACACCCAACTTTGATACACGCGGTCCCATATCTCAAGAACCTGTTGCTCCACCCGAGCTATTTTCTCTGGATCACCTTCCTTTAGAATGCTCTTCACCTGATAGAAAATTGTAGATCATTCGAACAGTGGATATTTATTATTATTCTTCTTCTTCAGTTAGTGGCGTTTTATTATAGATTGGATTTATTATTGTTATAATATTTTCTATATTTTGAATATAATTTAAATGTAAATAACAAAGTAGTAAATGATAATAATTTCAGAATCTATAATATGGTCAGTATGAAGACCTATTTCGTTATTAAAATGACAAGTCCTCAATATTTTTTTTATTAATTAGAAGCTGTTAAAATAGTAAAAGAAAGCAATCCTATGTATGGTATCTGATTTATATCATTATTATCTTTGGTAGTCTTTTAAACTCGACTTTTACTTATTCTCATCTAAAAAAGTAATTAAGCATTTTAAAAAAGCACTATATGTCTGAAACATAATCTATTTATATTTATATATGAAACAAAAAACAAATATTTATAAATTTACAAAAAGCCAAGCAAAATTAAAAAATATATTTATATAAATTTTCTTATTTTGAAATAGTAGCTTTTAAGTCCATTCCAGCTCCAGAAAGATATGACATTTCTCAAACTAATAACTAAATAAATAATATAAAATTATTTTCATTAACACTTGTTGTTTTTGTAGCACAATTTATTGCAATGGTAGCATTAATTAATTTAACCTCAAACAAGATTTACCATTCCTCAACTTACATATCTCATTATCTGATGATCCAAAGGTGGGCATAAAACAATAAAAATTCATCAAACACTTAAGTTATCTATAATTTGTATTTAAATGTACTATAAAGAGATATTATGAAAGCAGTTAGAAAAAATTGCAAAAAAGAAATCTAATAGAATTCTACATTTTTCTAAATAGTTTGAGATAACTTTTATATAATCTATGAATCTACTTATGTCACCTCTACAAAGTCAATACAAGCTCTATGTTCTATTATTGTAAGGAATAATATAATTTTCTTACCCCAGTAGATATTCCTTCTCTGCCATATGTATATGCATTATCTATAAGTGAGTCTAGTTTTTCTTCCCAGCCTTCAGGCAAATAAGCGTGGAGCTCACTATTTTGCACAAATGTACTGTTTAATAGGCTTCCACTTAATTGTACTACCACTATCGCTTCAGAATATATCTACAAACATTAATATTAATCATTAAATCTCTCTGTAATACTTTATATATTTATTACGTAGATAAATGTATACAGAACCTGTATACAGATAAATATTGTAGCAACAGCAACAAATAGTATAAGTCCAATTATAACAATACATGTGGACACTGTATCGATTGATTCATATGCCATTTCGATAACACTCTTATTGCATAAAGACAGCATCTTCCCAATACCTCGAATCTGTGCCGGGATGACAGCAGATTTTCTATAAGAAACATTTACTATTTAATTCCTGTTTTCTTTGTTTTAAATACAGTATATTATTAAAATAATATCACATAGCATGGGACAATATATATAAATGTAATGATATTAGCAAAAATGTGATTCCTTTCAAATAAAGAGAACTTAATAAATGTATAGCAGCTTTAGTAATTATTGTTTTATATAATTTATCATAAGTAGGAATAAGAAAATTGTCATGAATACCTGTCATTCCACCATCCACCAATTTTAGCTGTTATATTATTGCATTGATTCTCAAAGAACAACCACACTCCAAAGAAGTTGAGCGATATCTTTATAATGTGGATGGCTAGAAAGAACAGCATAACTGGCAGTAACCATATGTATTTCCATATCAACATACAAAAGCAACCAAAAAATAGAAGTTTGAAGTACAATGCGGTTTCATCATCATTGAAATTATTTCGTATATAATTCTCATCCAAGGACCTCTGTTTGAATGAGGCTAGAAGTCGATTTTCGAAGGCAGATTTCGTTTTAACGTTTGGTAATGGAAGTGCCGAGAGGGTTCTTGTTTTAAAAAGCATTTTGGCCTGTCTGGAGCTTCTGATTGGGTCATTTTCTGACCAGCTCCCCCTTTTTGTGACCTCTGGGGTCACTGGCGATGTGTCAGGCGTCGTTTCCTTGTCATTGCTCTCCTCGGGGCTGGATTCTTCGGGATTCTCATCAATCTTTTCAAGGACAGTGTTTTCTAGCGGTTTGTTGCTTAAAGCATGTTGCAACGCAGTAAACACTGATACTTCAGGATCTGTAACCAATTTATAATTTTTCATACCTAAAGTACCTTTCAAATATAATGTTTGCTTTCTTTAAAGTTGTAATTGATTAAGGTATAATAATAGTAAAAAATATTGTGAAATTTCTGCAACACTTGTTATTCTTAAAAGAAATAATATAGCAATATTTTAATTAAATCCTGTTTTAATTTTTATTTCATAAAAAAGGGACAGTTTTTGATAACAAATAATAATTACTAATATATATAATTTCAATGTTGAAATCACCATTTGCTGGAACTTTCATGACACTTATGTATTGGTTAAGATATAGAATTTTGAATTCTTAATATCACTTAATTTTTTTTGTGGAATACATAGTAAATATGAATGTTATCTTACCTTTTAGTGACAAATGCTTATGAATGTGAAGGACTTCCAATACAAAGCCGGTTATACCAATAGCTTGTAACAGGACAAATACATAAACTTTAAAAGAGCCAGCCAAGTTTGCCAGGAAACTAGCAATGATGAGCCAGAGAATATGTGATGTAACTTTGAATACTCCCGATCTAGACGGACTCCAAAGGAAATATATGCTGATCATATATGCCAAAGCAAATGTCATCGTCTGAAAAAAAAATAAGTCACTACCGACTTAACTGATTTTGGTCTAGAATTTACACATATGTTATGAAAATATGGGTAAAAGTTTTATTACACATTCATGAAGTATAATACTTACAATATATGAACTGCATAACTTGATAAGTAGTGTTGTTGAGAAGCTTATGAAGCTAACCAATTGCCAGAATATGCAGCTGAAACTGCGAGGTATTCCATTGTACAACCATGGTAGAATAAATATAGCTGACAGAAGCCCTATGACAGTCTGGAAATGTAAAAAAATTAGTTTTATTACTAACAAATTAAAAGAAAATCATTATACATTATCAACATTTAAGACATTAGTTACTGTTTATCTAAAACCCAAGAAATGTATACTAAAATTAAATTCACAAATATGTACCACCTAGGATATATATAAGGGTAGGTAAATGATGATTTTAATTTAGGTAAGTGTCAGTAAAAGAACCTCAAAGTTAGACCTACCTTATAATGATCTCTGAATTGATAACCAACAGTATCAGAAGCATAATTTATAACATCCACCGGTATCACCATTAAACCATATATCACAGATGAATTCGATTTCTCCAGTTCTTCGAACCATGTCTTAATTTTTTTCGATAATTTGTATTTAAATGGATGTAATAAAGAACCCACTAATAGAGCCCAAAACAATGGTTTAAAAAAAGGTTCCAAAATAAGAAATAGTACATAAACAGCTGTGCAACAAATCGTTAGGATGAAAAGGGCGAAAGCGTTGTAGAAACCATGTTTCATAGGTTTCTCATTACCCTCTGATAGGCCACCAATAATATTAAAAATATTTTCAAACGGTGATTGCTGCATTGTTTTGCAATTGAAATTAATAGGAAACACTACATTCCATCAAAAGTTACAAACGTTTTGTAATGAGATCATGCTTATTTTCGTAAATTTAGCAAATGTTTTGGTTTTGGCATTTGACACAAGAGTAATAAGCATAAAGCACCAGATGTCAAACTGACACTCCAGAACAAAATATGAGTTTTGGAATACCTAATTATTATGCTTTGTAGTCAGGATGTTACGAACTTTTATTACATAAATCTTTTTTGTAGTTTATAATTTTGGTTTATGCTTAATGTAAACATTTTACTTAATTATGAGATGAGTAAAACTACCTTCCTGATATTTGTTGTGTTTTTAAATTTATTGGTCAAAGGTGCTAAATGGTTTCCTTTATTATTATTTATCTAAATGCAGTCTTCACTCTAACGACGCGACAGTTTAAAGAGTTCAATCGACGTGACAGTTCAAAATTATGACGTAACCTCCCAAACACCACTCAGCCAAAATATAATTTTCCTTCCTTTCTTAATTTAATAAATTCCTTCTATGAATCAAAGGTATGGTTTAGCTAAGGTAGATGAAATTATCTCAAATCTAGTAGACTAATTCATATCTATGAATTGGGATGGAGAACATATGATTTTCAACCATAATTCTGGTCTTCTGACGATGTCATAAGCAAAACACAAGTCTTCATGAATTCTGCCATTGATGTTCAAGTCACGTCTGCTTTAAATGATTTTCTTGAAGACACCAACCAAAGCATTGGTAAACAGTTAGGAGGAAATCTGATCTTCTTTACCACATGGTGCTATTGGATAATGGATTGGATATCTGCTCTTGTACTTGAACTCACGTCGTGGGAGTTTCATACAAAAGACTCGAATGTACCGATCGTTAATAAGTTTTCCTTTTTTTAGACACTAGAACAGGACATATTTTGACAGGATTGAAGATTTTTGCATAGTTAAGAAAGGCAAGGCTTAGTGGATATTTATATTCCTCGCTATTTTATCCGTTCGAGTTGGAAACTGTGTTGTATTTTACCAAAGCACTTTTGAAATCCACCCTATTCAATAGATATGAGTACATCGATTTATGGTCAAAAGGATTTGTTATAATTTTAGAAAACAACTTGTAAACATTGTCCAAGAGGGTTATTTGGTCGTGAAGTCTTTAATTGTTCAGTCGTTAAGTTAAGGCTATTGTATTTTTTTTTTCAAAAATACAAGAATACTATTACCCCACGCCTCCAGAGTAAAACCATGTCGGGTGATCGAATTAAAGACCGTTGTTTGTGCTCCGAAACACACCACAGTTCCTTGTGCTTTTAACGAATTTGATGTTATTTCGTCCTCTCAAGCTTTATTTTCAGCAACATTTCTTTTTCTAAGAATTAAGTAAAGATTAAAAGTTGTGAACAAGTGAAAGTTTAATATTGGTTTCGAAAAGCTTTGGTTGTAGTTAAAAAATTGCGAAATGCTTCGACAGCACAAAAAACTAATGAGTTTAACAAAGGTGTTAATTAAAAAATATCAAGAAGTAGACATTAAATTGAACTTAGTAATGTTGTAAGCATTATATCATATACATATATGTTCTTATATTGATTCGAAAATATTTATTTTTAAGTCTAATTGTACATTTTTTCTTTCCAATAAGTTAATTCCGCGTAGTTTTTAACTCTACCCTGTTAAAGACTTAAATTTTATTCGTATATCAAGATATGAAAACCAATTAATTATGTTTGTTAAATAAATTAATTCTTGTTTTAAATTTTAATTTTCATTTATATTAATTAACTGTCTGCAGCTAAGTACATATATTCAAATAAATATCATTATAACAAATAAATTTTAAGGTTACGTGAAAATTATGTAAGTACAAAAGTTTTAGATCTTTTTATTTACTACAACTTTGCGATATAACATTTTTCATTAGGACTTTTAGTTTTGCCGGAAATCGAGAAAAAAACATTTTTTACCCTCAAAAACCCGCCCTCATACCCGTCCCCGTAAATTAATTTTCCTTTAATTTTTATAGTATTCCCATTATTTTCTAAGGGGTTTCGTTCTACTATTATTTTTCTCACTTTTTATCAATTTTAAAGGCTTTCTACCCTGGCCTATTTTTCGATTGTAGTCTTCAAAGATTTGGTAACCAGAAATTTCTAGTAAAATTTCAATAACTTTGAATTCTGAATAATCTATTTTGAAGTCATATTTTTAATTACTGTATCCGTAGTATCCTAGTGTGTTAACCACAAATAAACGGTTTTATATATGTGTGTGTGAATGCGAAATATATGTGTGATGGATTTAAAAATAGACATTTATTATAGTATTTATGAAATGCATGCACAGATGCATAAGAATAACTGTCAAGATTCAACGTTATTACAATGTACTCCTATATTATAGTTGTGATTACGTCATTTCTATTTATTTTTTGTTATATTCGTCACACTGGAGCGAATAATTATGATGAAAGGATCGTTTTCCCCGATGAATTTGTGACGTTTGAGAAAACTGACTCAAATTTAACTTCAAAATTTGCCATAAGAGTTGGGAAGTGTCCATCAGGACAAGTGTGGCGAGGATTTGTATGTGTCTGACGGGAAATATTTTTATGCAGGGGTAAGCGAAATAACTGCTATATTATTACATATATAAAATATGATATATTAGTAAATTTGCTTGTTTTTATTTTCTTGTTTATTATTAATTATTGTAGTTAATTAGAGACACCAGTCCAACTAATGTGTTTTGTTTTAGGTACGCCGATTTACAACTCTGGCAATCATTTGATTAATGTGTTCATAATTTAAAATAAAAATATAATATTTTGCCGTTTCGTATTATTGAAACCTGAGATATATTTAGTTTAATATAAAGCAAGAGATAAAAAGATCTCGCTAGTTCCCTTTAAAGCCTCTGAGAGGTTATTGACCCGACGTTAATACTTTAACCTTATAAGTGTGGCTCATTTTAGTAGTATGAGGAAATTAATTCTTATACATATATTAAATACCTTAAATAAATAGCTAAAAGTACATTTTCATGTTAGGTATATATATTGCTAGCAGTGTACGATTACGTGTTGTGAAAACTAAATGCATTTCGGATCCTAATATGATTTGGGGCACCAGTTTCAATGTCAAAAGTGATGACGCTGTCAAAAAAGAGGATAATATTCATAATTTCGAAAAATTCAATGGTGTTGATGATTTAATTTTTTTCCCTGAAGAATATACGAATTTGGAAGAAAAAACGACGATGAGTAGCATTGAAAACAGAAATACAGGGGTAGGAAGAAGTTGTGCAACCGGATATTCTAGGAAGCAGTTATCGAAATATACATTTGTTTGTGTTAAAAAAAACAGATAAAGAAAAATCACGAGAGAAAATTAAAAGATGTTTAGATCCCACATTTTTGTTAGTTTATCTGTGAATGAGAAAATAAAGTTTTGAGTGCATAAATTTGTTGTAATTTTAAAATATTTGGAACTTCTTGATCGTGTAAGATTTTTATAAAGATTTTTTTTTAAATCAATCCGTTTTTAAAAGACCTTAAAATCACGTTTCTTACTGTCAAACCATGAAGTATAACTTTAAAAAATATATAGTTAAAAACAAGATTTAGAACTATTTCTCTAGATTTTATAAAGGACAATAATAATAAAAAGTAACGTATTTTCATAAAAGATAATAAATTATTAGTTTACTTTAAATTGATACTATCAAGTACAACGATTTATGAATTCAAAACGACAAACTGTACTTATATAGTTTGCTTAAAGTTATGGTTATAATAAGTCTATGGTACTTTTATTACAATTCAGATAATAATAATATTTTATGGTCAAAAAACTAAACGTTGCCACAGTTAATAGTTACAACTAACAATTTCTTATTTTTGTTAAAAATATGCCGTTACTCGTATTTAATATTAATGATATAGAATTCCTAAGATAAATTAAGAGTACCAATCATCAGGTTTTAAGTTATTCGACACAGAAAATGTAAAATATAAAACACCAGCTGAGCTGACCCAGCAAACTTTATACTGTCTCAATCAAGAAATAAATAATGTCTTACTTTTTTTTTTTGAGTTTACCTTTAAGCCATAAATTTCCGTGTTCTGAAGTGCGACAGAATGATTGACAAATTAGTTAGTTGTCAAATCTAAAGTAAAAAAAACTTTTGTATGGGAAATAGAAAAGGGCTGTTTTAAGGGTTTTCCCGGAAATTAATAAAAAAAAATCAGTTTTTAAATTTTTCCTGAACCTCCACAAACATTTCAAGACTAAAATAAGATAAATCCGTTAAGCCGTTCTCGAGTTTTAGTGAGACTAACGAACAGCAATTCATTTTTATATATATAGATTTATTTGTCTCTGTGCATAAGTTAAATAGTGTCAGGTCTATATGTAGCAATTTATTTATGGATATGACAGGAATGTAATTCCCATGGTATTTATTCCGATAAGCTTGTTAACGTGGTTTTCCTTGGGTTTCCTGAAACCACGTGAATATTATACATATATTATAAAGATGTGATATTTATTACTTTGTATTTCGAGTTTCCCTTATATATCCGTAATAAAGCTGCTTTTTTGTATTTAGAAGATAAAATAAATAGAGGGTTATAATTGAGTTTCTGTTAAAAGTCAGGTAAAAAGTTACGTGAAAAATATGTAAGTACTAAAGTTTTAGATCTTTTTACTTACTACAACTTTGCGATATAACATTTTTCATTAGGACTTTTAGTTTTGCCGGAAATCGAGAAAAAAACATTTTTCACCCTCAAAAATCCGCCCTCATACCCGTCCCCGTAAATTATTTTTCTTTTAATTTTTATAGTATTCCCATTCTTTTCTAAGGGATTTCGTTCTACTATTATTTTTCTCACTTTTTATCAATTGTAAAGGCTTTCTACCCTGGCCTATTTTTCAATTGTAGTCTTCAAAGATTTGGTAATCAGAAATTTCTAGTAAAATTTCAATAACTTTGAATTCTGAATAATCTATTTTGTCGTCATATTTTTAATTACTGTATCCGTAGTATCCTAGTGTGTTAACCACAAATAAACGGTTTTATATGTGTGTGTGTATGCGAAATATATGTGTGATGGATTTAAAAATAGACATTTATTATAGTATTTATGAAATGCATGCACAGATGCATAAGAATAACTGTCAAGATTCAACGTTATTACAATGTACTCCTATATTATAGTTGTGATTACGTCATTTCTATTTATTTTTTGTTATATTCGTCACACTGGAGCGAATAATTATGATGAAAGGATCGTTTTCCCCGATGAATTTGTGACGTTTGAGAAAACTGACTCAAATTTAACTTCAAAATTTGCCATAAGAGTTGGGAAGTGTCCATCAGGACAAGTGTGGCGAGGATTTGTATGTGTCTGACGGGAAATATTTTTATGCAGGGGTAAGCGAAATAACTGCTATATTATTACATATATAAAATATGATATATTATATAGTAAATTTGTTTGTTTTTATTTTCTTGTCCAACTACATAATATGTTTTGTTTTAGGTACGCCGATTTACAACTCTGGCAATCATTTGATTAATGTGTTCATAATTTAAAATAAAAATATAATATTTTGCCGTTTCGTATTATTAAAACCTGAGATATATTTAGTTTAATATAAAGCAAGAGATAAAAAGATCTCGCTAGTTCCCTTTAAAGCCTCTGAGAGGTTATTGACCCGACGTTAATACTTTAACCTTATAAGTGTGGCTCATTTTAGTGGTATGAGGAAATTAATTCTTATTTATTAAATACCTGAAATAAATAGCTAAAAGTACATTTTCATGTTAGGTATATATATTGCTAGCAGTGTACGATTAGTGGCATTCGAATGTTGTCAGTACTTAAACGTTAGCAGAATGTACAACCATATATTAAAATTCGTGTTGTGTTTAATTGTTTTTAATACTATAATACGTGTTGTGAAAACTAAATGCATTTCGGATCCTAATATGATTTGGGGCACCAGTTTCAATATCAAAAGTGATGACGCTGTCAAAAAAGAGGATAATATTCATAATTTCGAAAAATTCAATGGTGTTGATGATTTAATTTTTTTCCCTGAAGAATATACGAGTTTGGAAGAAAAAACGACGATGAGTAGCATTGAAAACAGAAATTTCATAAAAGTAAAGGGACTAAATGGTTGTCCAATCGGATATTCTAGGATAAAGTTATCCGACGATACATTAGTTTGTTTTGAACGAAAACAGATAAAGAAAAATGACGAGAGAAAATTAAAAGATGTTTAGATCCCACATTTTTGTTAGTTTATCTGTGAATGAAAAAATAAAGTTTTGATTGCATAAATTTGTTTTAATTTTAAAATATTTGGAACTTCTTAATCGAGTAAGATTTTTATAAAGATTTTTTTTTAAATCAATCCGTTTTTAAAAGACCTTAAAATCATGTTTCTTACTGTCAAGCCATGAAGTTATAGCTTTAAAAAATATATAGTTAAAAACAAGATTTAGAACTATTTCTCTAGATTTTATAAACGACAATAGTAATTAGCGTCAGTTTGTTGTCTATAAAAAGTAAAGTATTTTAATAGAAGATAGTATATTATTATGTCGTTTACTTTAAATTGATACTATCAAGTACAACGATTTATGAATTCAAAACGACAAACTGTACGTATATAGCTTGCTTAAAGTTATGGTTATAATAAGTATATGGTACTTTTATTACAATTCAGATAATAATAATATTTTATAGTCAAAAAACTAAACGTTGCCACAGTTAATAGTTACAACTAACAATTTCTTATTTTTGGTAAAAATAGGCCGTTACTCGTATTTAATATTAATGATATAGAATTTATAAGATAAATTAAGAGTACCAATCATCAGGTTTTAAGTTATTCGACACAGAAAATGTAAAATATAAAACACTAGCTGAGCTGACCCAGCAAACTTTATACTGCCTCAATAAAGAAATAAATAATGGCTTATTTATTTTTTTTGGAGTTTACCTTTAAGCCATAAATCTTCGTGTTCTGAAGTGCGACAGAATGATTGACAAATTAGTTAGTGTCAAATCTAAAGTAAAAAAAAACGTTTGTATGGGAAATAGAAAAGATCTGTTTTAAGGGTTTTCCCGGATATTAATAAAAAAAATCAGTTTTTAAATCTTCCCTGAACCTCCACAAACATTTCAAGACTAAAATAAGATAAATCCGTTAAGCCGTTCTCGAGTTTTAGTGTGACTAACGAACAGCAATTCATTTTTATATATATAGAAACAGCAATTCATTTTTATATATATAGATTTATTTGTCTCTGTGTATAAGTTAAATAGTGTCAGGTCTAGATGTAGCAATTTATTTATGGATATGACAGGAATGTAAATCCCATGGTATTTATTCCGATAAGCTTGTTAACGTGGTTTTCCTTGGGTTTCCTGAAACCACGTGAATATTATATGTTATAAAGATGTGATATTTATTACTTTGTATTTCGAGTTTCCCTGATATATCCGTAATAAAGCGCCTTTTTTGTATTTAGAAGATAAAATAAATAGTTTCTGGTAAAGGCTGTTATAAAAGTTAGATAAAAAGAGATTTCAATATTAGAACTGATTTAATTAGTAATTATCATAATACAAATACTGAGACATGATAGTGTTTTAAAATAATTAAATTATTTATTATATGTCTGAAAAAATAATACAGTTGAATCGGACGTATAAAGATGAAAACTAATTTATTTCATAGTAAAATGTTTCTATCTATCTATGTATCTATATATGTATCTATAAATGAATTGTTGTTCGTTAGTCTTTTTTTTATGTTAAAGGTGGTAAACGAGCAGACGGCTCCCTCGATGGAAGGTGGTTACCGTCGCCCATGGACATCCGCAATATCTTTGTTATAGATGCGTTGCCAACCTTGTTTTTAGGGATGGGGAGGGGTGGGAATAAGGAAATGGTATGAAAGTGTAGGAATAGGGAAAGGACAACCGGCTCTCTCACTCATCGGACGAAACGCAGCCATTAAAGGCTACTTCATGCCGATCTTCTGTGAGAGGGTGGTACTTCCTCGGTTGAGCCAGCCCATGTTCGAGCTGTAGTAACTGACCACAGTTAGGTTCTACCACCTATAAAACTCGAGAACGGCTGAACGGATTTATCTTATGTAAGTCTTTAAAATGTTCGTTGAGGTTCAGGGAAGGTTTAAAAGCTGAGAAAAATTTATTCATTTCCAGGAAAACCCTAAAAACAGCGCTTTTCTATTTCCCATACCAACGTTTTCTTTGACAACTAACTGATATGTCAATCATTCAGTTCGATTGAAACGAGAAAAATTTGATAAATACTAATACCTGGTATATTTAAGACGGAATAGAGTTCGCCCGGTCAGCTATACATATATGTATTACTAATGACGAAATTAAAGCGGACGAAGTCGCGGGCAAAAACTAGTTTTTAAATAAAATAGTAAAATTTCTTGTTCAATATTGTAATTTAAACTTAATAGAAAACTATAAACACGTACCTATACATTATGATAGTTTTGTACTAAATAACTTAAAAGGGCTGTTTGACTTTTTACCATGTGGGGTTACTTCTAAAAAGTTGCATAAATTTAGAATTATTCACGGTACCTACATTGTAAAAAATTCATACTTGTCTTCTTTCCTAGTATGTAAAGTTGGATGTGTCGAAGATTGTTGAGTATTTATTGTATTTCATAAATCATTTGATGTTTTCTTTGAAACTTGTATTACTAATATGTGTATTATTAATAAACTCGTCATTAGATGCTATCGTTAGGTCTATTTATCTAAGCTTGTAAAATATTATAAACAAATCGGGGTCACCCTGAACAGAAGCAGTTGAACTATTTGCATGAGTACACGTCCGCGTCAGTGCAATGTTTTATAAAACAACAGTGATATTAGCGCTATTAATTCTAAGTGCTGAAATAAATTTCGTTAAAACTATGCCTATGTTTCAAGATGCTAACACTATAAGCAGTGGCCATGATAGCTACGGACTCCATAATTCTGCTGGAGTTCCAAACAGATTTTTGGTAGTCGCGAGGAACTGTCCATTAGGATACACACGAAAATTATTTGTATGTCAGAAAAATTAACAGTGAATTTGAATAAAAAACTTATATTTGAACTATATTATTAAATGTCTTTTATTTTTTTCGTTCCTTACAATAATAATAATTAAATTATTTAAAAGTGTTTGTGAAATTCGAGTTAAGTAAAATATCATTAATTTGTGTCACGCGATGTTTACTAATATATTAGTTCTCAGTATTTTTCTTGTTACGTAAGACATATTGGAGATTAGACGAACATCGCCGAGGGAAACAGTTGTATGGATAAAATATCATATTACGAGTGACGTTGCTGACTCCGCGGAACGAACACCTGACCTGATGAACTAGAATATTGACGATACAGAACAAGCAATGAAATGGAATTTCTGACATCGTGGCAATCATGTAGTCTTAGATATAGGTTATAAGTTTTAATATGTATTTCTTATTATAATAAACATATAAGTATTTTCATAGTTTTCGTAGAACCTCTGCCAGCTGTGAATTGCATTCTATTTACATATTTTTTAATATTTTTCTCTGAATAATAAGACGCGTGTGTTTTCTTTTAGTATTGTGTCAGTGCAGCACATGTTTGAAATTTAATATTATATACGCCGATTGGTACATTCCATTTCATAAAGGTGTTTGATCTTCTGTTTTGATTAATCTGGATTCTTAACACAAGTCTACATCGTGAAACTAAATACGGAACGTTCCTAGTTTTCCAAATTAAATTTATGTCGATACTTTAATGTGTGAAGATTTATGAACAAAAATCTGCAGCGATTCGTACGTAGAAAAACTATTACTCGTGTCGACCTAGTGGTGGCCTAATGTTTAAAGGCCCGTCTCTCGTGTTCGAGGGCGCGGGTTTGATCCTGACTAGTACCAATGTGATTTTTCCGAGTCATATGTACTTTTTAAGATTATTTAGACACCACTGACAGACGGTGACGGAATTTCAAATTGTAGGTTTTCAAAGTTCGTCTTGAGCAAACGTGGTGATTAATGCTCAAAACCTTCTCCATGAGAGAAAACGGCCTTTCCTCAGCAGTGGACTCTGATAGGCTAAAAAAAATATTCTATTATATTAATTTATCCGTTATTGAGTTGCAAATAAGTATCCTAGATGTAGAATCGAAAGATTTATTGTATTCATATTAAAGACGAAACATTTTAACCAAAAACAAAAGAAGACTTTAATTTCCAACTCATCGTTATCACTAAGATTCGGTTTTTACACGATGAATATTTTCTGTAACAATGTGTAAAGCGTGAATGAAAAATCTGTTTGAGCGAATTTTATAATACGATAGGGACTGAAAACTCTTTTCAAAGTTTCTTTAAACATTTAAAAAAGTAAATATACACACACATATGTGTGAGAAGGTGGTAGAGCCTAGCTGTGGTCAAGTTACTACAGCTCAAACATGGGCTGGCTCGACCGGGGAAGTACCACCCTCTCACAGAAGATCGGCGTAAAGTAGCCTTTAATTGCTGCGTTTCGTCTGGTGAGTGAGAGAGCCGGTTGCCCTTTTCCTGTTCCCACCCTTTCCCACAATTTCCTACCCCTCCCTTTTCCTTAACAACTAAGGTTGGCAAAGCATCCGCAATATCTATGTTGCAGATGTCCATGGGCGACGGTGACTCCTGCCCATCAAGGAGGCCGTCAGCTCGTTTGAACCTTTCACATAAAAAAAAGGTGCATATATGTATATATACACACATATACATACATATATGTGTATATTTCTGGTTTCTTCCGTTGTGTTGTAAAATATCGTATTGTTTATAAATAGTATATTTATGTTTGCACATATTTTTCCTTCCTGATCGTAATATCCTTGTTTGTAAATCCTGTATGCGTTACATGTAGTTTTTTAATAATTCTTATATTCTACACATCTTTCAGCGTTACCATTCATTATATTTACATTAAGATATTAATATATAAAAATATTGCTTTCTAAAACTAGCTTGCAACTAACTTATAGTTCAAAATATGCATCAAAGTATTCATGTAAAAGAATTGAAATAAAATATATACATAGGTATCCGTGTAATTGGTTTTAATTGTTTTGGATATTGGAATAAGTGTTGTGAGAACCTAAACCACTCGGGAATCGATGTCAACAAAGCCAGCAATTTCGTTAAAACCAACATTGCTGTTAATAATTAAATTATTCTGTCAGTATCAGCTTATAGCTTTAAAGATAAAGAGTTTTGTTTATGATGGAATGAGAATAAGAAGACGAAGGAAACATAGAACTGTATTCTTTTAAATAGAAACAGTATGTATTTTTAATAATAATATGAAATTATTTTTCATTTCATATTGATTTTCATGTAGTTACTTATTTACTTGTAAGTAACAATCAAGATAATTATAACATACGACTACAATTAAAAACATAGAACTAAGTTTATAGTGAGAAAAAAAAAAAAGTTAGACTAGAAATAAAAAACTTCGATATATGTATCTTAAGAAAAAATCCATAAGCTTAATGTTTATATGTTTTACAACATTCACCTTTTATATACATGCAACAATTAGTAAGTCTCATTACCTGAAATTCTGGGTTATATAAAAATATACAAAGGATTATATTCCATGTAATGTTATTCTTTAAAATTTCTTAACATAGAGAAATAATAATATCAGTTGTATGACCTCTGTGACAATATATATGTAAGTCCGTCCCTATTATTGAAAGTTTAGATTATCTAGTGCAAAAAAAAATCTTATCTAGTGCAAAAAAAGCTGTAGTAACTGACCATAGCTAGGCTCTACCATCTTAAAGTTTTCCTGTTTACATTAAAAACAATTTAATTCTATGAAATCCAAAATCAACTTCAAAACATGATAAAAACAGAATCAAAATAAAAATCTAAAGTAAAACAAAAACAAAATTACTAAAATTACTTATTTATACATTTAATATTTGTAGGAAAAACTGAAATGAAAATGGTATCTTTATAATGAAAATATGTAGAATCTTTAAAAAGGATTAATAAAAATATAATAAGAAGGGCAGTTTAAGAACCTACATATTTCTACTTTCATCGTGTATATAAAAAAAAATGCAACTTCTTTACGTTGTACATTTTACAAGGATCTCATTTTAATAATTTTGTATAAAGTGTTTAACTATAAATTAAGTTTGAATTAAAAATAAAACAATACTTTATTAAAAATAAGAATCATATAAAAAGTATTCTGATGAATCATACGCCACTTTAAAGAATACGTACGTTGCAGACATGGAAACATAATATCGACAAATTATTTTATTGACAGGAAAGGAATTAACAGGAAATTTTATTCAGGTTAGCCTATAAATGCGGTTTATGTGTAAGTTTCCTGAAACCATGTGAGTAGTATCTGTATAATATATACATGTTTAGTGGAGACAATATCAGCTGTTGGTTTGTATTTCAAATCTGGTCAAGTCTTTGGGTAGTAGTCGTAAATTTTAACTCTGAACTCAAAAGGCTTGTAAGTACATATTATATAAAATACACTAAGAAAAAAAACGTCTTTTTTATATATACATATGTTAACGATAGAGTATGTTTAAGTATTTTAAAGAAATGGTAGTTATGTTTCAGAATATAAAATAAATGAAATAAAAAAGAATAAAAGAGACTCGACTTTTTGCATCGTCATATATTCAGATAACCCTGCAACAGTTATTGGTACCTATATGTGAAATTTAGTATATGCATTTATACTAAGTTGTTTTTTGTACCAATGACTTCATCGTGCCATTAAAATGATATTCATAATCCTTGCAGCTGTCAAATAATAAAACTTAATGATGGCCTTAGCCTCATATCGGTACTCTAAGGAAAGTGACATCATCATACAAGTTGTGAATGACGTTTGCTCAAACTATCCATATAAAGTAATTGTACAGTAGATGAATCAGTTTGAACAGAGAGGAGAGAAGATTAAGACGCCACGAACAGTGTCATAAGAATTATTTATCAGACAATATAGTGAAGAAATGTGTCGATATAAAATTGTGATAATTGCGCTATTAGTTCTGACGACTAGTCTAAGTGTTGTTAAAAGCAAAAGTACTTTTCTATACCCAAGCATTGTAAGGGGAAGTGGCGATGCTAGAGATGAAACCATTAAATTCCCTGATGAAAATCCAGTTTCCGAGCCGAATAATCTTCAGAACAGATTTCTGATTACAGCAAGTAAATGCCCGATAGGATATGTAAAAATATTACAGATCTGCCACAAAGTAAAAAAGAATAAACGAAAATAGTAAATGATTTAATAAAAACTTTTTAAGTGTTTTTTTCATGTTCTTGATTCAATACATTTAATTCGGTAGATGTAAATATAAATAAAGATATTATTATTATGTTAAATAGGTTAGTTAATTTAATTAACGATATTATAATAATTTATTTTACAATAATGACTCCGTCTTAAAAGTTTTAGAAGTTTTTAAAAAGATAATATGCAATTTTTTAGTTATATTTTTTAATTAGGTATATTAGCTTCTATTATACCACGGTATAAGCCTGTACTATTCAGTAATAGGGACCCTAAGTAGAAGTTTTTTTTCTTTATTTTTTTTACCTAATAAAGTTCTCATATCAATGATACCATTGATAAAATTAATTTGTTTGTTAGTGTCTTGTTATTTAAATAAACCATTCTCCTATCAATACATATATTTGTGTGTATGTGTGTGCGTGCTTGAGTATATATACATGTGTGTGTGTGTGTGTGTGTTTGTGTGTATGTGTGTATGTGTGTGTAATTTGAAATATTATAAAATTAGTTCTTATAACATTGATTATATTTATATCCCTTTTGAACTAAAACTGTAAGTATTCATATTAACAATGTTGTTTCGTGATGATTACTGAACACAACGTTCTTATTACATTGTTTAAATCTCTCGTTTTAATCGTCCTTCATTGAACTGAATTACTATTAATTGTTTTGTAATTGGAATCTTTTAATTTATTTAAAATTTTAATGGAAAAAGCGTGTTTGG